TGCCAACTGTCAACAAAACCCGAGCTAGCTTGCCAGGGTATATTAGGAGCTAGTTAGCGACAGTCTCAGCTGCCTTGGGTCACAGAACGCAATGAGGATATCTGTGCACAACTCAAACTTTTACCTGACAGGAAAGTCCTGCAAGAAACATTTTTTAAAATATACACTGAATATTCAAGATTAAATAATCCTGCCACGAGAAAATGTGTGACCTATGATTAACGTTTTTAAGGCCAATTTAAATTTAGATTCATTAATTTAAGACATTTCAGGGAATCGCAAAGACCATGTTATAGAGAAGTGAACTCAATATGCAGGAAAGCAGAAACTATTATCTTCTTTAAATATTTAATCGTCTCCCTGTTATCAGTCATAATGTTTGATATTAGACATACACTGTGCACAACTCTGAAGGTTTTATCTTTACCCTTCAGTTGGATTGAGGGTTAGACAGCACCTCAATGTATCCTTGAGCTGCTTGATCATGGATAATAATGTTCAAATAAAGACAAATAAACAAAAGTGTTGTGCTTTATGGCAAAAGAACTGCCTATGGTTTGACACATTTGTGATTCCGTATTTTTCTCTCATTTCTCATCTCTTATCTCGCTCAGATGCATTGATCACCTTTTTTGTGGATTTTGTTCATCAGTGGCATTACAGTAACAGAATAACAGAGTGGTTCAAAGCCTCAAACTGTGTGGTATAGAGCTGCTTGATCAGTTAATTAACTACAGTTAATTAGCTGTGCCTTGCTGCCCTTGACTCTTAATTGCAAGGGAAAGGCTGCTTTACTCTGCTTCTTCATTTCAGCTTTGTTTGCTAAATAAATAGTGACACTGTGTAATATCATTTACTGTTTATCTCCGGTTGTATATATCTAATATTATTTTTAAACCCTTGTAATGAATTAGAAATTAGTGCAAAATTAGTTTGGTTTTAAAGTGATTTACTTTGTTTTTCCACTAGTTTTATTTGTGCCAGTACTTGCAACAACTTAATTTTGGCAAAAAGTTTACCTAACTTTTATTATGAAAACATTCAATGATGCTGTAATGTGCATGACCTTCCCATCTTCTCGCTAAATAATTAGCTTGTTTAGAGTTGCTCCTTCTTCTGTTGTTGATTTATTTAAAACCAAATCTTTTTATTCTTTACTCTTCATAAAGATACTTCCTCCTGGATTGTTTTTAAGAGACACCTTGCTGTATGTCGTGTTTCCCCAACCCCTGTAATCTAAAAACTGTGCTGCAGCTCAGTGCCAGGGAAAATTTAACTTCACCAATGAAAGGAACTTACCCCAAAACTCAGGGGGATACGAGTTGAAGCAGAGGGATGAAAGAAATCATGGATAAAAGCTGAGCAGGACAAATTGAATCCCATTTTGAGGTATTTCTTCACATGTTAGACAGTCCAGAAAGTCTGAGAAAACATCCTACAGCTGGTGTGGAGAATCTGGCTAACAAGAAGGGGAAAAAAAACTTCCTTAAATAGCATAATTTTATATCTGAGATGAGGAAAAAGTTGGACACACTAAGCCATGCTTGAGACATCCATTCAGTGTGAAAAGTGATGCTACGCAACGCAGGTTCTGCTCCTCCGGAGCCTTGGCACGCCTGCATGTGTTCATGAAGCTCTGGCTTCAGCTCAGCGCCTCACATCAGGGATCTCTGCAGCATTCAAGCAGCGAAGTAAATTTTCTGTGCTGAGAGGGATAAGTGCAAGGATATGAAAGAGTGCTTCATTTAAAGGAAGCTAAACTCAGATGAGATGAATAGCCGTTAACACCTGAAGGCTAAACTGTGCTCTCCCAATTCAGCACAGACAAAAAAAAACAGTTTGACACAGCAAAATAGGTACATGTAATTAAAGCACAAAACCAAGTGAACTTGTTTTTAGGTAATTTTGTGACGCTTTCAGGTGAAATTATTTATCTTCTACAGCTCTATCCTCCTGAAAAACATGTTTTATATTTGTTTTATATTTGCCAGCTTGTTTTCAGTCTAATTAGACTGTGACTTTAATTTGGAGAGGAAATGCTTGCAAAAATTATTTATACACCTAGAAGATTTTTATATTTTGCTTTTGTTGTTCTGGGTGACGGATGTGGCAACTGGATTAAATGTCCTTCTTCGAAATGAATGAAGTATTCACTCATTCATTCATTCATTCATTCATTCATTCATTCATTTGTACATTCTTGCTTTTATTCTTGCTACAAACTTTAATGTAACATTTTGGGTTGAAGTGGAAAATCAAGAATACGTGGTTTCCAAGAATTTTTTTTTTATTATTAATATTTGATTGCCACTGATCCTCAGGTGGTTATCAGACTGGCTTTAACTAGACCACACAAACACACTTACAATTGAAACCAGATATTTAAATATAACAAATAAATAGACATATTACTGTGTGAAGTTAAATCAGACAAAACTTCTCTTGTTTTAGATTAGTCAGAATTACCAAAATTATTTCTATCTGCTGAATGCTGTCAGAATTTTTTTGAGATTGTTTGCAACTTTCTTCAGATTTAGAAGTTTACAAACATTTGGTCAGAATCAGAGATAATCGTCCTCTAAATTGGGTCAAACCTTTTGGGTTCCCTTCACACAGTTTGCTTCAGAGAGTGACAAGAAAAATAATGTGCCTTTTTATTTGATGTATGTAAATATCTGGCTTGAACTGAGTTCATCAATAATGATTGAAAGTTGTCTTGTCAACAATCCGCACATGAGCTGTGGATCACTGCAGCTCCTCCAGAATTACCATGGACTTGTAGACTTGCAGTTTTCGTACACTCTTTCCATTTTTAGGAAAACTCTTAGAAATAATCTTTAAACTTCTCCATAACTTTCTCTCTTGCTTGCCTGCTGTGTTTTTTGGTTTTCATGATGTTTGTTCTTTAACAAACCCAGAGGCTTTCAAACAACATCTGGATTTCACCACATGCACACATAAATTTTGCATCCTTGCATCCTGGCAGCAAGACAGATAATCAATCCACTTCCTTTCTCTGACTGATCAGGAACCCAGAATGCTTCACTGTCGATATGGAAGAGCGTCATTCTGTAATGACGTTCAGTGGTTCCCCATCTGCAGGGGAAAAAAGTTTTCACAAGTCATTATTCTGATGTCAGTGACCTCTGATCTGCCCGGAGGCATGGAGGAGGCTCTGCCTGCTCCCAGATGTTTGCTTTTATTCGGTCAGATGGAGCTTTTAAAATTTGCACCTCGCCTGATGTCTGCTGTTGACCTGTGGTGCTGCATCTGAATGTGTTAATATTTATCATGATAATGGGACAGATTTCATTTCCCTTTCATACACGGGCCACAGCTCAGCGTATGTTAAACAACCAACAGGAATGGATGTGATTATTCTGGATTTTATGCTATGACTGAAGAGCAATGACGCATACAGAAAACAAGAATGTGCTCCTCTTCCTTATTATCACCCTGTCGTCTTCTCCCAGTGCTTTTCAGTTGATTTGTCTCCTTTAATCTACAACTAATATTTAAATATCTGCTTTAATGTGGCATTCTGTAGCATGTAGCACTAATTCAAGATGAAGATGGTCTTCTTATTGCCATATGGGAGACTGTTATGGTTTAGGATGTTTTTATGATTATCAGTGACTTTAAATAACCAGAGATAAACTGTGAGCAGCATCTAGTTTTTATTTAATTAAGACTGTTTCAGTTTTTCTCCTTTTTTAATTTTAGTTTTTTTACATCTATTTCTTCCTTTGTTGGACTTCTTGTTTCATAACTACTTTTCCCACTTTAGTTATTGTTATCTGAAGATCTGCATTGGCTGATACCAATACGATGCAGAAGAACCCAAACCCTGAATTAACTGAATTATAAATGCTTTTGATAACTTTGCACACACAAATACACCAACATCTTGACTTTTTAGGTCAAGATATTGACCAGCTTGGTCAAACTTAAAAACTGATTCTAAATGTAGCTTAAAATATGTAATAAAGTAAAATGTTGCTCAAAGCAAACTCATTGAATTAACAGATATATTAATGTTGGATTGGTACATCTCTAATATCTTCCCCATTAATTTTTTCTTTAACTCTGATTCTCATCTCTGTGGATTGATGCGTCGAGGGACCTCTTCCTCCTCACCTCCTCATCCTCTCCTGTCTCTCCCCTCCCTCTCCTGCTCTCAGTGTGTTGACACACCTTCAGAGGTGATATAAAAAGACAGAAAAAGACACCGTTGTGTTGGGTTGTCATCTCCTCTCCTCCTCTCCTGTCACCTGCTCATCCTTCCTTTCTTCTCTGCTTCCTCTGAAGTGAAGTTTCTTCTCTTGTCAGGCTGTTGTCTCCCGCGCTGCTGTGAAACGACACAGGAGTCAAAACAACAGCGAAGCACCGAGGCACCCCCCAAACTGAACAAATCCCCCTTCAGAACCAGGCGACGTGAAATAATAAGTATAAAGATGGGGAGCAGAACCGTAGACATGACAAGAATGTGTGTTTTTAGTGGGCAGGTGGGAGCACCTGCTGTGCTCTTCCTTGTTTCCACACTCAAAAGTTTTGTTGTTTTATTTTGGAGGAGCTGCTTCTTTTTCTCCTTTTTCATCCCTTGCTCCTTGGTTCTTGTCTTCTCGTGCAGCAGGGTGGAGATGAAACACGGGGAAACATGAGAGATGTTGAAGAGAAATGTCACCTTGTCCCCTTTGGCTGAGAGCTGCTCCCCTTTTAGACCACTGCCTGAGCGACTGGAGCTGGTTTAGCTAACGAGCTGCGATGCTGCAAAGCTCAGACAACAATAGCAGCACAGAAGCAGCAACCAAAAAACAGAAAATAGTTGCTTTTCTCAAGATATATAGATGTAACTTCTTCTATGGTTGATAATCAGGACAGAAGACAAAACAATTGCAAAAAATGAAGACAAATCTGTTCAGTTGTTCAAACTTGCAGAAAACGATGTTCTCATACGATAAATAATAATCTTCTTCTTTCTCCTTTCTTCCCACATTCAGGTGATGAGTGGTATTTGTGCAGGCTGACTCTGAGCATGCCCAGTCAGGCTGACCTCCAGTGGGGGATGTTTCCGTCGCCTTACCTGGGGGCCGTGGGTCCTGATGCCACATCTGGCTCTGTGGTCTACCGGCTGTCAGCCAGACAACGAGACGGCGCTTTGGGACAAGCTCAGTTCCTCCTGCTAGACGGTGCTTTCCCCTCATATTCTAACATATTGTTTTAGCTAAGCAGATAAAATACAGTTTTGCTTTGCTGTTAGTAAGTTAAGTAAAATATTAGCTCTGATATTACTTCTCTAATATTAGCAGGCCTGTCTGTCTATCTATCTATCATCTTGCTTTGTATTTTTATTTTTTTACCTGTCACAGTCAAACCTTGTTTTCCCAGTCTACTTTTCTCTAAACCTGTCGCGTCTTTGCTTTTATCTCCTGCCTGTATCTGTAATTAAGTTCGCTCCTACTTTGCCAGGCACTCTGTGAAAAACCTGTTTTGCTCAAAGGAGTGATTTATAAATAAAGATTGACTTGTTGGATTTCAATTACTGTCAAGAGGGAAATGGAGAAAAAAAAAGTGCATAAAAAGCACAGAGCTGCACTCTTAATCGCTCCCCGGGGCAAAGAAATGCGAATAATAGCAAAGTCTCAGGAGAGGAAGGTAGCGAGTGGGAGAGTTTAAGGGTGGGCGTACGGCTGCCGGTGGCTGTGGATTTTTATTTTTAATTATTATTATTTTTACATTTTATGAGAGAAGAAGAAGAGAAGAGGAGGAAGAAGAAGAAATTATATTTATAGAGCAAATTTTTAATGCTCCCATATTAAAAGCTTCCCTTTGGGATAATGTGAGCACGTGTGCACTGACGAATAATCCAATAATTTAAGTTAAAATCTGCATTTGGCACATTTTCTCTGATGACACATTTCAGAGAAAATGTGTCATCAGTGTGTATGTGTAGCAAGGACCTAATCAGTGACAATAATAGGATTTTACCCAATGTGAACATCAAAAATTGATTGATTATTATCAAGCTTTTTTTCCTACTCGCCACCAAAACAAAATAACTTTTATAACATCACACAAAAATTGGCCATAATGGTAGCAATTTTTTATTACCTAGTAGGATTTTTAGATTTACTTCACTTCTGCAGAAAGTGAAATCTGATCCTCCTCCTTATAAACATTAGGAAGAAACTTCAAACATAAATTAAAGCGATATAAACTTGCATCCTTATGGGTTTTTATGCAGGTTTGTCTTATCGAAAGAACAGACAGGTCGCTCGCTACCTCCTGCTGTTCCTCTGTTGCTTTGCACCGCAGCAGAAATCTCTGCAAATACCTACAGTGTTCCAGTTTTCTCAAAAGATTTGAGCTTACAACACACCTTCACGTCAAGTTGGAGAGGGTTTTACGTTAGCCTAATCAAAACGGATTGCAACTTTTGAAAATAATGAAAGAGCTGAGCGATAGCAGGAGATCAAACAGTTTAAGTAAAGTTTTATCCCACTGGAGGTTGTTAATTTCGATACCTTTTCTAATTAGCAACAGCTAATTGGAAGCAAAGAAATAGAATCAAAAAATAAAACATTTTTATAATTGAGACAACCAAATCTTTGAAGAGCTTTAATGCTTTTTTTTTTCTCTCGCTCACACACTGTTTTTACAGAGACTGAAATAAATTTGTCACAGAAAACATATCCAAGAAAGAGGAGATGATTGACAGTCGGGCTGCAGCTGCTGCTGCAGAACCCTCTGGTCAACAGCTGGGGATTCTTCCCCTCATCTTCGTTCTCGTCTCCTTTTCCATTATTCCTCACTTCCTTCACATCTCTCATTTCCACTGTGCTGCCAGTTTTCCATCCCTCCTCTTCCTCCTTTTCTTCTTTATTTATTCCTCATCTCTCCATCACTTATTTCCTCCTGCTCCCCCCTCTCTGTCTCATAAACCCAGAGGGACGTGAGAGAAAATGAGCCCACTCTTCTTTTTTTTTTTTCTGCGTCTTCAGAGAGCGTTAACTAGCTCATAGAACACACATAAATAAACACAGAGCCAGCATGCCTCCAGCATCAATTTCCCTCAATTGGCTTTTCATAATTGGACAGCTGGGACTCCGTCTCTTTATTTATACACAAGTGGACAAGTTGAGAGATGGTTGTTTACGTGAGAAAGAAAATCCACAAATGAATGTATTGTTTGAATAATGGCAACATTTATTACATAGTTAGAGAACTATAAAAGCAGTTTATTCATTAAAATGATTTAAACTGAAAGCATGATAAAAAAAGAATGACTCATAATTCAAAGTACTGAAGTAAATATGAAATTAATAATAATAGCAAACACCAGTCCTGTGTAGATACACAATGAAAATTCAAGCAAAACAGGGAAAATTTACTATATTTTTCAGCATATAATATTTATTAATTATTTTTTATTTATATATATGCATATATAAATTGTGTCTTTTTTCTTAGGTGGTGAGGATTGCTTTGAAGTGGACCATCGCTCTGGGTTGATTAGGACCACTGGACGACCTCTGACCCCAAGCAGGGAGTACCATCTGCGGGTCCAGGCGGTGGACGGACGAGGCCGTAAAGGCCCACCAGCCACTGTTTCCATCCTTGCTGGATACCGACCGCCACAGTTCACCAACTCCACCTACAGCCTGAACGTGCTGGAAAACACGCCTGTTGGCCAACCGTGAGTCCCACCAACACAAACATTATCAGTACCTCTGATATACAGTAAACGTCCAAACAAGCCTTAAAATACAAGACCTTGCATAAATATTCGTACTATTTGAACACCCATCTTTGACAGGATTTGTTGTAATAGAGCTGCATAAAGTTGCATGTTATATACTTTTGTTAGTTTATAAATCACTGAATGACTTAGCACCAAAACACAATACCGACCCGAACCAGAACCAAACATGGAGGAGCAGCATTCTGCTTCTATGAGCCACAAATCTGGAACAACCTTCCAAAAAGCTGCAAAACCGCTGAAACACTGAGTTCTTTTACATCACAGCTGAAAGCTCAATTGCTGAGAGTTGCCTTTGATTCATAATAAATGGAACATTGATCAAAATATTTGAAATGTACCTGCTTGATGATTTTGATGATGGCATATGTTTTCACGCCTCTTTACTTCAACACCCCTAAATAAAACCCGGTTCAACCAACTAGCTTCGGAAGTTACCCAAGACATGACCGTCCACATTAACCTGCAAGCCAACCAAGGAGATCATTAATCAGAGAAGCAGCCAGTACGTCCATGCAATACCTCTGCAACTCTGGAGGAGCTGCAGAGGTCCACAGCTCAGGTGGGAGAATCTGAGCTGTGGCTATTGACTGGACACTTAATAATCACTTGCTTTACAAATTTGTTTATTATGAAAGAGTGGAAAGAAGAACATTCAATCAGAGCTGCTATATTCATCTGTGGCCTAGTCAAAGTCTTTTTCTAAATTCAAATATATTAACAGGGGATTCTCACTGATTTTGAGGTAAGATTCCAGGGGCTTACTTCCAGGTGACAATAGATAAATAAAATAAATAAGCAAAAATGTCTGTTATGGAGAACTATTGTTCAGAGTTTATACTGCATTCACTACTTCAGTGGTTATATACTGAATATATGATATCAATGAATGCTAAATTATGGAACCATGAAAAGGTTATTAACCCAAATTTATGTTTTACCTTCTGCATCTGCAATCCCATCATTTAAATTCCAATGCCATAAAAAATGAATGGATTTTGCGAGTCTGCCTCTGTGAGGTTTTTTTTTTGTGTGTGTGCTCGTTGTTGTGCTTTGCATGTCATGTGATGCATGAAAAGATGAGCCCTGAAGAGTGAGACAAAAGAAAAGAGGAAGAGGAAGGAAGAGGTTGAAAGACAGAAGAGAGAAAATAGAAGAGAAGAACAGGAAGGGAGAAAGAGGGATGATGAGGAGGAGAAGGAAGGGGGTGGGATGGATGAAGAGGGCCCAGATGTATGAGTGTGGCCTGAGGCTGAGAATTTGAAAGTGTGGCAAATTCAAATATTTATTAAAAGTGAGGTCTGGATAAACATGAAGGGGAGTGTGTGAGTGTGTTGAATCCCCCAGGGCTGCTGGCGCAAAGCACATTGTATTAATATCCAAGTATCCATGCCACCCTCTGAGCGCCGTGTGGGTGTAGCTCAGTGTGGGTTTTTTCTGTGTCTCAGCCGTCCATTATATATCTTTTGCATGCCCTTGCGTGTATTTGTGTGTACATGTTTCTCTTTTAATCAAATTGATTAGCCAGGTCTGAGCATGGCACCTTAGAGCTCAGAATAATCCATGCAGACTGCACAGTTTAAGAGCAGCACCAGCGTGTCACCAAGTCTGTTTGGAGACGTAGGTGAAGAACAGCTTTCCTCTGCTCTGCGCTCATTTTACACTGTATGCAAGACAAAATAAATGAACACACCAACATTATCATTTGAGAGTTCACATATGAGGTAAATTATATTCTTACAGAGGTAATGCATTAACAAGATTGTTAAATTAGGTACTCAACAACATTTCTAAAGAATCTCAAAAGAATAATGTCTAATTCTTTACATTTTCTTGGGCTTTGCAGTGAGAGGACGGCAAAGCAAGTTTCAGATGACAATTCAAAGTGAAAACATTAAGCATAAAACACAAAAAACTGAAAAACTTGATGCTGCTTCTTTATGTTTGGTTCTGGTTTTGGGGATGTAGAGTAGACTGGAACTAGAAGGTCTTATCTTATTTTGTTTATCAAATTCAGCATTATACATTTCCCATGAATTAGACAATAGGAAAAGAGAGTTGATAAAAAGTAAAAGGAAAAGACCTTAGTCTTTTCCTTTTATAAAAACATATTTTCATCTTGTTGTAATCTCAGGGACCTCCTGCAGAACCAGCCTACATATGGTTCACAGAACTAAAATGACATTTTTCTGGCTCATCTCTAACCTTTCTGTGTGTGTTTGTGGTCAGTGTTGCTGTGGTTCAGGCCGTCTCCTTCCAGATGAAGAGTCTGTCCTACATGTTACTGATTAACCCCGGAAACCTGTTCAGCATCAACCAGGAAAGCGGCGCTCTGAGCCTCACCAGATCGGTCGACTACGAGAGCGGTCACAACCTGCACACCCTGCAGGTCCGAGCCTCCGAAAGCGACACCGGCCTCAGCGGCGTTGCAGAGGTAACAGCAACAGCGCCATCAGATTTACTGAGTCCTGTTTGTACTGGTTTAGAAAGAACCATTCCAACAACTTCAACAGAGCTCATGCAAAACAAAATAAATTGAGCATTAATTATGGCATGAATACTTTGAGAATATTCCCATCTACTTGTGCAAAAAAGGGCATTTTTATCCAATCTTTTATGTTGTAGACAAGCTTTTCTGGCTAAAATATATCTGAGCTCAAGAGGACTTTTGATCAGAATTGTTTTTAATCTGAAGGAAATCGATTTTCATTGTCACCTCTCCCAGAACATAATTATAAGACTGTAATTTTTCTTGTGTTTTTTGAATTACATGTCTCAAATTGTTGATAGAAATAATGTATTCAACACATAATTGTGAAAATCTGTATTAAAAGTGGTAGTGAGTGGTTCCTGTAATTCAGGGAATCATGTTTTCCATTTCTGTCGGGTGGAAATGCACTGATCTGTACTTTAATCCAGTGAAAACACTGAACAAAACATTTGACTCTGGAGCGACACATAAACCTGCTTTTATTGTCTTTCTCACAATGAGCCTGTCAATATGTATAGTACAACACATGTAATGGTTCATAATTAGTTCTACTATAATAACAAATCTTCCTGGAAATTGAATTGTCCCAGAAGTAATTGCAATAAACAATAACATCTTAGTTTTCAGACCAAAATATGCACCACCTTTGCATTTTTCTGCAAAAGCGTTTGAATGTTTTTTCAAAAGCAAACACGTTCATATGTCCGACACATTTTTTGAAAACATGCATCACGTTCCAGATGGAAACGACTTGTATTCACTGCCCAACATTGTGACTAACTTTTCTTCAACAGATGTGTCCTTCCAGTGATTCCTCACTGCGACCTAAAGACCAGTGATGTTCACCTTGTTAAGCGATCAGGTCATTTTGCAGCTGAGGACAAAATATGAACGTTATCCAGGGACTCAGATCTCACCATGACCTCTGTGTGTCGCGTATGCATTCACACCTGTAGCTGAGGCTGAGCTTGTGATCAAATCACCCCAGAGGCTCGACAAAGTCAGGCGCGAACAAGGTCACAGTTTACTGACCTGTGATGACAGTCACTGTGAAGTGTTATTCTGTGAACGCAGTGTACTGGCACACTTTGCCAAAGCGCATTCATTTCAGAAAGCAATGCTTCACAACTAAACAGTGTTACAATTAATTAGACACAAAAAGCTATTGATTGAATAAGTTACCAACCAATATTTTAAGTTCATATTGAAGAATATTGTCTTGCTTTTTCTACTTTCTATTCTATATTGTAAGCAGTGAAAACCAAGCCAATAAACAGAGAGGTTAAGGTTTGATAGAACTGTTTAAACTGTCTTTAAGCTGCTATGCAAACCCCACTAAGAATAAAATTTCACCACCATCACAACTTATCAACTCTCACTTTAAAACAGCATCTGAATGTGCTGACGCCCAACTGTTAAACAAGCTGCTCTCTGATGAAAACAAGCTCATTTCTGAATCAGATGATATGATGCAACCATTAAAATGTACATCTTACTGCATACGATACGCACACTTATCAGAAACAGTAAATTAAGCTTTTTTTGACGAAAACACTGAATTCAATGCTGTATGCAAAAAACTATACATCCTGTCTACAAACACAACTACAAAAATTGACTTTTTAATCTTTTGGTAAGCTATGCAAATTATACAAAGCAAAGAGCTACACCTTCCCACTAAAGCATATAAACATGCAGTGGACGCATGGCATTTTATTCCATAAACTCATATTGAAATTAGTATGTTTTTTCTGACCAGTGTGTGCTAAACTGCTGACACTTTTTATTCCTGTTATGGTTACATCTTAGCAACAGAAGTCAGGAATACTTTCCACTTCTCACTCGTTGCACTTGTTTTCACACCAAGCATTAATAAAGTTGCTCTTTATGATTTGCACCACATAATTTTATAATTGTATGGTAAAATCTGTCAGCTGCTCTCCTGTTTTATGATAAACATTTTCCATTTAAGAGCTTTTCAAAATCCAGTTCTTACAATTTTACAATAAAATCCAGTTACAGAAATAATGGTGAGCTCTAAAGTCGTACATTCAAGTTCCTGCGGAAAACAAATATTTTGTTTTTAATGGGAAAATATTTCTTTTACAAAGTCAAAAACTGTCACCATTTTCCTTCTGTTTAGAAAAAAATCACAAAACATCTCCTGTAGATAACACAAGGGCTTAATTATGCTTCAGGTAATTGCTACTGAAAGGTGATTACTGACTGCACCTCATCACTCAGAGTGATTTGTTCTTCACATTTTACCTTTGGAGTAAACAGAAAAAAGTTATTTGTTTTCTTGTCTCCTTCAAATTAGTCTTTTAAAGCAGAAATGTTAAATGGCTTTAAAATGAAAAAATAAAACAATTTTTTTCCTTGTTTAGACATACGTCTTCCATAAGCTCTGTGCATATTTGCAGAGACATTTAAATCCTCTCAGCCTCACCATTGCTGCCCTGCTGTCCTGCCCTGCTGTCAGGGCAGCCCACCCTGACAGGCTGCTGTCGGGCGTTTGAGGTTCAGGTCTGCAGAGGAAATCTGTGCTCAGATGGTGATATCAGCGGCGTCACCAGTTAATTCATTTTTTATGAGAATAAAAACAAACTGTGATGTTTCAGTTCCGGCATGTTGGATGGGGAAAGAGGAACAAGGTGAGACACCGAGAGGATTGAGATTTAAGGGTTTACAGGAAGGACAGAGAGACAAATGGTCATAAAGTAGTTTCTCCTTAAGCTTATAGCTTTTCAGTGGCATCTGTATCTGCAATTTTTCACACTGCAACGTCAAACACTGATATGACTATAAAAGGCAGTGAGAAAATTATATTTGTCATTCAGGTACCACATCCCAGATAGATTAACAGATGGCGAAGCAAAATTTTGAATTTGTGATGTTTTTGTGGTTCTGTTTCTGTCCTGATCACAACAGACAGAAACCTTTCTCTATCGAGGGGAACCTAAGATGAGTGGTTCCAGCTTTACTTCTGACTGATCCTCTAGTCTATTGTGTTTCTTTGAAGTTCCATACAATTATAGAAAAATACTTCACAGACAGAAGTACCAATATTAACAATATATCTGGATTATAATCAGAATCGCCTGATGTTAACAATTTTTTTTTACATATTGGTGTCATTACAATAATAATAAAGAAAACTGGACTTATGTTACATGTTATTATGTAATTTGGGTTTTTGGCCAAGGCAGTTTAATTAATATCAATATTGACTCAAGTTTTCAGCCTGGTGCAGACGTTACCTGGATGTTTCTGATTGATCTGTAGATCCATACAGAGAAACACCAAAACTAAATGAGCTGTTTCCTCCAGGTCGTTGTCCACATAACGGATGAGAATGATTGCACACCAGAGTTTCTTCACTCCATCTATACCAGAGATAACATACCTGAGAGCGTCGCACCTGGAACCTCACTACTGCAAGGTAACAAAACCTGATGAGTCTGCAGAAGTTGTAACATCATGCATCATGATGAGACCAGTTATTTCGCTTTATCCTGTTGTTTTGGGGGTTTTTTTTGTGTGTGTCCACATTTATGGTTTTTCCCTCCTGATTTCTTACTTTCTTTTACTCTCAGTTCTTTATTGTTTTCCTTTTGCTGTGTTTCCTTGTTCTGACGTTTTTCCTTTTTTCTTGGGATCTTGTTTTCTTTCTTAACATTTCCTATCACCTGAACTTCACAGTTTTTTTTCTTTTCATCCCCTCACATATCCAAATCTCTTGTTTACAGGTTTTGCTCGTCTTTTGAGTGGCTTTCTACTTCTTTCCCTCCATCTCCTGAATCCACCATCTTTTTCCTCTCCTTTCACTAATCTATATCAACATTCATTCGTCTTTAATTCCCTTGTCTTTCTTTTTTCCACCTCATTTGTCTTCCTCCTTTTACTTCTTTCAGTTTTTTTCTTTTCCTCTCCTCAATCATTTCTTCTTTTAGATGTTTTTCACCACATTTCCTCTTTTTATTCCCATCAGTTCTGGCTCGCGATTGTGATGCCGGGGTGAACTCCGAGATCTCCTACTTCATCCCGAGTGGCGATTTTGACATCACATCCGGGGGTGTGGTCAGCCCTGCCCGTCGCCTGGACTATGAGCGTCCCAATCACATCTACGAGTTTGTAGTTGTCGCAGTGGACGCAGGGACGCCTCCTCGAACTGGGACAGCCTCTGTTCGTGTCCGTGTGGCCAACACCAACGATGAGGTGCCGGTCTTCTCCCAAAGCGTGTAAGAACCTCCGTCTGGTCAGCTCGGTGTGGTTGTCACTTTACTTAACAGTAAAGAGGTCAGATGTCAGCGTCTCTCTTGTTTTCACTCCTTCTGTCACCCACAGAGTCGATCTGCTAACTGAGGTGTTTTTAAGTCACTTTATTTTTATTTTTGTTTCCTCCATTTGTTTTCACTTCATCTTCACTTCTACAATCAATCCAGACTCTTTCCTTCACACTATCATGTGTTTGTGCATTTTGTCTTGCACTTCTTACTTCGTGTAACATGTCATCCTACCTTTTCCAATGTCCTCCAGTACAGTTAAAGGTTATTTCCCTCTTTTTTGCAGCTACAAGACCTTCCTTAGTGAGGATGCTGGTCCTGACACACTGGTCGCCATTGTTCACGCCAATGACCCTGATGGGGATGGCGTCTCTTACGCCATCACAGGGGGCAATGAGGACAGCAACTTCCAGCTAGACAACCAAAAAGGTGAGACAAAAGCAACAAACCTTTTGTCAAGTTGAACTTCTGTTGAAACAGAAGATCCAGATCAAGATTTTTCTCTGATACTGTTCTGTCATTTAAATTCGGAGTGCGAATGAAGAACAACCCAACTCCTTTCGGTTTCTTCTTCTTGCTGCCTGCGACATTGCTAATAACTGCAAGTCAAGTTAAGTTTATTTGCATAGCACCAGCGCTGGGCACTGCTAGCTAAGAAGTTAGTTGCGCTAACCCTAAAATTTAATTGTGATATTATAACTTGCATATTCTATAATAGCTATATTGTGCTTTCCTGTTTATTTTGTTTGATTTTGTTCCCATGTTCCATTAGCAGTAGTGTGTGGAACTGTGCCCATCACTGCATAGCACATTTCAGCAACAAGGTGGTTGGATTTTACCTGATAAAAAATGTGACACAATAACCAATTATATTCAAAACAACAAACAAGCAACATTTTAGTCAAATAATTTACATTTTGCTGCACCTCTATGCACTCTATTAGCTGTTTTCCTACAGATCAACATTTTCATTTTAATCCTTTGTTTTGATATGACTGTTATTATTCAACTGCGTCTTTAATTGCATTTTTATTTTAAGGCTATGTGAACAAAACATTCAAAAAAATTGATATTCTCACAAAAAAAAAAACTCAGGCTGCATTTGAAGGACATCAAAATAGATGTAAATGTAAATCTCCCAGAGTGCATCACACCAAACTATCACTCCTTTCTGCTGCTGGACATGTTCCCTCTGATAACAGACAGCAAGCAAAGCATTGAAATAATATTCAAGTTGATTTAAAAAAAATGCTTAAATTCGGTCTTGAAGAATGTAAATGGCTTACTCAAATTTTAAAATGAATGTGAGCAGTAGATTAAGAGTTTCTCTAGGCAGTAGATGTTTTTGTTCTGAAAACATTCCTCTTTTTCCAGCTCTGCCTCTAATGGGACAGTAATGAATGTCAACATGTTATTTTTTTAGCAAGCAGAGCGCTCTGACACACACAAACAAGGGGAACAATCACTTTTACACATGTACACACACAACAGCAGTGTTCAGATCACTTACAATTACACACACACACATGCACACAGCAAAGTGGTTGTTTCCATAGTAACAAGTATTTGGGGATAAAGCGTGATAGTATTAACGAGGCCAGCGTACCCCCTGGAAGACACAAATGCATAAATAAAAAAACAAACACACATAAATAATCACTGCGGCTCACACGCAAACACAGCTGTCCCTGATGTACTTCACTCATTTGAATATTTGTGCACCTATCTTTGTGAGGACCTTTACATCCTTTTGTGACTGAAAAATAAAAACTTGTTTATGTGCCAAACTCAAAGTATGTGGAATGCACACGTTGCTTTTCCATTTTTTTCTCCAGTGTTTCAAGAGTGACAGTGACAATGGTTGCTGAAGGCATTTTGTTTTTTGGGCTGTGTCTTTGCTGTTCATCTCAGCAGTGCTTTAAGGGATGCTTTAAAAAAAATACAAACTTATCAAATGTTCTGTTGGACTCCAGTGGCAGAAGCATCCATGTTTTGGCGTCTCTGCAGCATCATTCAGTGTCTTTCATGATGACAATGTTGCCAGTGTATACTTTCCTGCGACATCTATATCTTTCAACCATTTTTGAATTATGAGTTGTTCATATTGCTTTTCAGTGACTCAACAAAGTGTAATGAAGAATGTTTCATGCTCTACCATGAACACTAGACATTATGCTCAATGTACCTGGAAAAACTGGTGACAATGGTTTACTGCAGCTGGTGGAGTGCAACTGAACAAATAGTCAAAAAATGGACAAAAATAACTATACACAATTATTTGAAAGGTTAAATTAGACAATTAGAGTGATGCTAAGATTCTCTCTCATGCAGCTCTTGTTATTTAGGGCATTGAGAAAGAACATTTGGAATTTGGGATCAATTTTCTTCCTCCCTGTTGATTGGAGGAATGGGGTTTGCCCTGTTTCCCACAGAGTAACCTGATCTCAATAGACTGGTTCCCAGTGTGAATCGATGAGGCACTTGTCTTGTATTTGTAATCTTAAAACGTCTCTTTGATAAGTCAGAAATAAAATAAAGTAAGATAAATAAATAAAAAATAGAGCGACCCATGAAGCTGAGTTCAATGTTAGTGTGATTTTCAGCTTAATAAATAAGACATTAAAACAGGGTTTCTGCACACTGTTGTACTTGTACTTTGAAACAAGGCCCTGAATCCCATTGCAAACGACAGAGAGGAGGCAGTTCTGGTTTTAATATGTGTAAAGCAGAGAAATAAGATGTTTGCAAAGGGCTGCTAAGAACAGTTGGCACCAAAAATGTGAGTAAATCCCTTCTGTTTTCTGACATTCAACTAGAATTCGCTCATTTCTGGTGTGATGTCACTCCCAGATCTGAACTTTGACATCCATTTTCGCATGACATTGACACACCAGACTCTTTGTTATTTTTTAAGTTATTGAACAGGTTTTGTTGATGGAGGAGTGTTGGCATTTGAAAAAATAAATTGCAGCTTTGTGGGTTTGTTTATGCTGCAGAAAGGCTGTATGTGGAGTCCACCTCTTGTTGCTCTAGCAGTGCCCATATAATGGCTGGTGTCCTCCACACTTTTTATTTTTGCATGCTGGATTTCCTGCAGCTTGTTTTGTTTGAGAAAATGTGTTTTCCTAGAAAATTACCTCAGTTTGTTCCTCCTACTGTTTTTCTCTATCAAGCCTGGAAAAATGTTGGCACGACGTTCTTTCATTAAGTCCCAGGGGCCGTTCCACAGAGAGCCAGCCACAGCGTCATCTCTTTTTGCAGTGCAGGTGTTCGAGCTGTGGTCTCTGCTTGTTCTGATGAGCAACACAGGAGGATGTTTGGGTGAATTTTCCTCCATATCGGAATGAGAAAAACATGGTCTCTTTTTCCGCAACGTGGCAGAAATAAGGCAGTCAGAACAAACACACACAAAGTGGGTTTTCTCTAGAAAAATCTTGAACATAATCTTTCCCCATAAATGATGTACTGAGACTGTCTCCCAGATGTCCATGTCATGTCAGCAAGAGCAACATATCAGCAATCATTAAGGTGTTTTTTTTTTTGGCAAAGGTGAGACAGTCCTTTGTGTGGTTTTGGCCTTGAAACTCACATGGATGATATTTTTGCCCAGGATCTTTTTCTTATTGTAGAATCATGAGGTCAGGCCTTAGGTGAGGAAAGTCTGCAGTGCTTAAGATGCCATCTTGTTTTCTGTGTTTGTAGGTAATAGCCCATGTCATTTACTTTGGTGTCAAAGCTTTATAAATGTTCTTGTGTGACTTTCAATGACTTTGTTTCTCATCTCATTCTTGAATGTCTTTAGATTTGGACGCGATATGTTGGTTTTTGAGGTATTTTAGCCCACTTTGACATAAAATCTGTGCAGGGAGCTAATTTTTAAAGTGATGACATTGAGGCTTGGACCATGAAAAAGTTGATTGCTGTTATACCAAGAAAATACATTTGCAATGGTGTTTGAAAAAGGTATAAATAACTTTAGCCCTTTTTCTAAACACATGTACTTTGAATTGATAATCACTTTACATTATTTTAATATCGCTTTGAAGAATATTTTATATCAAAAACATTTGCATCACTTTTGTCCCTGTTTAACTTTTTTCTGACTCGCTCAGTCTTGACGAAAGTAAAAAGTAACAATATATACCCTACTGCTAACCTACTTTTTGTTGGTCAGAGGAAATTAAATGCCGGTTAAATCTGAAGCCCTTGGTTCTGTTGTCCGTTCTTTTCTGCCACTTTAAACTTTATTTCCCCTGAGGCTCTGTTTGAACATAACTTATTTTAAGGAGGGTCAAAGTTTTGGGGGTCAGTTCTTTGACGTAGCCACATGCACTCCTCCACTGTTCTCATGCATCTGTGCACAAAACGAAATAAATGTGAACATTTGCACATAAATGTTGTATTAACGCTCTTTTTCACACTCTCAGGCACACCTACACACACGCCGGCACACACTCATCTGCACTCATGCAGCAGATGGCCTTTGGCTTGCTCGGATGTTCTGCTTTGTCACTTCAAAGCTTTGTGAAGTATTTTCATGTAGATGTGATCGCGCCCTCTCAGCCTCCGTGTCTATATTGATGCTGCTACCAAAGCTGCTTGTTTGTTTGTTTGCGATGCCTCTGTTATGTTAATGCCGCAGCAATTGTTAGCGCAGAAAAAGGGCATTTGTTTTTCACCTGAGTTGGAATAATGTGAGGGTTTTTTGCGAGCTGTTGCTTCAGTTGACAGTCGCTGCTGCTGTTGACCCACAGAGCAGGAAACACACAGCGCCGCTTTTCATCTCCAGTGTTTTTTAAACTCAACACGTCCGCTGTTATTTATACTCACCAGCAGGATTTTTATTGTGGATGCTGTGGCTCAGAAACAACCACAGCAACTTGAGCAGTGGCTCCTGGGTGCTTTCTTATACTTTCTGTTTGCAGAAACATTTTTAATTTTCTCATTCCTCCAGAGAAGTTTATGTATTGCCATCTGGCACAAAAAAAAAATCTTGTGATGCAACTGAACAGGATTTCTAAAGATGTTAAAGCATTCAATGTTCCCTATATAAGAAACCTTATTAGGAAAAAAATTATTTGGCTCTTTTTAGAAAAATAAAGATTCAGCTAGTATTTTAATATTTTTATGTCTAGGCATCATCAAGCTGCGGCGGAGCCCGCCCCCCAGGCTCAGGGGCCCGCAGTACGTCCTCAACATCACCGCCACAGATGACAACGCTTCCGGTGGTTCCTACCCACTCAGCAGCGCCGCGCAGGTCATCGTTGGGATCAATGACATCAACAACAACAAGCCTGTGTTTGATGAGGTTCCACAATTGATCCCATATTGTGAATAAAAATGCATCAACAGCTTTTTCATCTCCCTGACTATAACGTTTGTTTCTGTCAGTGTCAAAACTACAATGCAGCGGTTCTGGAGAACCAGCCGCCAGGGACGTTCGTGCTTCGCGTGGAGGCTCATGACGCAGACACGGGGGTCAACGGAGAGGTCAAATACGGCATCATGCACAGAGACGGTGTGTCGTCCGGGTTTGATATTGACCCTCACACTGGTAAGCTCTAAAGAAGGACCTAATGTAACAGTTTATATACACTGATATAAACTGTTATTCTATCAATAATTTTGAGGTAAAAAAATGACACATTCCGCAGATTTTCCATATAACCACAAACTTATTTTGTGAAATATTGAAAATAATTTAACTAATTTTCAAATAACAAAATCAACTTTTTTCGACTAAAATGCCATATCATCATTCCTTTAGTTAATGCTTAATCATTTGTAGCAAAGGATGCATCTGCTGCTAAAAAATGGTTTCAACACATGAAAAACTCAACCTTTCCTACAGTATTGACATCAATACAGTGTAGAGCTGATCTATTGATTGTTGTATTGATTTATCAATTATAGGTGGACAGCACAAGGTACTAAACAGATATTTTTGTACTGAATTTGAACTGGGTGAAACTAAAATTACCACTTGAAGAATTCAAGTGGTGGGTTGAACATATTTATATCTTAAATGCAAGATGTATTTATTTTGTACGGTTTTGGCTTAAATACGACTATGTTGTTCTTTTAGCAAATTTTCTTTCTATTAGGTCGGTATAATCCAGTGAATATTTAATCAATTACTGTGTTAGCTGACATCTTAATCCGATTAACTGTTTCAGCCCTAACATAGTGTCTTGTGTAAATTGTGTCTTGTCAGGTGTGATCACCACAGCAGTAAGTTTTGACAGGGAGCGTCAGAGAGAATTCACGCTTTCTGTGACGGCCACTGATCAGGCTGAGGAGCCACTGATTGGCATCTGTCAGATCACAGTGCTGATCCTCGATCAGAACGACAACGACCCCAAGTTTGAAAACAGCCGCTACCAGTGTAAGTATTGCTGGAAGACATTCTCATTCCCAGCAGATGAGCTGCAGGACATGTGGACTATTTGACCATTTCCAGCTCAACACGAAGCATCATCTGGTCCAGAATACGTTTACAGGGAAAAGGTGAAACAAAAGCCTCATGTTTGTTGTCACTGACGTCTGCTAATCTGCATCTTTGTAAACCTGGAAAGCTCTTCATGCTGATGAAATATTCGCAGTGATACTCCATGGATTTGTGTTTGTTTACTGTCTGTGCAAATATGTGTTTTGATAAGCGACTTGTCAGAAGTTCTCCACGTCCGATTACAGAAACACGCAGAGTGGCTCATTAACTATTTAAGAGGCAGATTTAAATGTTTCTGGGACATGAATTTATTTACCGCTGGTTAGTGAGTGTTTGCATGCTCTCCTGCCAGAAAGCACTTTTATTTAGTTGGCTTATTATTCATATTGTGGTCTTAATACACATCCAAAGGTTCTGGGCTTTCGGCGCGGCGATAAGCAGCTGGTATGTTTTCTCCTTACTTTCTAATAGCTTTAACATATTCGGCACTTCCTTTTCCTGCAGAGAAGTATGTTTACTGGGAAGTATCCTCCGGCTGCAGAAACAACTTTCAGACATCTGTGAACATGAAAGTAATTCTAAACTTAGGATAGAAGTATAGAAATCCAGCACTTGCTTTAAAGTTTTGGATTTTGCAGCAAATATTAACAAATAGGAGTAGAAAAAAAAACCTCTGCCAAATTTATATTCAGTGTTTGTTGCAACTGTGACTCAGTGTGGATTTGACTAGGCTTGTCCAGAACATGCACCTTGCTGTCTTTGTTGATCATAATTGATTTGTGAAAGCAGTACAAAGGGTAAAACATTCAGGAAAGTGAATACTTTTTCTAGTATTCATCTTTTTTGTGACATTTTCGATGCTATGGGGATCTAGAGATTGCTTGTGTAGAACACTTGTTTAGAAAATTACTATTTTTATCAATATATCTTGTAAACAACTACATTACAGTAGAGCCTCACAGTCCAAGCTGTTGGTCAGAGTGAAGGCTTTTTCTTGGATTTCTCATTATATTTAACAGAATATGAGATGAGTTTTCAGTTGTAATGCATTCACAGACACCCAAATATGCAAAGGAAAATATTATCGACATAATGTTTGTGAAAGCAACATTTGAGGGAGAAAATGCAGCAGTCGACCTCCTTTCCTCTCGTTGTTTTGGTTGTCTGATCAGCACTGACATGCGCCGCAGTCAGCAGGATTTGAGGTTATATTCATAAATATAAAAATGCATGTTGACTTTGTGAAATGAGACCCAGAAATGACAAAATGAGGTGACACTCTGCTGACACATCACAATGCTGCGTTCCTATTATTATAATGTCTGCTTACAACCACACAATGTGGTGGTAAATTTTGTTCCGTCAAATTTAATCAAATATATTCGTCATGCTTGAGTGAGAATGGGATTCTGGGTGGAGCTCGATGGACTACATCTAGCATCTTTCTGGACATTAAACCAAATGTTTTTCTATCTTCAGACTTCCTAAGAGAGGACACTCCAGTTGGAACTAGTTTTTTACGGGCGGCGGCGCACGACGACGATCAGGGGAGCAACGCGGCCATCACCTACTCGCTGTCCAACCAGAAGCCAGCTTACCTGCACATCAACCCCAACACTGGCTGGATTTATGTCAACCACCCAATCTCACAGGTTAGAAACACAACAGGTTCAACCTTAGTTTAACTTCATGCCAGCTTTCAGTCTACTCCAAAAGTATTCATACATTTTGCACAAACTTTAATATATTTCCCAGCAATTTTATGTGTATCAACAAGACATAGTACAAAATTATTAACTGCAAAAAGTTCTGTTTTCGAGTTGCAAATCCGGCTGTAACTGAATGGTTCATGTTGCAGCTTATTTGTGTTCAAATGGTCCAATCAAAGTCCAACCTGAAATCCTATTGTGAATCATAAGTGGCAGGTAAAATGCAACCTGACTTGAGTTTTAGCTTTTCTGTGGAATGACGAGAAATGTTAGCACCCGTGTGCAAACATTTAACTCAGATGGGCTAAATACAACTTCATGTCACATTTTCAGAGTGAAAAACATCAATAACATTTTTACAGTAAATGGTATTAACAACTATTGTTGTAAGGAACCAATATATGAATAATATCCAGGTGTGTGACTTCTTCTGGAAATTCATTTTTAATTTTTTCCTTAATTTATGTTTTCCACCTACTGTTTAATGAAACTTAAATTTTGCCTTTGTAAATGATAACAAAATAAATTGATAATGATTTTGCTCATCATCATCTCAAAATCTAAGACTTTCACGTAAACATGAATGACAATATTACTGACTTTTCAATATTTTAACAATTATGTCCTTATGTAAGTACATGTTTGGTTCTCCACAGACCAAATAAATAGTAAATTTACTTCATTTGATCTCTCTACCTGTTTGTCTCCTTAAAGACGTCCCGGATCAACCAGCAGGTCTTGGCCTCAGACGGAGGAAACCGCAGCAGCTCTGTGGAGCTGACCGTCATCATCACCAACGTTCACAACCAGCCGCCCCACTGGGATCAGCCTGAATACTGGGTCACTGTGCCGGAAAACACTGTCCGAGATGCTAAGATAGTGGTGAGTCAGAGACCATGACACTTTCAAATTTAAACTGAATAAATGATTTGACAACTATGACTTTTCATAATCACTGGGCAAGACATGGGGATGATTTTATCCAAGCTGTACAGAAAAATGGCTGCATGATTATTTTTCTGTGTTCAGGATTCATTAAGGCATTTATCACTTTGCAGACAATGAGTATTGATTCGAGCGTGGTTGTAATTATTTTGAAAATATATTTCCAATCACATTTTACTTACAGCACATTTGTGTATTTTTTACAATTTTAATGCAAAACATTTTTACTAAATTTGAACATTTATTCCATTTGTTTTCTTTTTGAACATACTTTTGTCTCACCAGTTAAATAAAGTTTTTCATTTGAAGTTATTCTCAATGTCTTTGTTTCTGCAGAAATCCCTGAAACTGTTATCTTGCAACAAGCTTTTTAGTTTTTGAAATAGAGAAATATTGCTGTATGGAACGCAACTCGAATGTTTTTTTTTAGCAAATTTGTGAAAAGTAAACCACAAACAGGCAAAGGTTGACTTTATAATACATGTGACAACCCAACAGTTTGCATTGCTCTTGGTGATGAAAGGTTTGGTTGCAGCTGCCTAGCGATTGAAACCAAATCCATGAAGTTCTCTGAAATGCTATTGAGCTCATATGAAGGCAGAATAATTTCTCGAGGTCTGTAACTGTTGACTGCAGAAAGTTCATGAACTCTGTGCACTACTCACCATCTGCTGACCCCACTTTGTGATTTTATTCGACCCACCGCTTCATGACCGCAATGCTGTCATTTCTGATCACGTCCATTTTCTTATATCATCACTAACAGTTGACTGTGGATTTTCTTGAAGGGAAGAAATTTCTCAGCTGAACATCTTGTCACGGTACGATGCTGGAATTTACTGACCTGGTAATAAAGGCAGTCGACAGCTTACGTGCTTGATTTTGTACACCTGGAGCCATGAAACTGATTGGGTCAACTGTATTCAGTTATTTAAATCTCTGACCCAATACTTTTGGCAATATAGTCAAGGTTTCTTTGTGATAATTGTGATAACCAAATAAAAATTCTGATTCACATTTAGACACATTTAGTTTCACACTATAGTCTAAATGTGTGAAACTATTTGAGCCGCAAGCGAATGCGACTCAAATAAAAATTTTTGCCCATATCCAATTTTTTCATGACTGTCTGAATGGCTCAATTCTGATCTTTTCACCCCCAAGAAAGAAAAAATGTCTGATTTGTGCCATCTCCATGTGGTACTCAATATGTTACATATATGATTGAGTTCAAAGCATTTGCAGCTATTCAATCCAACTTTTACTTCATTGACATGACACATGCATCATAATTCTGCACCAGAAGAAGCCACACTCTGTGAACCAGGAGACAAACAGTGGCAGAAATCGATGAAATTATGTATTAAGTCTATTCCAACAAAGCACATCACAGTCACAAGCACGCCACTCCTCACTCATCCAAACATCCAAACTGACTTCTCTACTGTCAGCTCCTGTTGCTGAACAAACTTTAAGATCAATCTATAAATAGCAGCATTCAGTATTACTTTGATAAGCGATGCACAGTTTGCTATTAGTTTAATTAGTGGTATGAACAACCACGTAAAAAAAAATAAAAAATACGATTTCAGCCAAAAAATCTGAAATGAGCCTCAAGATCTGCTGTGTGATTCAAGCTTTAGAGTCTTTCCAAACTGCTGTTTTCTAGTAAAAGCAGTTTGCAAAGTCTTATCTCGTGTCCCATTTTCTGTTTGAGTGACATGGACAGGACTAATACCTTATTTATTTGCTCTTTGAGATGAGTTGAGGAAGAAAATGACAAAAATCGAACGTTTTCGCTTTTCATCCCAGATTTTTGGCTCTTTTGGGAATATCTTCCACAACGTCTTCAAAAAGATCCCAACTATCCCGGTTGTCCCCAATTGTTGCTGATTAGGAAATTACCACTTGTGCTGATCCGAGTTGTAAAGCAACACGTTTTGTGGGGAAACGTAGAAAAACAGGAATATTTAAGCCCAGTTGTTCTCCTGCAGCAGCGAAACAGCTCTCTTTCATTTCCATCCCTCGTCATGCCTTTGCAGAGCGCCCCGAGGAGGCTGGAAACACTCTTTCTTCCTCTTCATCCTGCTCTCTCATCCGTCCCTTCCTTCTTCTCCCCGACTCTGTGTCAGCACGTTTAGCCGAGCTCCACCAAGCACTTTTCTGCCGAGTAAACAACAAACCCGCCCCGAGTCTGTCTCACCTGACTCACAGCAACCAACACACACGCGTACTGCTTGTAGACCTCAAGGGTTTCTCTTTTTTTCCTCTTTTGATCCCCCCATCCTAATTTGTTCTCTCTTCCTAAGCCTCTAGTTTTGGAGGTGGAGGAGTTTTCACCCTCCAGCTGCTCGATTTCACGGAGGTTAGTCAGTTTTCAAACAGTGTTTTTGGGTGTGTATCGGTGTGTGTTTCTGTGCTCCTTTTAGAACATTTTTCACTGAACGTCCTGAAAAGTGCTGCTGGTGATTGGAGGTTGTTCCACCCACACGCTCCATCTGTCAGAGATGATTGAGGGGAAGGGGAAAATTACACCTGCTGTCTGAGCATCACAATGGACTCCCATCACCTCCGAAAAACAGACGTTTAATTATTGTGTTTAACCTGACAGAGACGGTGCGAGGGAGGCGGGAGGGAAGGAGGGCGGCAGGAGAGGGAGTCGAAGGAAACGGACTAACACATTGTTGATTTCAGTCTTTTTATAGTATCTGTTGACAGCATGGAAAATATCAAAGAATATGAGTTTTTTCTTTCTCTTGGATGAACAGAGCAGCCACAGGTTTTTATTGCATTCTTTCTGAGGAGTGAATGTGTTTGTATGGCCTTAGGAATGATGGAACTGTAAGGGTGATATGGGGATTTTTTTTTGCAAATTTTCTGAGCATTTTATGATCTAATCTTTAGGCGAATTTACTGGGACATCAACTGGAACTTATGTTTCTTTCTTAAAGGTTTTTTCATGTTTTGATTGCCTCTGTAAGGTCACTGCTGATGTCTTTTCAACTTGACACCGTGTGACAAACACCTGTGTTCTCTAAACTGTTAAATTACCAGATGTTCAGCTTTTATAGAGGGTTTCACAGTTCTTTTGTATTAGTTAAGAAGAATTTTTAGGGTTAGTCTCAAACTGCTTTAGCAAAATTGTTGCATTCATAAAAACCAGGAAACCTGGAGGAGTCGTGAGAATATTGATGATTGTTTCTGTTTGAGCAGTTGTTCAATTTGACCATTTATTACAATTAAAACCCCATTTTTAAGATTTATCAACTTATAATTGAATGTAAATGATCTTAGAAAAGAAACACTGATTTGAGATTTGGTTTATGACCATCCTTCAAAATCTTCAATGTAAAATAAAAAAGAATCAACAAAAGAAGAGAGCTGTATAAATCTAATAAGCAACATTGAACAACTAGCTGCGTTTCCATTACAAATATGCCAAAAATCACACTTGAATAAGTTTGATAAGTCATTAAAAAGCATGCCATCCGATCATCTTCCAATCACTTCCTCTTTACTTCTTTGTCTTTTCCGACAGAAGACGTATCCAGTCTTGGTCACATGACTTCTTGATGTGAAAAAAAGTGTTTGCAGTTTTGTGAAATGCACAAATTTTGAAACACCTGAAAAATCACTTCATCCTTGTGCTTTCTTGTCCTAGAAAGCACAAGAACTTTCTATCGAAATTCTTGTTTGTTTGTTTTTCAAAATTGGAATCTTTCCATTAAGCAGATTTATTTTTATTATTCCAATTTGTGCAATTAAGTGATAAATGAAAAAGTAGCTACTACCTACCATTCAAAAGAGAATCTAACAAACAACCACAAAAGCTGTAAGGTAGCAATATCCCTTGTGCAGGAAATCAATTTAGCTAATTAAAATGTATAATATACCAGATCTGACAACTTACACAAATCACTCCAAGGACTGAAATATGTCCTCCTCCTTCTTCCTGCCTCCTTCCTCCTTCGTCTCTTCTGCAGTGGGTAATTGCACCAAGGAGAAACTGTTGTTTTAAATTTAGCAGCCTTAATAAGGTATGTTAATCACATTGTTAACGAGGCAGAGGGAGAAACATGCTGCAGTGGTGGAAGGTGCTGTGTGTTAAATCTCCATATCAATAAGCTGTTGTCATCTCCCACTCAGGGTATAATAGTCTCCTCATCATTTGACTTCCTCCTCTTGCTTTCTTCTCCATCCTGTTTGTGTATTCTCATGGAACAGGTACTTTACCTACAGCTTAACCTTATAATGTTTCATTTTTGTAGCCCAGTATTGCTTTCCAGTATCTTTTTTTTTTAAAGAAGCTGACTGCTGAAAAAACCTTTATTGTCCCTCTTTGAGGAAACTTAGGTTTGCCAACGTCAAAGTGACAGGCCAGCAAAAGCATCCATGTTTCCACCAACAAAGTACAATTATAAAAAACATAAAGTAAGAATTAGAGTATACAGTGATTAGAATTGTCTTGTTGCAGATCTGCTGCGTAAACTTTCTTCACCCACTTCTAAAATACAGTTGATTACCAAAACTTCAGTAAAACTTTATTCAAATGAGTTTTTATAAAACAGCCAAATAAATTAGTGCTTTACAATTTATCTATAAAAATTGATTTAGGGGAAACTAGGAGTGCTACATCTTTTCAAAGTTACCAAAAAAGTTGAAGTGCTAAGCTAAAAATTAGTTCTGCTATTAGCGCATTAGCGGATTAGTGGAAGTGTGCCCACCATTGCAAAAATGTTGCTACATCATACAGACATAAAGAAATTGTTTCTGGGTTATGAAACACAACAATATGGAAAACAGAAACTACAAAAATACTGAAGCATTTCTACTTTTAGTTCAGTGCTTTTTTTTGTTTGTTTCTGGAAGTTAACTGTGTTGTTCATAGATCATATAGTCACTTCCATATTGCTTCTCCATCCATCCAGTCACATAAAACTGACGTACATTTCAAACCAGGACTTTAGGACCAAAGTATTTATTTATTTTTGTGTTCTGATACACCCCTCGACAAGCACAACACAATACTCATCTGCATGAAAGATGTAACAGTAGGTGAAAATAAAAGCGAAGACTTTTGTTTGACCTTACTTACCTTGCTTCAGCATTTTGAAGTAACGAGCTTTTAGCAGTGAAGCTGAAAGGATGAAGTGCGTTCCAGCTGCTGCCTCAGTCCCAGCACCAGCCACACCAGCTGCCAGCGATCTCCAGCCATTTCTCCACGGGCATTAATCTGTGTGGGAGAAGATGGCAGACACTGATCAGTTTAGCTTCAGCGCACTGCAGTGATGTCTAATGAGATGATTCCTCATTAACACTGATTCCATACGCTCCGCTGCCCGGGCCTACTGCAGGGCTGAGCCACGCTGCACCAACATGTCAGGACACGACTTCTCACCTGGAAACTCAAACACACCTTGAACCTAAATGGGTTTTTTAAGAGTCAAACGAAAGAGGAAAACCTATTCAAGAATATAAAGAGATTAAATAACTTGTTGGGGGAAATAATTGAAGCGAATGTGGCGTATAGGTCATGTTTTCTACAATGGAAACACTGATTTATTATTCCACTATAAACTGACCTTTTAACCAAGAATCTTGGTGTTTTCTTACAGCATATGTTTCTCCAAATTGCTAAGTCGATAACAAAGACACAGGAGTCACTGTTGCTTGGAAGGAGAGGGCTGAGAGGGTTTTGGTGTTTAAAGTTGTTGACAGCATTTCTCACTCAGGGAAGGCATGTTAACTCCAGGAAATGACAAGAACATATGGAGTTGCTCGGAGGTCATATTTTCTTTTTCAATTGAGCAAGTCAGTTTCTCTACGCATCAATTCTTTGTGCTGAAATAGATTAAGCATGCCCTTTACCAAAGTGAAATGATTTTACATCGACTGCTCACCGGGGGCACCTTCCACAAATGATCTATTGATAAACAAGGTGAAGTGTTGATAATTGGCTTTTTTTTCACTTCAATTGTCCCATTAATCATAAATACATATTGTTTGACATGTCACTGAGACCTGACAAAAAGATGTCAAATTTGAATTCAGCAGCATCATCCTTCATCGATTTTCTAAATTTTTAAAGAAAATCTAATGCATAATTTGAGAAGCTCTATTGAGAATGATAATACATCTTTTGAAGATGGTTGCATTGGATGGTTTCTGTGTTGATTTGCTACAAAAGACATAGATCTGGATCTCCTCTGGAGCCAAGAAACCCTACAGAGGGAACCATGAGTCGTCTCATTCAGATATATCTTTATATTAGTTTAATGGACAATTATTTATAAATTATGTTTCCAACACACACGTTGTGTGTGTTTGTGCTGCTTAGGTCACAACCCTGAACTGTAAAGTGAGTTGACATCATTCAACCATGGGAACTGGTTATGCAGCATGGATGGGAATCTCTGAAGGACAAAATACTTGAAAGCCTTTTCTCACAAATACAAACATGAACACAGACACAATAAACTGTGACTTCAGGGGAATTTCTCCTATGAAAAAAAATATAAGAAACAACAAGAAGTCATAATGGTGTTTCTTAAAGATGCCTTATAGCTTTTAATCTGAAAACTAAACTGAATTTTAATTATGATTTGAATTATATAATTAGAGTTGTCTCATAATTATACCAGTGAAAATCAAAATTGAGTTTGAGTCTCATTTCACTCTATTGTGAAATTATGCTTGTGAATCTCAGTCATGTCTTTTCTTACATAGCGGAAATGAGGGTTTAGTTTCCTTGAGACTTTTGGTCAGCCAGTAGTTGCATCAATCTAATGACCAACTTAAGACAATTTAAACTCACAGGAGTTCACACATTTGGCTTGTTACATTAAAAAAAAGTAAGTAGTGATGCACTCAGAGTTTCTCTCTAAGAACTTTTTCCATAATAGGTCTGAAATTCTGCTTTGGTCACTGAAATCCTGCATTCTTTGAAATGTAGATGAGTACTTCAGTTAAGTTTTCTGTTGTAATAATAGATCAGAAAACTTTTGGATCTGTTTCACAATGAAGGGCTGTATAGACGACACCAGCTGCATCGCCTTGTCACAAACCCACACAATCCTCTTTGGCTTGATTTTCTTTATGAATTATGTTGAGGTTCACAGTGAAAAAATGCAACTTGTCTCTATTTCTGGACTTTAATATAAACTCAAAGCTTAAGATGAATACACAGAAGAGAAGCTGATCCATTCAGTGGCTGTATAAAGACATTTCATATTTATCCTGAGCACTATTGAATACATTTAATCTAACTTAAGGCCCCTTCCCTTCTCTATCCACCACTTACCAAATAATAAACTTTAAGTAAATTATTTAAAGAGAAACAGTTTAAATATATAATTACATAAGGCCAGAATTAGTTGATCCAACCTGCAACATCAAATGTAGGAACATAAAAGCAGAACTTGGTAACCTGAAAGTGAACTTTAATCCCTCTGTGATCGTATGTTTTTGTTGCTGGCACTTTAACAAGTAAAATCTATTTTTCTATTCAGACTGTCAAGGCAACGTCTCCACTTGGCGATCCCAGGGTGACCTACAATCTGGAGGAAGGCCTGGTGCCAGAGACCAACATGCCGGTGCGGTTTTACATCAAACCAAACCGGGTGGACAGCTCGGCGTCCATCCTGGTGGCCGAGAACCTCGACTACGAGATGACGCGCTTCTTCACGCTGAGAGTGCGTGTGCAAAACGTTGCTGCTGTGCCTCTCGCCTCCTTCTCCACTGTTTACGTCAATGTGACAGGTAAGAATGGCTAAGGTGAGGCTAACATAAATTGTTTTGCAAACCGAGAATTTTCAGCTGTTTTCACCGTTCATCTTAATTCAAGGTCAGTTTTTGATTTAGAGCTTTCCATGACTTTATTTCATTTCAAATTTAAATGAAATTTACATGAAAGTTAAAGATGTTATATGAGAGAAAATGTACAAATCTTTAGCCTATTATCATTTAGCTTTGCTCAGAATCTTACTTTTATAAGTTCTGAAGTTGGTATTATTGGCATTCTTGCCCCCTATTGGGGTAAAATAGGTGTTACATAATTTTTAACAGAATCTAAACAGAGACAAAAATAATTTGAATTAATGCTCAATTGTGTTGTTGTTGAACTGAAGACATTTTCTATCATTAATTTCACATTGTTCACAGAAAGGTTTACGAAGCAGCAAAAAAAACATTCTTCTTTAAGCTTTATCTGCACAAAATTCATTAGAACTGAACTGAAATATGTTACACACTTAATTACAAAATTGTGTTTATGTTAGCGTTAGCATACTATCTTAATAAATCAAATAAAAACATAGTCTACAAACACAAGAAATGAATTCATTAAAGACTTTGGAGCTGTATTTATAGAGTCAGATATATCTCAAAAACAAATAATAAACATTGACATGCATGTTATGTCAGTGTTTTTCAATGTTCAATATCTTTCAAACCACAAGCAGTTAGCATGAAAAGACAAAAACTGAATCTTTTATGAACTCACATAAGCATAACAGAAATGGGACAGTTAATAAAATCTATTTTGGTTGATCTTCTGTTTTTAAATCCAGAACTCCAGTTTTCTAATTTACTACAGTTTGAACCATATAAAAGTAATTCCATATTCACTTGCATGTGAAAAGTCGCAGTTTATCTGTGAAGAGCAGAAGCCATCAGTAGGAACAGCTCAGACGTAATGAGGGACAGCCCTGGAAAATGACGAGGACTGAGAGTAATGAGGTTCCGTGGTCGTCTGCAGCAGAGAAAGAAAAGAGGAAAAACATCAACGGTGTGAGCTCCATGCTGCCTCATTTCAAAAGTGACTCATTTCTCAATCGGCATCTGTGGGTGGAGGGAAGAAGAGAGGAAAAAACACTTCCTGACTTTGACTGGCTTTGAACAAACCTACTCTGGATGCTCTAATTGGTTTAGCGGAGCTTGAAAGTGAGCTGACAAGCTTCTTTGTGGACACTTCAGGGTGTTATGAGGATAATTCCTCGCTAATAACTCAATTTTCATTTGCAAGGAGAGACTCATTCCAACTTTCTTTTCTGATGGACTTCAGAGCACAGACGTTTCTGTTTTCCTTGTTTCTCTGTTGTTCATGGCTGGTGCTCTTTGATCGTCTTTGGTAGAGTAAAATGTTGCACAAACCAAAAAGTTGGTCTGGATTAAATCCAACTTAATCAGCTTTTGTAGACACAACAGTTTGTGTTCTGCCAACAAGAAAACTAATAATATTAATTAAAATTAGGGATAATAAATTGCTCTTTTTGTTGTTGTTTTCTATTACAGACGTCAACGACAATGTTCCTTTCTTCCTGTCATCCACATACGAGGCCACGGTGCCTGAAGGAGCACAGATTGGCACATCGGTCGCTCAGGTCTCGGCGACAGACCTCGACTCGGGTCTGCATGGGATGGTAACAAGCATTTGTTACTCCGATCCCTTGGCCGAACTTTCACATCCTCTTCTTCTTGCATTTTTAACCTGTTCTGTGCATCTTCTCTTCAGATCCACTACACGATCCTGAAGGACGAGAGCGGAGACTCTCAGTACTTCAGCATCGACTCCCGCAGCGGCGTCATAGTAACCCGTGCTTCTTTTGACCGTGAGCAGAAAGCTTCTTACCTGATCGAGGTGCAGTCGCAGGATGGCTCCGAGTCAGCCCGACCGGGCCAGCAAGGCCAGCCAAACACAGGTACCAACCAGAGTCATCATCTCATTCACTTACTGCACACACCTGATAAACATACAGAGACTTTGGCATTAGAGGCATCAAAGTGATGATGCCATTAATCAAGAATAGACCCTAACCCAAACCTATACTATATAATTGAATTAATCTTTACTTTTTATTTATTTAACCAGTGCAGCACAAGTGGTTGTAAACCTTTTTTATTGTTATGTGCAAGACATTGATTTTTGATTTCTGAAGCACTTCTCATACATTAAGTTGCAGCTTCAGTTCTGGGTTTATTTGAGACGTGTAGACATTTGATGCAGCAACATCCTGAAGTCCCTAAATTCAGTGATGATTTAAGTGTACAAATACACTCTGTGTCGATCCTTCATGCAGACACTGCCTATGTCAGGATCTTTGTCACCGATGTCAATGACAACGCTCCGGCGTTTGCCCAGCCAGTGTATGAGGTCAGTGTGGAGGAAGACAAGGAGGTGGGCTACGTCCTCATCACTGTCACAGCCAACGACGAGGACGAAGGTCAGTCTGAATCTGGCTTTGTTTTTGGATCGCTTTCTGCTTTCTGGTTGTGGCAAAGTGACACAAATTATGTTTTCATTCCCATTGTTTGTTTTATTCTTTAATATAAATCTTTTTTTACCAATGGAGTTTAATTCATTGCTTCATGTTTCTGGTCTTCTTTTATCTTTTTATTTTGTCGTTCTCTTCCTACTTTTGTTTCTCATTTATTCCATTGTTTTGTTGTATTATCAGACTTTTACAACACATTTCTGCCCTTTCAGGTTTACTTAAAGGTGTTACTTTTTATTTCAGACCTCCTCAGAATGAAAGTTGTAGACATGTTTGCTTCCTGTTACCATCATGACCAATAGAAATGATTGCTAGTCCCACTGATCTGGTCATCTTGTCCTGCAGGAGCAACACAGAACCACTTCAGTCCGGTTTTAAAAAGCCTCTTTCTCTTCTTTCCCATTAAGGTCTTAAACTGATTCAGTGCAGAAAATAAACTCCTCTCTAGCTGGAGGACAGTCAGCGCTCTTGGCTGAGTTAAAAAAGACATAAACACAGACACACAGCTGTAAAACCAAACTGACATGTCCTTATACAGCGTAAGTTATGATTGTAATAAGACATTACTTGGATGTATGCTATGTTTTTGAATATGTACAGTCTGAATAATGAGGCAGCACTAAAACACAAACATTTGAATGTATTAACTCTTATATTTCTGCTGTATTCCAACGCAGCTTACGTAGTGAATTATTTAGCTAAATGTGTTGCCAAAAATGACACAAATGGAACTGATGAACTGGGAGGTGAAAGGTCGAAGTGTGTGTGGTTTTCTTGTTGTGTCTGACTATAAATATTGTATGTTGAGTCTGGGACTGTTGCTGTGTACAGCTGACATCCTGGTCAGTAACAGAAAGATGCATGAGCTGTTTTAGGTGGAGTTGCATTTTTTTTGTGTTATGTTTATGTGCATAAATTGAAGCTAAAAGTGCTAACTTTATCTCAATGTTTTAAATTAGCTAAAAAAAATTCAGGTTCCTCTTTTTTGTGGTCTTGCCACTTTTTCCTCTTCCTCTCCTTGCTTCCTTTCCTTGTTTTCTTCTCCGTGCCTCGTCCACGCGTTTCCTCCCTCTTCTTCTCTTGCTGTCGCAGCTCGTTAGCGAGTGCTGCTGCTCCCTTGAGGTCGACAGTTTTGATGTTTGTCTCCTTGTTTATGTTTGTCCCTCATTCCTCTTCCTCCTCCGCTCTAAACCAATAAGCAGCAGGAGGAAAAAGGACAAAAATATCAGAAAACAAAAGCATAGCCTCTCTTTCTCCATGCGTTTGTTTTTTACTGCTGTTTGGTGTTGGTTTCAGCCTCTGAGATTCTGAGATTTTAGTGGAGTAACGTTGGTGAGCAAGTCATAACTTATTTTCTTTGTCCTCAGAGTAATATTTTACATTTATGTCTTTCTTATTGACTGCTAGCCAGATACACATAATCCTGTTCTGTAGTCCTCAGAGTTTCATCTCATCAGTCGTCACAGATATTTGTAGTGTTTGATAACGCTACTCAATAGTTTGATTTTTGTTGCTCTGATTGAATTGTAAAAGCAATAAAATGGGGAGACACATCTAAAAATAACTGGCATTTATATCTTTTCAGGATCATAAACAGGGTAAAATACCTTTTTATTATCAGAATCCATTTTAATAACCCTTTTATTGTAAATTTTATTTTAAAAATGTTTGAGAGATTAACAAAGCCAATACAAAATATGGAATCATTGTAATAAAATAAGTTAATTGACAGTAATTTAGAATCAAAATGCTCTAATGCTCTAAGATTTATTTGCAAAATTAGTAAAACAAATATTATATGAAACAAAAATGATTAGTCGGATTAAAGCACCAAGTAACATTTTATTTTAGTTTACAGAGAGAAAGCATCAGTAGCATTTGGCTGCACTTTTCTATGACAAAAAACAAAAAAACCTTAGAGAAATATTTTGTATAAAAACACATCATTCAGCTACAAGTAAAGAAAAAAAAAACCCTGACATTAACTTCTAGTCCACTCGGGTAAAATGAAATTATAATTTTTTTTTACCAATATTTTATAATTATTTAACCTCAGGCATCCCAACAGTTGAATAGATGTCAATCCAGATCTGATTTTGTCATTTATTATTATCTCATTTTCGGGATAAAATGAGTTACATAAGTTAAAACTACATTTAAAAAATGAGCCGGTTTTCATGACAGTGACAGCCAATCTAAAACTGTCAGATGTGATTGTACCCTTATGATTTTTGGTTATATTTAGAAGCGCAGCTTTATAGAAGTTCATAAATTGCTGATAGTAATTATTTATTGAATATTTACCATTTGGATCAGATCATTGACCTTTTAGGTTTGACTTACAAACCTTACAGTGAATTAGTTTGATTTAGTGCTGAAATGATGAAAAACACATAATTTCTTCTCGAGAAGTGAGAGAGATTCGAAAACAAGTTAAATCCCAAACAGATACTTCTGTCTGACTCCCATTGCTGACTCAGTGAGGATCAGATTTAAGGTTTGAGTTAATCCCAGTAGGCCCACCATCTAGCCACCAGTTAGGAAGGTTTAGGGGAACGTTTGAGCTAAGATGGCTGTTTCTGCTGATGTTGGTCTCTGTGCTCCCGAGTGGTCCAGAGCCGCAAGCCGTTTAATTCCTACATGCAGTCACTGCTGTGACAAAAACAACGACAATACCGGATCAGGGATCGTGAGAGAATCAGATGGAGTTTCATGTTTTTGCTACATTTTAGTCCCGTGGTCAAGATGCTGCAGAGGTTTTCAGACATAAATAGCAAATAGATAAGATAATAATGTTTCACAAAAGATGAGTTTATCTTCACCTATTTGTCAATAAGATTAAAAGCTGGAGTCTCAACTTCTTGGCTTTGTCAGAAATAAAGTTATACAGTAATAGGAATTTCCACAGCATTTTAGTCTTTTTTAGAATAATCCTTTTTTAACTGAAAAATAAGAGTTACTGTGTTCTTTTTTTTTTCTTGATGCATCCTTTACATAAATATTTACTTACATGTTTATTAAGCAATCATTCTACATGTTGGATATGTTGATGGAAAATATAATTTCTTTATCTTAGTCAAGTGGGTCAGTGCTGTTCGACAAAGACTCTCAAAACGATCCATTTATTATTTATTGGTTCTTATATGATGGTTGTGTTAAAGTTTTCTTTATGCTTCTTTTGTTTGATTGTTTGTTTGTTTGTATGCTTGACATTTGTTCAATTAAGTTTCTTGAACAAAAGGAGAATGTGTGGAGAGGAAGCAAAAGCACAAACAGTCTTCACCCACTTCCAAATGAGAGCATAAATATAAACGTCTAACTTGGTGTGTCTTAAACTACAGGAAGAAATTTGTTATCTTGTTCCTATTGTGATTAAATTCAAGGTTGCCTTACCAGTGAGCCAATTTGTTTCTTGGCTTGAGGCGTTTCCAATACACACCTGCTGATTCTGATGTAAATGCTGGATGCATGTTTTCCTGAAGGTCACACAGGATGAAGAATCAAACTCCTGAAAGAGTTAAAGCTGCACACTGAGACTTGATGAGCTATAAAATGTACTGAAGGTTTTATCCTCCAGCTGTACTGTCACCTTGGCTTCTTTGCTGCTGTGTGTGTGTGTGTTGTACATTATGAGCACAGTTTGTTGTTAAAGCTGACAGGTGTTGAAGGACCAGTGACCTTTCAGCCCTGATATAAACTAGGTATAACAAACACATTTACAGCGGAAATACACACACTGACACTTCAGATCAAACTCCTGCATTCATTTCAGCTTGATTCAGTGTTTGTTGGAATTAGCAGAGGTGAGGTGAAGGGGATGTGAGGAGTGGGTGTAGATTACCCCTCTTCACCTCCTCACTCCCCATAAAGCTGATTAGATGCAGCAGCTTTCGTCGCCCGTCGTGTTTTCTGGCTTCATTTGGTCCTCCTAGTGGAAAATGTGCCGAACTAAGAGTGTCGGGTAATGAGATCAAGAGGCTTTTTATCAGTTCTGCTGAGTTCAGTGTTTCAGTTAAGTGTCGCCTCGGGGTTTAGTAAACACGAACAAGCATCTACCACAGCAGAGAGGTGGAGTGATAATAAGCAACGTGTGATTGGAAGTAACTGGTCGTGTCCTGCTGACCCGAAGTCATGTCTCTGTGCAAACATCTGCCTCACAAAAATCACTGTTTTTACTTCTGATACAAAGCAGTTGAAAGAAATAAAACTTTAATAAATTAAAAGAAGGTCTGCTATCCAATATGACTTCATTACAGCTGCTTCAAATTAATGGTAACATCTTTTCAGTCAGTTTATAAATGTTACTTTCACATTGCTCTCCAATGTTCATGTTCATATTATTCAGGGTCATGTGCAATGTGAGTTTTACGTCATACAAGGTGCAAAATAAGTCATTGAAAGGAATTTTATTGTAATTTTTTGCGAGTGGGTTAGTAAAATTTTCTCTGGTTCCCCACCCGGACCATGCTGGATTCAATATCTTTTCAGAAAAGAAAATTCAAAACGTAAAATGAGTTAGGTAATATTTCTGTACCCTTTAAAAACGTCAACAATGTGTATACACATCCTTAAAAAGTCTTAAATTAGTAAACCTTAAATTAAGGCCTTACAATGTTGTGAGGTTATTTTCAAAAAATGTAAGTTGGCCTTAAGTATGTTAATCGCAGGTCTTAAAATTTGCCATTTTCTGTCAGTCTATAGTTAGTCACACTCAGGCATCTTCATTGCATTCTGTGATTTGAGGCGGAAGGTAACTAGCTGCTAATATACCCTCTGTGTCTTATCAATGGTAAGTGCAAATGTATCAACAGTTGGCTGGACGACGTTTGTTTTCGCCACTGGTTGCTAGCCCATACAAGCCCCTATATTTGTAGTTTTTTTCTGTCTAAATTTCAGTCTAGCTGGCATTAAAAAGTCTTAATTTTGACTGAAACCTGCAGACAGCTTGGTTAAAAATTTTACCATTTAAGGTAACATTCAGTTCAAAATGTTCTTACACAGTTTTAAAGTGAAGAGTTTAGTTTGTCAGAGTGTTGACCTGCAGTCGGTGCTCAGGGACGAATTTGCCCTCCGGTCCACCTCATGAGAAGCAGAGATCTGACCTTAATCTCAATTTTGGGTCCTCTGCTAGGCTGTGAATTAAATCAACCCTGTCCCCTAGTGTGCATGTGTGTGTGTGCACATGTGCTGTTGTGTACGTGTGGGGAGGGCAACACCATATGGCCAGGCTGATCATTAGGGAGGCTGCCGGAGGCAAAAAACCGCTGTAGCTACTCCCCTTACACACATTTACATGCACTCCCATTTACACACGCACACCGAGCCGCTCGCTCAAATGTCACCACAGATCGCGCTTCGAGGCTGAGACGAACCGGTGCACTTAAACTTTTCCTCACAGACACAGAAGCACACGATGTCGTAATGAAGCTCTTCCATGTCTCCACAGATGGTGTTTGTCTCCTAAAGTCTCCTTGGTGCCAGTAAACAGAGAGCAAGCTAGACCCAGACAGACCTGCCTCTGTGTGTGTGTGTGTGTGTGTGTGTGTGTGTGTGTGTGTGTGTGTGTGTGTGTGTGTGTGTGTGTGTGTGTGTGTGTGTGTGTGTGTGTGTGTGTGTGTGTGTGTGTGTGTGTGTGTGTGTGTGTGTGTTTACCTCATCCATGTGTGTGTGGGCATTTTTTCACTTCATCAGGAGGGAAGACGAAAGGCCAATAGTGGGAATGAAAGAAGGGATGGGGAGGAGAATAAATGGGAAAAGAGGGGAAAATATGAGAAAGCTGAAAATGGAAAAGAGATAAAAGGAAAAACAAGATGTCAGGGGAGACAGAGAGAGCGAAGGATGGGGAAAAAAAGCTGAAGAAGACAGAACATGAGCTAAGGAGGATAGAAAAAATGGTAATAAAAGAAGTGTAAATGTTGAGTGGACAGAAAATAGTTAAGAAAAAGAAGGAAATATGCATGAGTAAAAAAGAGTAAAAGACCTAGAGGGAAGGTTTGAAAGATAACAAGGAAGTCAAGGTAACAAGACAAGAAACCAAGGACAAATCGGGAGGATGGGAAGGAGGAATGCCAGAATAAGGAAGAAAAGGGAGATTTATTCATCACTCAATAATACATTCATCTTTAAAAAATAACAATATTTAAAGAAAAGAATCACTTAATTTTTCAGATGAGAGTCATGAACTATAGTTGCATCCATCTCAACCTTTTCATTTGTAAAGGCTGACGACTAACTGATGACTTTGACATTAATTTTGTGTCATTAACCAACTTTGGTTTCGGAGCAGATTTTCATGCAAATATATGGTCTGAAATGAGACATTTAGGATATTTCAATCCCATTAAAGACATTTATTCTGTATTGTTGTGTTTACTGAAGTTTTTTAAATTATATCTCCATCTTTTTTACGTTTCTGGAATCATTCATTTGTCCAAAATCAACATTTTCTAAAACCTTTGGTGGTTTTCTGGGATTTTGTTCAGTCTTGTTCCTTCTATGAAACTTGTATGACAAAAGCACTGAAACTAATAACACCTCAACTGAAATTAAGCATTTTCTCCAAGGCAGCAAACAAATTGTTAAAACTGAGTGGCAGAATGGAAAATCTGAAGTCAAAACTACATAAAAATTAAATATTAAAATCTTTAGTTTAGGAAAGAGACTATTTAAATGGTCAGACAAAAGGTAGTCAAAACTTTACATTTTTCAAAAATACCATTTTTGCGTTTAGGTTAAGGGTTAAATATCAAATTCATGTTAATTCTCCAGGGAAATAATTTCAGCCAAGGTAACGTTTTCTCAAGTACTGCATCACAACTCGATGAGCGGGTCTGATGCAGACAAGATGTGAAGGTGTGAGCATCTAATGAGCCCCACTGTGAGGAAGATGCTCGTTTTCTTCTGAGATGTGATTTCTGCTGCTGCCGTCCACATTGGTCATCAGTGTGTGTCTGTCTGTTTCCTCTGCCAATCAAAGATACTCTTCTTTTGCCAGCAATTCCTACAATACTATTCAAAAAGTAAAGTTTCACAAGAAGAGCTACATGCAACTCAGGTTGTGTTAAAGCAGTGATGTCTAAAGTGAGGCTGGGGGTCCATTTGTGGTCCTCTGGATGCTTTTGTTTTGCCCCTCTGTCCACAATTCAAGAATGAGGTGAAAATGTAATTTATTTTTACAGACTAAATAAAGATCTTAAAATCTTTCTGAAACATTTATTTATTTTGGTACAAGACAAAATATTTTTCTTCAATTAATCCCAAAAAAGTTGTAAAATATTTACTTGTCATTTAAAACAGCAACTGTGCAAGTTTATAGTGCATTTATATTTGGATCGACAATGACTTACAGATTCCTTTATTGCTAAAATTTGACTGCTGTACTTTATATTATATATCTAGTACATTATTGAATACATAAAGACTCCTGACTGTCGTCAATCTGTCATTTTTGGCCATAATGGCAAAAAGTCAAAGGTTGTTTTAGAGGTTATTTGTTTTTTTTCTGATCATGTCAAAAATAAAATAATATTATTAACTGCCTCTGTTTCATCAACTGACATTTGAATACCCAGACAATAATAAAATGCCAGGATAGTAAGTTTTTGAGAGCAGAAACTGAAACAGCTCAAACTGACCCAGACTCTGTTTCTTCCATCCAGGTGCCAACGCTAAGCTGCGCTACCAGATCACTTCAGGAAACGCCATGGGATCCTTCGACGTGGAGCCAGAGGTGGGCACCATCTTTGTCGCTCAGCCGCTCGACTACGAGATGGAGCAGCGCTACGAGCTGCGGCTGGTCGCTTCTGACGGGAAATGGGAGAACGAGACCCTGGTGGTGGTTCAGGTGGTCAACCGCAACGACGAGGCGCCGGTGTTCAGTCAGACGGAGTATCACGCCTCTGTGATGGAGGAGCTCACACAGCTTCCTGTGTTCATCCTGGAGGTCAGTGAATGTGAAGGCTTATTTGTTTTGAGATATCACATGGACAATACTGAGTTTTATTCCAAGTTTCTGATTTCATGAAAAATACAAGTTTCATGCTGCATTTTTATTTCCCCTTCAGAAACAATTATGGCTAAAGTGGAAGAAAATAACATAATAACACTTGCAATAAATAATACACATTAAAATAAAAGCTACATATTGTTTGAGAGAGAAATTAGAAATTGAGTTTACCAGACTATTGGGTGTGAAAACAACCTGAGACTCTAATTTACTAGATCAGAAAACAACGAGTGTTGGATATAATACACTTTTGTAAGCAATCGACTCTGACCTTGTTAAATGTACAGCAAGTGAGAAAATGAATGAATGTTTTGATGTTATTGAACATGTTTTTATTGTCATGCTAAATCATTTAGACATAAATGGAGATCCAATGTTCACTCATTCCTAATCAAATTTAAACTTGAGAAAGTATCACCTTCGAATAGACATGCATAATGTACATTATTGTTCAAATGTTAGTGTTTATATGAACAAGATGTGAAAATGTATCAAGTTTTATGGAGGAAAATCTAATTGCATTAGTTACGCTAAAATTAGCCTGGAGTAAACCTCAGCAGAGATTTGGTGTCATTCCACTAACACATTGCACATGTATGACGGCATTTAACTCAAAAATTGGTAAAAGAGACTCCAAGGTGAAATATTAGGCCAAAAAGGTGTATCAGGAAGTAACCGTCGTCTTCAAAGTTGCCTCTAAAATGTTCGTGTTGACCTCCTTCTCCTGTTGATCTCATCCACCTTTCGTCACACCTATCTCCGGTAATTCACAATAACTTGCATGTGCTGCCAAGCTAAATAAGATTAAAAAGGTGGAAGCTGGGAGGGGAGGGAAATAATCTCCGACAGAGGCGCATGTGTCACCCAGTCCTCAACCCGGGCCTGCTTCCCCTCGCCTGCAGGAATTGATTTGATGTGCTTTTGGTTCCTTTCTGACGCTTTCAATAGTCTTTCTCCCGCACGACGGACGGGTCCTCCCTCATCGCGCCGCACTCTCAGCCCTGTGCACTAATGCAATTCAGTAGATAGCGAACGGAAAAGAAAATCCAATTTGAAATGAATATTTTTTGACTTCACCTGCCTCCTCTGTGGTGCCACCGCTGCTCATCTTCAATATTGTGTACCTGCATCACGGTGTCAGAGGATGCAGAGCAGCGACATGGGGGAGGAGGACTTCAAAGGGTTCAGTAAACAAACTCCACTGACAAAAGAGGAGAAGAAAGGATAAAAGTGTACTTTTTTCTTGCCTTTGTCTGTGTCTATTAACTTTTAATTGCAATGTGTGTCTCGTGACAGATGTGAAGGCTCGACTCATTGCTGCTCTTCTCGTCCCCTCGCTCAGAGAGATAGCAGGAAGGCAGGTTAATTAAGCAAACAGCACAAAGCAGCAGAGAAATGTTTATTCCTGTGTTGTGAAGTCCCAGCGCACAGGGCCAGCTGCTGCAATCACTTCCCCGCTGCATGTCCTAGTTGCTGGGCTTGACATTTCTACATGGTGGAAAAGCAATTTACCTGTTTTGATAAGAAATACGTGATGAGGAAAGAACAGAACAAGATGAAATATTTGCTTATTAAGGAAGGTGTTATTGAATTGTGATGAATGTACTGCTGTTGTACAAATTGTCAGCATAAATAAAAGGTGTGCCTTTTGCTACAGTTTTGATATGGAAAGCAATTAATTTTCTAAGAAAAACAAACGTTGGTGTTTTGCAATTATTCAATACCCATTTGAAAGGCTATATGTCATAAAAACAATCACTCAAAGAGCCAAATGCTTGTTAGAGCTTTATTTTTAGACATAGCTGAGGTCATCCAATTATGGTGGACGTCTCATTTGTTAAAGCCAACTGTGATCAAGTAAGGAATGTTCCCACCAGCCCGGTTTAGTCCACTTTCATCAAACTCTGGTTCCTTTGGCTAGAAAGTTTGGTCATATGGGGAGGAGTGAATGAGCATCAAACTCTGATGCAACTCAAAAAAGCAAACTCAGGTCCACCTAGAAATCTACCTATCGGTTCAGTTGAAGTGAACTATGGCGTGGTTTGAATGCATATGTGAACACCAAGCGAACCAGAGACCACTCCAAAAGTAGAAATCGGATTACAGCTCAGCATGTTTACATTTTGCAAAGAAGGAGTTTGTCCTCATGTTTTCTCTAGTGGTTTCATTTAGTGGTTCTTGCTGCGGCGCCACCACAGGCACAGGGGTGAACAGGTATTTCAGAGGAATTGGTTTGTTTGAAACAGTGGTGAATTGAAGTGAGCTGCAGCAGCTGAAAATGTACTAAATGTTGCTGTTTTGGTCTCTAATTGAACCAAGTCCACTGGACTATCGGCTGTGAAAACACTCCAGGGAAGCCCTCTGACCAGGTTACATGTAATATTAAAATATTTTCAGTTCCACAAGGTTAAAAAACATAAAATATGAGATATTTGTGGCAAATCCCCTAACATATTGATTTAAGTCATGTTAAATTTCAATAACTGAAGCAAAATTTCTAACAGTTTGCCTTTGCATAATGAATAAGTTAGCATTTTTCACATAAAGGTTGTGGGAACAATTCTTTGCTCCTTTTTCACCTTTTACCTCTTGTTTTTTTTGTAGGTGTCAGCAACAGATCCCGATCAGGAAGCGGACCAGACTGCCCTCCGCTACTCTCTGCACGGCCAGGGTGCCGGTGGCGAGTTCACTATCGACGAACACACTGGAAGGATCTATGCCCAGCGCCACCTGGACCGGGAGGAGCGCCCCGCCTGGAGATTCCTTGTCCTGGCCACAGACGAGGGCGGACTGGGCCTTACAGGATTCGCTGATGTGCTGTTAGAAGTCAGAGACATTAACGATAACTCCCCCTTCTTTCCATGCCCTGCCCTAGAAGAAGACGGATGTTTCATTGGCCAAGTGCCTGAAAACTCACCTGCTGACACCTCCATCATGGAGATGCGTGCCATGGACCTTGATGACCCAAATGAAGGCAGGAATGCCATGCTTACCTACAGCATCATCAAGAACATTCGCAATGAGATCAACCTCAACTTGTTCTCCATAAACGCCACTACTGGGACTATCTACACAGTTCTCCGCTCACTGGACCGGGAGACAGAAGACAAATATCTGGTTGTGGTGGAGGCCCGGGATGGCGGTGGGTTGTCTGGGACGGGAACAGCAACTATTATGGTTTCAGACGTAAATGACCACCCACCTATTTTCACTCAGAGGGTTTACACTGCTCAGGTGAGTCAAACTCTTCTTCCGTCATTCACGTCTAATATTTTACATCACAAGGTTTGTGCAGGTCCTTAAAAATATCTACATTAATTTCAAGCATTTTCAAGTTTTGGAAAGGTTTTAATTTCTGTATAAAGTTGGTTGATATTCAAAGAGTTTTGAATAAAAGGTAATCTAACGTTTAATTAAAATCCTAAATTTGGAGAGCATCATTTACAGTTGAAACAAGATATTTAAATATTCAGACACATTTTTTTCTCACTGTCTGAAGTCAAATCAGACGAAACTTTTCTTGTTTCAACTTCGATACAATTACTTAAAACATTTATATTTGCTGATTGTGGCTGATTAAGAGAAATTTACTAATTTAAAATTGTGTTTCCTTGTCCCTGATGTAGAATGTAGAAAAGTATCACCAGACATTAGTAATAACAATTAATAAAGGATATCACCTTAGTTTTTTTTAGTTCATTTGTATTGTTTTTGCTCCACTGTGCGATGCTGGAAAGGTTCGAAAACGCTTGAAAGAGTACTTGAATTTCACTGTGGGTGCAAACCCTGACATTAGTTGTCATAAAAAATGCCTTTATGTGTCTCCCAGATGAATGAGGACCTGGAGGTAAACAGCGAAGTCCTTGTGGTCTCTGCCACCGATGGAGACCAGGGTGAGAATGCAGTCGTCACCTTCAGCATCGTTGGCGGTGACGAGGAAAGGAAGTTCTTTGTGGAGACGGACAAAGTAAACCGACGTGGCGTGATAAAGCTGAAGAAGAAGGTTGACTTTGAGAAACTCCATGAGCGGACCTTTAATCTCACTCTGAAGGCTGAAGATGCTGACTTTTTCAGCCTGGCCTACTGTCTCGTCCAAGTAGAAGACTCCAACGACCACGCCCCCGTCTTTTTCCCACAGTTCTATGAGTCGGCTGCCATGTCTGAAGACGTCCCAGTGGGGACAATTGTTGCTCAGGTTACAGCATCTGATTTGGACTCTGGCCTAAATGGACACTTCTCCTACAGTATTTCGAAGGAGTCCGACCCTTACAGTCAGTTCCTGGTGGATCAGTCCGGTTGGGTGGTCGTCGCTCATTCTCTGGACAGAGAAAAAATCTCCCAGCACAGGATCATGGTTCTAGCAACAGATGCTGGTATCCCACCGCTCACCGGCACCGCTATCGTCATGGTAACTGTTCTCGACATTAACGACAATGGGCCAGAGTTTGAGGCTGCCTATAAGCCTGTTGTTTGGGAGAACACTGCTGCTCCACAGGCGGTGCGAATGAATGAAACGTCCATGCTTCTTCACGCCGTCGACCGAGACACGTCCACCAACGGTGGTCCATTCTCCATCCGACTCCTGCTTCTAACCTCCGATGCCACAAACTTCAACCTGACAGACTTTCGGAATGGCAGCGCCGCCATCACTGCTCTTCGCAGCTTTGATCGCGAGCGTCAGAAGGAGTACCGCCTTCCCATTCTGATGATTGACAGCGGCTCTCCTCCAGTGAGCTCAACCAACACGTTGACAGTTGTCATCGGCGATAGAAATGACCATCCACACTCACCTGGCCACACACATATTGTTGTCTACAGTTTTGAAGGTATGTCTTGCTTTTTTTTGGCGTCTGATTTGTTGTAAAATTCACATTTGCCTGTTCTTATACTTCCATTTGGCTTTTCACGACTGCTGAAAACTCTCAAGTTCTTGAAAAAACACCCAGCCATATGTTGAAGTAAGTTAATGTTTTTCAGAGCCGTTTCAAAAGAAAGAAAGCTAATCGATCACCTTTAAGATAAATTTGCTTAAGTGCTTCACACTGTTGTAGATTTTATTAGTATGAGTCTTGGGTTTAAATGACAGCAGGGACCTTTCAGTGTGGAGTTTGGGTGTTTTCTCTGACTTTCATTCCACCATTAGGAAATTAATTGAAGATTGCAAATTGGTGTGAACATTTTTGTGAATAGTCGGTTGTCCTGTGTCTTTCTGTGTTGGACGTGATTTTGTGAAGGCTGGTGCGCCACTAAAAGTGCAAAATCGTGCAAATGTATCTTTGTGTCTCCTTCCTTAATCCTTCAAATTAAACTCTTTTCGAGGTCTTGTATTGACTCAGTCTGTAATTTTTAATGCTTTTTAGCAGACATTTCACTAACATTCAGTGAAGAATGTTAGTGAACTGCTGAGAACTTTCTGATAAGTTCTCAGCAGGGTTTTATAGTGTTTAGTCACTTTAAAACCACAGTTCTGAGTCAACATGTAAAAACATCCCCCCTGTTTATTGATCCTTTTATTCTGAGGTTGTGTGTGCTGCTGTTCTGAGGTTGTGTGTGTTTTAAGAGCATGTAGCTGGGATCAAAAGGGTTTGATGTAGTCCTGATCAACATTGATCTGAGCAATATGCATAAGTTGTCTGTCAGAAATGTTCCTTATATTTGGCAGAGCTTTGTGCTGCAATCCTCATGTGGGCTGTATGCCTTCCACAAAATGTTATTAACTGCATCTGATTCTGCTGGATGACACATTTTCAGACGATCAGACGAACACTGGAGGATCATAAAGCGGCTCTGTTCTGTTTGCACTTGTAGCCTGCAACGCTTCTGCTGCTGCTGTCTTTGCTTTGCATCCTTAAATCTCATGTTTTTAGTAACTCTATGATTACCTCCTGTGGTGGATCACAGGAGGTATCTGATATCTGAAAAACAAATTTGATCATGTTGATGACACTGTTGTAAAGCATGTTGCGCTTTAACATTAGCTTCTAAATAACAATGTTAGTTTAACACCTTAGTGCTAGCATTGCTACTATTTGTAATTAGTGACTTAGGGTTACATGCAACTTACTTTTCAATTAGATGGGTGTTTTATCACATTAAACACATCTCAGTTAGAATGGACCAACCAAAGTTAATAGAGAAATTGAAATTATATTATATAATTGTTATATATATATATATATATATATATATATATATATATATATATATATATATATATATATATATATATATATATATATATATATATATATATATATATATTTATTTATTTATATATATATATATATATATATATATATATATATATATATATATATATATATATATATATATATATATATATATATATATATATATTTATTTATATATAAAGGGAAACATAGTAGAAATATAGCAAAAATGTTGCTGTTCGAAAGGGTCACATTATAGTCTAATAATGCAACCACATAGTGATGCATTCATTCTGAGACACACCAACAAAATAACATCCGATTTAGAATCAAGGATTTATTTTTTGAGTTTCTGTTTCACATCTTGTCCTTGATGCATTATTTTGTACTGAACAAACTCCACAGGAGAAAAGAGAACATTTGTCCCTCACAAGTCATAACTGTCATAGTCATTTCAAAAACTTCTGAGCTTTTTTGGTCACGTTGCAAGAACTGTACATGACACAGTCGACTTCTCACAGCCTCCCACTACAGCCCCATCACTTATTAAGCATTTCATACCATCTGTCAGCCTGCTGTAATTTACTGAAAAACTAAGGTTCTCTGTAGTGTATTTTGATGAATTTCCTCTCTGGGGCTTTTCCACATGAACAGACATTAACCTCCTAATAGGAATCCACCCTGAACCTCGAAAACATGTCATGAAGCAAACAATTAACTCCAGCTTAACTCGCAGCTTTGATAGGGACATGAACAGGAAGTGTTTTTAAAAGGCAACTTATTTCATGGATAAAGTGATTACATTACTGCTCCTGGGAAAAAACAGAGCAGAAGTGATTCTAATGAGACTCTGTTCCTGATGCGCTATTTAACCATGACCATGTGTGTCAATAAGATGTCACCTGTGCCTGTACCTTCTGGTGAAGCTTTCAGCCATTTGGGCTGTGCCTCAGGGATGCATAATGCATTTTTAAACTTTTTCTTCTTGCTTTACTTTTTGCATCCTCACAGGGATTCTCCCAAGAACAGCTCTTGGACAAATTCAATCCCCTGACCTCGATGACTGGAGTGAGAAGGTGTACCGCTTCGATGGCAAACCAACCAGGTAATTTGATCACATTTGATAAAACACTAAAAAAAAACTGCAGAAAGATAAAAAAAAATTTTTGGAAAGTTTTCCAATAGTTTCTGCTAGTTAGTATGGAAGAGTTGAGGAACATTTGAAAAAACAAAGTGTAGAAGTGATGAAAATGTAAAGAACAGCTAAAAAGTCTTCAGTGAATAGCTTTGATTCCTGGTGAGTAAATGTCCACTAGTGGTTTAAAGGTTTTGAATGCTTCCAGACACATTAAATGTTGAAACTGACATGAATCAGCAGGGTTACAGTAAAGGAAAGTTTATTTATAAAGCACTTTTTACATTCAAAAAGTCACAAACAACATAAATAATAAGCAATGCTCGGTAATAGTAATCAGTAATAAAAATGCATACAAGTTAAGCTCAAACTTAGGATCTGTCCCTTTTACACTAATTTTGACATCACCAGCAGATCGACCAGCATTTGACTCTTGGAACAGCACATCCATGTTCTCAGGTGATACACAGAATCACGATGAATGTCAAGTGGGAATGTACTGCCTTATTCAGTTACAGATGTTAAAAACGTCTTAAATGAGGTCAATTTAATGCGATAAAATATCTTAGACTGAAAAACATGTTTATTTCAGTCTGGAATCATTTCCATCTTTCTGACAGTCCTTTGTGGCAAAGTAAACAGATTCTTCACAGGTTTTAACTTTAATTTGTTTGTCTGCAGAAGGAGAAACTTTTAGGCTTGTAGCTATTTTCTTATAGACATTTCTTGACTAATCTGCCTTAGTTTAATGATAAGTTCATTTGTTTTTTATTTGTCAGAGTTGATTAAAAAAGTGCAGCTGTGTGTCATTTCATATAAGATACTATAGAATCAAAATGAACAATGTCCCAACACTTATCAAATTAAAAAAGCAAAACATATATATTTTTTAATTTTATTAAAAAACATTTTAAAAAATATTATTTTTAAATTACATCTAAATTAAACTGTTTTTAAAAAGCTTGATTAGTTTTTATATTTATTTATGGGAACAGTGAGACCTCCCAGTTATATATACTCAAATTATAATATAAAGTTTTTGAAATATTTTATTTCTGACATTAGCTACTGCAATAAAATCTGAAACTATTTGACATTTTATTGCTGGTTGCGCAAAAGGTGAAGCAAAGAAATGAGGCACCAATACACAAATATAACAGATAGAAAGTTATAGATATAAAAGGAAGAGAGAAAGACAGATTAAATCTACACATAACTTTAGATATAATACAATCAGTTTTGTGTCATCTAAAAACAACAGGCACAAAAGATTAAGATGCTTACTCTGTCACTTAGAGCGTCTTCAGTTCAAGCATTCAGCCTGTTGGATGTGTTGGATAAAAGAAGTCAGAGGATGGAAGATGTAAAGCAGTTTTATCATGGGAGGAACTTACATGAAACAGATTCTTGGGTAAAGTTTCCCTTCTTATGTGACATAAAGCAGGAAGAGCAAAAAGAAAAGAAAAATAAAAAGTGCACAACGAGTGACAGTTTTGAAATACAAAGAGTGAGAGAGTACAAAGGTACAACAGAAAAAAGAGAAACAAAATTGGGCCGTATAATACAGGCAGTTTGAAGGAGGAAACAAAGAGTGGAAGAGACTGAAAAGGGAGGAGAGAGATAGAAAAAGAGATCTGACTTGTCAGGAACAGTGCTATTAATACTTCATAACCAGCGGTATTGAAAATTCCCAGTGAAGCACAGCGAGGGCGAGCTCATTTTGTTTGATGAGGCGCGACTTCACGCGGACGCATTGAAAGGAGAGTCTGATTGCATTCCCCGCCACCTTTTCTTCTAACGAGATACCTACAAGGGGAGACGACAGGAGACGGCCGAGAACAAAGGAACCACTGGGGACAGCATTACCATAGTTACTCGTGAATCACATCCCATCATCTGCGCATCCAGCAGATAGCAATTTGTTTCCCGGAATGGATTAGGTTTAGGCTGATGGTTATTTACATATAGAAAAGATAAAACTCGGAGCAAAATAAGAAGCTCAAAGAGTTCAAGTCGCTTCACTTGAATAATATTAATGTCGTCTTACAGGGACTCAGTAGAAGCAGCAGCGGAGATGTAAGATATGAGGACTTAAGCTTCCAATCTCTGCAAACAAAACTGTTGTAGAAGCAAATAAGCTTTATGTGTTTCACAAACGTTTACATTCAGTCATTTGTAGCATGAATGTTGGATTATTCCTCATTTATTTGTGCAGCTGTTTTTTCTGGACAGAACGTCATACAGCTTTAATAATAATTAAAAAATAAAAAATAAAGAATAGTGAGTACAGCTAAATAAAAAGTTTGTTGGGATAACCCTAAAATCCCAGTCATAAGTTTTAGTTCTGCAAGAATTTTTACAGCCAAGAACCACAATGTCAATACAGATGAACTAAAAGTTTACAAAACAACCAATTAAGTTGATGCTTTAGAGGGTATTCAGAAAAAATTAAGCTAAGAGTGCTAAATGTTTTTAAAGTTAGCAAAACCACTAAATGAATCATTAGCTATTAGCAGAAGTGTGGCCACCACTGACACAAAATAAAAATACAAATCTACATTTTGTCTTTTAGTCTACTTTAGTTTCTTGAGATAATGATTACTTTCATGATGTTTGACAAATAAACATCTAATGATGACAAATCTTTTCCTGTTGTAGGTTGTTCGGTCTGAATCAGAGCTCAGGTCAGCTCAGCATCAGGGAGGGAACTCCTCCAGGCACGTACCGCCTGCAGGTCCGTGTGTCCGACAGCACATGGCCTGATGTCATCTCCACCGCTCAGGTGGATGTCACAGAGCTGCACCAGGAGGCCCTGCAGCAAGCTGGCTCCGTTCGCCTCAACAGTGAGTTCCCACAACATGATGCGTTCAAAAGAGAGATATTTTACCACTAAAGGCCATTGAGAGATGTACATTTTTATGTTCAAAATCTTCAAATAGTTATTTTTCTAAGCATAGTTAACCAATTTTTAGATCTTTACGGTCACCGAAAAGAGAAAATAACAGCTAATATAAAATAAGGCCTCCCTCTTCTGTGTTGTCATTTTTCTTCCCGAAGAACATTTAAAATACAAGCAGGAACATCTGCTCTTCTTCCAGATCTTACAGTGGAGGGATTCTTCCAGAGTAGCAGTGGAGGCCAAGGGAGTCGGTTTTTCCGTTTGGGGCGAATGTTGGCTGAAATCCTGCAGACGTTGCCAGAGAACGTCCAGATATTCTCTGTAGGCAAAGCCAACCAGCTGAGTTACAGAGCGCTGGATGTCTGGTTTGCTGCACACGGCTCACCGTACTACAAGGCGGAGAAGCTTCATGGATACGTGGCGGCAAACAAAGCCAAGGTAAGACTCAAAAATCACCTAAAAACTACATCTTTAAATATTCTTGTATGAGACACAGTTTTTTTTTCAGAAATAGAAACATAAATCATTATTTTAGATAATTGAGATGGAGGCAAACAAAAACTCTTAACAAAGCCACTTTGTGTTCGAGGTTTGCTTTTCAATTCCTCTTAAAATTAAAAAGAAGAGAGTGGAGAATTTATTTAGACTGAAAGTGATGTTTAAATGCATATTGAAGTGTTCACACTTGGACAAATATGTGGTTATGAAAATAAAATGTTGTGTGAGCAATGATTTAGTTTTGTAATAGATTCCAATGTTCCACAGAATCACATGCAAACAACATGGAGATAAATATTTAACATGCATTAAAAGCTGCGGAGCTGCATTTGACGTTTACGACCACGACAGGCAGCTCGTCATGCCAGTTAGTGTACCATGCATAAAAAACATACAGAACATGTGTGCACACGTTGACTGGGCAAGGTCACATGCAAATGTCTTCCTCTGGGCTGCATCACTGCTCATGGTTCTTAACGGAACCATTAAAAGGTCGTAAAATAGCAAGAAAAAAAACATATGTTTATATCTTAAACCAAAATAAGGCTTTAGTTGAAAGACAGGGCCATGAAATTACTTTGTGTTTTGTTTTAATTCAAAGTGAAAGAGTTTGTATTTTTATTGCAAACAGATTTTATCTAGAAGTATGTTAGCAGGAAATTATCTAATGACACATATTTTTGGAAAAAGTAATTGCAGTTCAGAATACTAGATTCCAATGAAATTTCAAATTTTGAGATTAAAATTTAAAAACTTAAAATATGCATAAGTACAACTAATTTCAGTTAGTTCACTTTATCGGTTGCATACAGACAAATGATGATGTTAGGAAGAAAAAAGTCTGAAATGTTTCACGTTTTCAAAAGTTGTATTCCTAATGTTAGAGGAATGATGGGAATATGAAAAGTTTGAGCAAACTAATTTCATACTGATGGTTTTATTTATACTTGGTTCTTAGGACTTAACAATTCAATTGTTCCAAATATGTTGTTTTTCTATGCATAAATTCAACATTATATTATATTAGCAAATCCAAACTCATTACTATAACAGCCACTATTTCAATGGGAGCTATTTTGGATCTTCTGACCTAAATAAACTGATGCAGCCTGGTTCAAAAGACTATTCAACAACAAAACAAGGTCACCAAAACAATAAAAAAAAACATGTAAAAATCAGTTCAAAGCACACATAATGATAAAAACCAGCTAAGAACCCAAGAAGAAAGTCTGTATTTAATTGTGATAGGCTGGAAGGAAAATTATTTTGTCTAACTTCGAATAGCTAAAGACAGAATATGAAGTTAAAAGATTATATAGACATTTTGGAGCCATAAGTTGAAGCTCTGCATGAGGTACATCAAGCTCTTTGAATAAACGTATCAGATGGATCTTTAAAAACCTCAAAAAAGCATAAATAAGTTCAGAGAAACCCTGAGGGACTCTGATTGGTGGGGAAAAACACTCGGAGACAAAATAAGAGAAAAAGAGTCCAAATGATAAGCAGAGAAAATGAGTAAATTTGACAACAGAGAGAGAAAACGACAAGAAAACAAGAAATGACAAGAAAAGCACCAAAGTGCATAAATAATATTGTTGGAAATGAATCAAATTCAAAAACTGTTGATGCAGTTAGACATGAGATCAAAGTCAGATGCTCTTATTTTTTGAAACTCTAATTTATGTTCAAACAAAATTATTGTCTCTTTGTCTTGTTATTCTAGTGTTGCATTAAAATCCCATTTGTCTTCATTTCAGATTTATTCTTTATTTGTATGTTGTTTACAGAAAAGGTCACTTTGTGAGTGTTCAGTTTCATTTTAGGACGTATTTAAAGTGTCACACCTTGGAGCTTTTTCTTAATTATGTGTTTTAAAGTCAGACTGTTTGGGATACAAATGCTTTTGCAAACCACTGTGGTAATTTAAATATTTATTCCTACATTTTGTCCAATTTTTCTCCCATTGAGAGCAAATAAATTTCCAGAAATCAATTAAAAATATAAATATTTTTCATCTGTTTTCATCCTTATTTCTCCATCCTGCCCAGCTGGAGGCCATGTTGGGCGTGTCCATCAGCCAGGTGGGCGTGGATGACTGTCCATCCACAGACTGCGGTCAGTATGGAGGCTGCAGCAGCGAGGTTTCATTCAGCCAGGTCCCTGTAGCTCTGAGCTCCGGTAACGTCTCTCTGGTGTCGCTGTCGGCCTCCACGACCGCGCGCTGTGGCTGCCGAGGGCGAGAGGCGACCCACCTGACATGCTCTGAATATCCCACCAACCCCTGTCTCAACAGAGGCACCTGCCAGGATGGCCCTCTGGGATACCGGTATAAAATTTAAGACAAAAATTCACCTTTTACATATAAATTTATTGGCCGAGATTTTATTAGAACTGACATTTACTCCAGTAGATAATAAATCATGCGGAAGTGTTTAGGGCGATCTTGAGATTAAAATTCAGAGATTAAATATAAAATTCAGAGAAAAAGTAATAATTTTGATATCAAAGTCAGGAAGTCAGAAATCTGAAATGAAAATCAGAAGTTTGAGGGGAAAAAAATCACAGTTTTGAGATTTTATCCAGACCAAATTCTGAGAAAAAGTCATAATTTTAAGATTAAAGCCAAAAAGTCAAAATTGTGAGTTTAATGTCAAAAGTTTGAAGAAAAAAATTATAATTTTTAAATAAATGTTAGAATTCTGGATGAATTCTTTTTTCTTTTTTTTTCACTGGGCCTAATCCTCTTTCATAAACCCAGCACCCTACACCATGAAAATTAAATATTGCATCTCCGGCACATTGGCCTCGTTTATTTTCTCTGCAGTTCTCCTGATTTTAAGCATGTCTGTCCTGGGCAGCTAACAGGTGTCTCAAACTGTTATCGTCACGGTTTGAAGCTAGTAGAAATTTCCCATTTGTTAACTGAAGAACTCAGGCAAAATCTGTCAAACATGTTAAAAGATTTAAGAAGCGAGCCAGCGGTTTCCATCTGCAGTAATAACACTCTGAGGCTCAGTTTTTCAGCTGCTTCGACTGCAGCTGACTTTGAATTGTCACATAACTATATTAGTTTAGATTAGAGCTGAAATATTGCAGCTGCTGAATCTCGACAGCTGGTTTCTCTTGCAAAGGTTTATAACTCTGGAAAAGAAACTTTCAAGTTGATTTCACTTAAAACCAAGAAAACTCCTTTTAGAGGATTTAATGGTTTCTGTTCTTGTTTACGTTTTTTTCTGTTTTTCTTTTTCTCTTTAATATGACGAGCCACAAAAGAAAACTGCCCCGGGGACCTCAGAAATTTACATTTATTTTGAACGCTTTTTTTTCTAGCTTCACTTTTAATGTTTGTTAGTTTGTTTGGCGCCTTTAAAATAAGAACGAACAGCAATGAAAACTGAACGTTTGAAAATGTTACTTTTGTTACCATCATTTTATGCGTTAAATGCAAATATTCTTACAAAGTAGTGAAACAGTCCTCCATTAATTTCTCTTAGTTTCACTTTTCTTTTTTTTTTGGGGGTATTTAAAGTGAGAACAAACACTGACATAATTTTACTGAAATTTACCCAAGACCTTCAATTTTAGACAGACAATACTACATTTGTTACTAGAGTTTTATGCCTTATTTAATTTTGGAGAAGTACTTACAGAATGGAGACACATCTATTTATGAATCTTATAACTGTTTTTATAGAACATATTGATTATCTCCATAACCTATCTACTTCTGCTTCCCTTCAGATGCAAATGTCCGCCCATGTTTGACGGGCCAGAGTGTCAGCAGACTAAACACAGCTTTGGAGGTCAGGGTTACGCCTGGTTTCCTCCCATCAAGCCTTGCTTCCAGAGCCAGATATCCCTGGAGTTCCTGTCTGAGTCGGCGAATGGGCTGCTGCTCTACAACGGGCCGCTTGGCCTCGTCCAGCCTGGGGAGCCGGAGGACTTCATCGCCGTCGGTGAGTTTAATGTGTTTATGTCACTAAAACAATCTGGACTTTAAAAAGAAAGCAGACATTCACTCAAACTGAAGGGATTCGCCCTTAGTGTCACAATACACACGTGACGACACACTTACCTGAACTTTGTAGCTGACAACCATTTTGGTAGGCAGTTGCTCTGACAACAAGCCACAAGCTTAGAACGACCTCTAACCTTGTTCCCATCTCACTTACAAATATCGTAAGTAGATTACAACTATTACTAACCCACCTCTGCGAAATATGAAGATAAATATCAGTGATATTTGCTGTAAAACTTACTGCTCAATTAGCAAAATTAGCTTTGACAATGTAGCTGTTATCTGATGTGAGACTGATATGTAGCCTACTAGAAAATAGAAAATAAAACATATTTTGACTTACTACATGTACTTACTTTCTTCATCATAAGAACCTTGTTATTCATATGGAAGGTTTGTGGATCCTTTACAAATTCATTTAAACATCGATCATATTCATCCATAGATTTGGAGTCAGAACTAAAGCTAGAAACCTAAAAGTTTAGCAAGCCAATAAAAGATGAGGAAGAGCATTAATACTGATGATTTTTCTCTATATTTTTATATTTTCTCTGACTCTGATGCTTCTCGGAGATTCTAGGTATTCTGTCTCCAACTCCCCCGCTTGCTGCTTTGAGACTTCAATTTGAAATGTGACACTCGTTTGATTAAAGTCAAAACATTATTTTAACTTCTAAGCTCTCTAAGACACAGTGTGATCTAACACCGCCAGTGGGGAAGCTTCATCAGCGCGTCCTTTTCAACAAACACAAAGCGTTCATCAATCTGCTGCTGTAGAACAGCATCTCAGCGGAGGAAACGCTTCATAAACTCTAATGTCAGCTCCCAGCGGTTCTTATGTGGTGTTAATGGATTAGCCCGCCGATGGCCTTTCAAGCGCTCCTTGCATAAGCTTGTGGCATTAACGTTATGTAATTATCGAACCCGGGTTGTTGCCGAGCGGATCTGGGGAAATAAAAATCAAAGATGACGGCAGCATTGATGTTTCTGAGCCGTTTTTCACTTAGATGTTCAATATTACGACTGATCCGGTCACAAACTCACACACACACACACACATGCACACACACGCGCACACACACTTTGGCATGGATACACACATCTGATTGGGACAGAAGGTGATTGACTGAGGGGATTTCTGCTGCCGTTGATGGGATTCAGCAGCTTACACAGCAATAGTATTGATGGCATGCGTCAACTTTTAAGACCCAACAAATAAAGTCATCCTTTGTGCATCTTTTGTGCTCGGTTTGATGTGACGATAAATTAATACAAACTCACTGTACAGGACGCTTTTATTCATAGTGATGAATCACTGAGAATTTTCTGGCTGATTTTAAAAGGAGCAATATCTGTGCTTTCTCTACCTGTTTCAGGATTTAACTCTATGGGTTCTGACAATTTTGTAGGTTATTCTTCTGATGTTCGACCACAAAATAAAAGTTTGTAATCAGAATCCATTTTTTTCCGCCACTTCATCCAGAGTTAAGGAACGGAGTTCCAGTTCTGAGTATAAACCACGGATCGGGAACGCTGACCCTTCAGCTCCCACCTAAAGCTACGATCAACGACCGGCGCTGGCATCGCCTGGACATAATCAGCGACGGGAAGGTAAGCAGAAAAACAGATGGATGGTGATAAAAAAACAATATCATGACTGTACATATAAATGTATCTGTTTTACCGGGTATTGATTAGAGTACCGAAAAAAACTCCTATGTTGAATGAACTTTGACATGAGAGAAATATTTATTTAGCAAGCTAAATATTTAGTTTGGCAACAAAATATTTATTTTGAAACTTTGACATTTATAAATAAATAACATGGTGAAAATATAACTTTAAAAAGTTGCCTTTTTAAAATCTTGTTAAAATGTCTCAGTTGCAGATGATCAATCAGTAAATCAACAGTATTTGATGAGTAGCACCAGATTTCTAATCAAACACCAGTGACTGTTTATGTCCCTTTTTCTCTCTGTTCAGCTTGTCCAGCTGGTCCTAGACCAGTGTGGTGGGGTCCCTGTGAATGAGATGGAAGGTGTTGGAGGGGAGACCCGAGAGATCGATGAGTCCGACTGCAGAGCAGCAGGAGAAACGCCCGGGAACCAGCGGTATGAAATAACCTGGAGATAGTGGAAAGAAATCTCCACCATCTGCAGAATAGTGGTGGTTAATAATTGCGTAATTAACTATTTATCATAGTAAATTTACATTTTGAAAGTTTTTGGACTTTCATCTGTACATTTGGGTCTGAAAACATTCCAAGAGCACCCAACCATCTTTAGCATATGTTTTTTTGGCTTTTTTTTTTTTTTGGCTCCTTTTGCTGTTATATTTCTTTAATGTGTGCTTCCTGTCAGGTATTTAAATGTCTACCAGCCTCTTCAGTTGGGAGGAGTGAAGGAAATGTCTCCCTACCGCCGTTACCGAAGTTTTACTGGATGCATTCGAAACCTGGTGGTGGACAGCCAGGTAACACAGCTCTGCATGTTTCAGTGTGGACTTTAAATATTTATGTGGTGAGCGCAAAAAAAATCTGTTTATGCTGGAGCAGTTTAAATTTGAATAACCTCAGGTTATGTTTAACGGTCAGAAACTAATGAATAGGATTACCCATCATTCTCCTCCAAATGGAAATGAGTCAATAAAGAAGTGAAGGAAACACAATATGTTTGTGTTTTCATCCTAAGAATCATTAGCTTTTCCTGGATGTGATTCTTGCCTTGAAATGCAGCTGCAGTGTGCATCAATCTGTTTGTGCATGCATGGATTCACTCCCACCGGCTCCTGTGTGTTTGTGCTCGCGCGCCGTGGGGTTGGCGGTCCGACAGATGGTGGTCTGAGCTCGGCTCATCAGCCAAGGCCAATATAACAACATCACAATCCAAAAGGTAAAATGAATGAATAGAGGCTCTCGTTTCCCTGCAAGCTGCTGCGGTTCCTCTGCTGCTGAAGGAAAAGCCTCAACAAGCTCCCACAAATCCCAGAATTTTCCCCAGGAAAGCGTTCAGTCAGCTTTAAAATGAGAAATGTGGAAGTTCAAGATGTTAGCGTCGGCGCTGTTATTTTTTCCCACAATCCCTTGTGTTTTGAGGCTGCATCTGAAATGTGTTAAGAGGTTAAGACAAAATTTTCCCTGTTACTGCACTTTTTTCTGTATGTGAAAGACGGCAGAAAAGTGTCATGATTACAAATTGTGATTTTTTTTAATTCAAATTACACAAAACATAACAACAGCATGTGGCCTTGCAATTAGCTCTGAAAATAAGATCAAGTCTTGTGCTACTTCAGCATTTCTTTTTGCAGAAGTTTTTGTCTTTTCAAAGAAATCATCTGCCAAGAAATGTTAGATCTATCTTAACTAATTTACTATGATTTACTCATAGTTTACTGCAGAGATGAAGAGGGACATTTGAATTCAAGTTGAACTTAAGTGGCAAAAACAACCATTTGAGATTTAGCTGCCAGCATTGGCTTTTCATAATTACTGCTTTTGAATTTAAAGCTCTACAGACATAAAGTAAAAGCAGAAAATTTATTGTTGTAGTTTTAGCAAATTAGGACGTTATATGGATTTAACTGCCAAAGACTAAATAATTTCTGGCAGTGTATTAAATTCTTACATGTATTATTTGCTAAGATGAAGGTTTTCTAAATGTACCAAGAAGAAAAGTTAAATCTAAATTGATTTATGATGTTCCCCTCCTCCAATCCAGAGATGCCCCAACCAGCAAAATGAGCTGTCTTTAATTAAAGGTCACGCATGATGAATGTTCTTTAATATTCTCATAAACATGATTCAAATCAGCACTTTTCCTACATTAATTACAATTTTATTAGGTACTCGAGTTGATAAAACCGGTCCACGGCCCATCTGTGCTTTCGTAATGGTGAGAACCCATCACTCCATTTGAAATGATTAATTAACTTCAATTGAAATTCACTTTTTACAAAAATTGAGCACATTTTAACCTTTAAAGAAATCTAAATCTGAAAAAATGTATCCTTCATTAGATTTAGGATTAAGAACTATTTCTTAATTTTTCAGGTTTGATTGTGCAGTGATAATATCAACTCCTTATGGTGAATGTGCTGATGAGATATTTACATATTCACACTGAACCAGTGGATGGAAGTACAGCTTTGGAAAAGGAACAGAGTGTAATTTTAAAAAATAACATGTCCTGGACTTACAGTTTATATTAATTCAACTTGAACGGATTCTTAAGCATAGCTCAGTTGGGTAAGTTTTAGGATGGTAATCTAAAGGTCCAGAGTTGTAAACTGGGTGATGTCGCTGTTGTTATGAGCTAGCATGTCTTTGCTCAAACACATCTACATTTAGACACCTAAAAAGTCTGACGTAAATTCTAGATGTCCAACAAACGTTTATTTTTAAGCCAAATACTTCTCAAGTATTTAAAACTACACATTTATGAACCATTTATGCCAATTTTAGGTGTATTTTGAACAAGTAATATTGTGTTTCTCTGGCACAAAGATGTAAAGATTCCTCAGAACATTATGACGGGATGTTGTGACATCCTTGCTTCTGGAAACGGGAAACCTTTTGAATTTTAGAAACTTCACATCTCTGCCTCACTTTCATTTCCTAAGATCTTGTGGCAATACAAAGCTGCTTTCTAAGCCCCCAAAAAGGGAGAAATAGTGAACTCAAAAAACACGCTTGTCATTGCTGTGTAATCAAAGCCGATTTCCCAGATTCCTTTGGAGGAATTCAGCTTACATTTATGTGTTAACACAGACTGACACACCACAAAATGCTGCCACAGTGCGCCTGCCAACTGAAACAATGGGCTTGTGTGAAAATTTAGTGCATGTCGAATTAAGTCTTATTGCATTCTAAACTCAGGGGATCAAAACAGCGGAATTAAAACAAAATCCAATCTAATGTTGGCCGTGAATACAGCCTGGAACTCCTCAGACGCCACGTTTTATGTTTCAGTGTCCTGCTTTTGATGAAACGTTACAGAGCAAAGAAGAAATGTCAGTTTTCTGGTTTCGTCTCAGGTGTACGACCTGGCGAGTCCGGGCGAGAGCGTCGACAGTGCGCCAGGATGCAAGCTGACAGACGGCGTGTGTGTGACGGCGGCCGGTCCTTCCTGTGGCGTTCACGCCTCCTGCCTTGCCGACTGGGGCTCCTTCAGCTGTGAGTGTCGTCCAGGATACAGCGGACACAAGTGTGAGAGAGGTGAGAGACCCTTTGTTGTGAAAACTCCTGTGGATACAGCGCAGTTTTAACACTTCTTGTTTATTCATTAGTGTTCAGTTTTATTTAATTGTGACTTGTTGTTTTGTTCAGTGAGCTTTAGTTTGTTTTTAAAGTGTTTGCTAGATTTTATTAGTTAAATGTTTCGTTTTTATTAGTTATACTAGTTATTAGTTTATACTAGTTTTTCATACTAAAACTAGTTTTAGTTTTTTTGTGCTGTGGTTAATTTTTAGGTGTAGAATTTAAAAATGAATTACTGTAATGTGCTTTCACTTGACATGAACTGTTTCTGGGAGGAGGAAAAAAATCTATTTCACTGCAGTTTGAAAGGCTAATAAAAACATTCAATAACACAAAAATGAAGAATATTATATGTATAATTAAAATATGTTTTAGATGTATGAATAGATGTAATTCCAGTTAGCTATAGGTTTGGTGATCTCATTGATGTTAGTCTGCTATTGTAACTTTGCCCTCGGTTCACTGTTCAGCTGTGCAGGAGTTCTCCTTCGACTCGGACAGCGTGATGCGTTTTCAGCTCAGAGGGGGCGGCAGCTCCCGACGCACCAACATCCAGATGCTTCTCCGGACCAGAGCCACCTCGGGGACCCTGCTCTCCGTGGCATCCCGGGACTCCAACGAGTACATCATTCTGGAGGTCAGTCTGACTTTCCGCTGACCATGGACAGGTCATTACTGCTAAATGACCTGTCCATGCTAACATAAACAACCACTACTAGTTACTGAAATCCCATTCTGGATTTTAGTGTCATTAATACCTTTTATAGTAGACACATAAATCACGGATTGGCCCTTTTTCCTACAAGAGGTTTTTCACATAATTTGAAATCAGATTGAGTCAAAACTGGTGGTGGAACTCTATTAAAATGATTAACTGAGGTAATTTGATGCTAAATAGACATATGAGGCCAACAACAAAGATCTTAGTTGATTTTAATCTGTTATTTAGATTATTTAATCATCAGATTGATGCAAAGTGCTCGTATTACAATTTAACCTTTGGATGTTTCAGAAACTTCTTTGAAAAAATCTATTTTGCTTCTTAGATTTTAAAGCTTTACTGATTAGCTAACTCCTTTTAGCACAACTTGATCACAACAATAGTCTTTTCCAGCGTTCCATAATAATGCGATTCATCCTGAATAGTTGTAGTTTGCGGAAGTAGCTGTGTGTCAAACGCTTACACCTCTGCTGTAAGCTTATGCATTTTTCTGTTGTTTCTTCAGTACTTCTTGGTGCAGCACCACCACAGGCAAGTGGTTGAACATGTTATCCTGCTGCTAAATCAGAATTGTACAGGATATTAAAGAACTAGTGTAGCACTAATTTTGTAAAAGTAAAGGATTTCTCAATTTTCCGCAAACTTAATAATTGTAAATAAATTAAAGACTAGTTCTTGTGAATTATTCAGTGTGCAATTACTGCAATTGCAATGAAATGTTAATGTACTCTTAATATATCCATCCATCTATTTTCTGTTTTCAACTTTTCAGATCAGTGACGGTCACGTCTCAGTGCGTGCCAACCTGGGAGACGGCGCTCAGTCTCTCCAGCTCCCCGGTCACAGAGTGGACGTCGGACAGTGGGTCCTGGTCAGCCTCAGTCGACACGACAACAGGTTTACCCTGCGACTGGAGCAGGGGGGGGGCTCCCGGGAGGTTCAGGCGCAGCTGGGGAGCCGCAGGGAGATTGTGGTTCATCCGGCCAGCCTGATGGTTGGCAACAGACTGAATGCTGGAGACAAGGCTGACTTCCAGGGTGAGATCTTGCTCTCATCAGTATTCATCTGTCAAAAGGATTTTATTTAACCTAAACTGGAAAAAAAAAAAAAACAATGCAAGTTAAATAATTAGCTTTACATGTTGTAGGACTCTTTGGATTTGGTATTTCATTTACAGAGTATAGGCATAAAATTAGATTATTTAGCAAACATTTAATAATTCTGTGCTTTGCCAAAGTTTTCAGGTATTGTGAATTCACAATATGTGAGTTTTTCACTTATGAGTCCAAAGAATCAGGACGAACCTCTGAGCTGTAAATAGTTTTTTAGCTGAAACATGTACGTTTTGGACTCTGAATGCAAATGCAAGACACACTTCAAATTTTTCTTTTCAAAAAATGCTGTAAACATATAAAATTTTCTGTCTACTTAAAATTTGTGCTTTACTTCATAGTGGTCCATCATATAAAATTCTTAAGAAAACAGGTGATAAACAGAAGGAATACTTTTGCAAGGCACAATAACTGCAATACTTGTTAAAGGACAAAAAAAGCCCCAATTTATACTGTTCTAATATTCAGACCTTATTAAGCATATTGAACAAATGAGAAATGGTTTTATTTTGGTTTGGAAAGCAGCAGAACTACATTCTGATAACAGTTTGATTTTCAAACATTAAGTGTTTTTTGACAGACTTTCATGATTTTACGTGCTATTCTGTTTACACCTTGATCAACGTTTTGTTCTGGATGGTAATGCGTTAAAAAGTCATCAAAACTTTGGTCTGATACCTCAAATAACCTGTGAGTTTGTCTTTTCAATCAGATGTTGTTTTTTCTCCATGCAGGCTGCCTGCGGGACGTCCGTTTTAACGGCCACATCCTCCCTCTGGACGGCCAGAGCCGGGACATGGTGACGCTGCTGGAGAGGCGGGGGGTAACCTCGGGTTGCTCCAGCGACGCATGCAGGAGCCAGCCCTGTCGCAGCCCGCTGCGTTGCATCGACCTGTGGAGAAAACACCAGTGCAAGTAAATAATGCACGAACGCAAAACCCACACAGAATAAAGTGAACTGAGTTGAACATATTCAGGTCTAATGAAGCATTTTTAGAGTATTGGTACCATTTGGAGCTCATCCAGTCATCTCTGCTGGACTCTGACCCGTTGCAGGTGTCCGGGCCCTCAGGTGACTGTTACCGACGAGTCTGGTCTCCAGCGCTGCGTGCCGTCACCCTGTGACTCGTCCTCCTGTCGTAATGGCGGCATATGCCATCCCCTGTCAGCTGACAGCTACCAGTGCCGCTGTCAGGAGGGATTTAGAGGTCAACGCTGTGAGCTGGGGCAGGTCAAAGGTCAGAGGATGGCTGCTCTCAGCCCCAGCTCCATCCTCGCCATCAGCATGTGCCTGCTTGTCTTTATTGGTAAGAACAAGTGATTGTTAAAGTAAATCTTTTGCGTTGCTTTATGTGAGTTGAGCTTTTCGCCAATATCACACTCCTGCAGTGTTTAACTTTTGTGTTTTGTTAAAACTTTCACCATCTTGCGACAGAAATCTTGAAGAAATCCACCGATCCTAACCATAAACAACCAATCAGAGCCAGGAGGAGGGGCTTAGCGCTGTCCATCAACTTAATGTACTCATTGCTAAATGTTCTAATAGTGGAGAAACAATTAAAACAATTAGAAACTGTTCATCAGCTGTCATCGATGGCTATGCTAACTAGCCTTAGCGTTCGTGGCAGACTACGTTGCATACATGTGAATGATTGATAGCACTAAGACCCTCCTCCTGGCTCTGATTGGTGTATTTTTGCAGACAATAGTAGCACTGAAGGAGAGATGAAGGAGCTTGATCTTTTCACAGATTATCTGTCTCATATTATATTGTCAGGACGGGGTGACAATTTCAACAAATATGGAACAAATATTTTTAATAAATAATTTTTATTTTTATAAAAGTTGCATATTGCAGCGCTAAAGAAAATTTCTGGTTGTTTGTCAAACTGCAATGCTTTAAGTTTGAATATGTTTTCTTTTGACAATATCCTCTATTAATTTCTTCTACCTCCTGTACCTGTGTGTGTGTGTGGGTGTGTTTGCGTGTGTGTGTTCAGTGGTGTTGGTGGCGGTGACCGTTTGGAATCAGAAAGGCAGCCGAAACAAGTTCAGGAAGCGAGGAGTTTACCACATCCCTGCTGAACACCAGAGCTGGGAAGACATCAGAGAAAACATCCTGAACTATAACGAGGAGGGAGGAGGAGAGCAGGACCAGGTACCTCGTCACACACAATGCTAAACATGTTCAACCTTCTGCTTTAAAGTTTACACTCACCTGCTCACAGTCAGAACATCTCAACAGAGAACAAGTTTATCCAGGAATCAGCAGTTCATTCTCTGGCCTGAATCTGTTCTCTTGCACACAGATGTAGGGAAATGTGAATAAGTGAAAGTAAAAATATAAAAATAATGACAAATTGAAGGAGTTTTTTTGTGCTTTACAAGCACAATCAAGAAACTTTATTACCTTCAGTTGTTTTAGAAATGCTTCATACAATAAAAAGAAATTTGACCCCTTGAAATTGGGCATCTGTCTCTTTAAGAAGCTCCTGCTCTTTCTGATCATCTGGACGTCATCACAAGATCTTTCCTTTATAAATGCTTTAATAATGTTTTTACCAGTGTTGTTCTCAGAAGTGGCTCATAATGAGCTTAATAATTGCTGCTGCTAGTGAAGGAGGCGCCTGAGAGGAGAGATCTGTGAGACAGAAGCTTGACAAGGATCTACATGGAAACAGACACCGTTTAAAGTTTCTCAAACATCTCAGCTGGTTTTACCGCTGGCTGCCGGAAAGAACGAAAGTGTTGTTGATTTACTATCCAGAAATCACTTGCTGCATTCTTGGTTGTGCATGAGACGCTACTAATACTTTCCAAGGATGTACGGTATAATTGTGCATCTGTTTGCAGCCTTTTCCACTTGTGAACACTGAGGTGGAGGGTGTGGCCAACAGCAGCTTATTTGGATTTAAATAATCTAAATAAGGCCCAAAAGCATCTCATTCTGAAAGAAGCTCAGAAGTGAACAAACTGAGACCTTGTCATTAAAGAAGGATTTTGTGCAATGAACATGTTTTGTTGTTTTGTATAACCCATAGACCTATCCTAACCTGTTCAAGAACACATCCAGGAAAAAGCTCCTGTCTTCAGCAGAGTCCTGACTATAATGAGATCTTTAATTCATGGACTACATGCTTCTGGTTTCTTCCCTTCAGAATGCATACGACATCACAGAGCTGAAGCGTCCTCTGTGCTCCAGCTTGTCCCAGTCGTCCTCCTGCACCACTGCCCCGCTCATCAAGTCCTCCCCCGGCTCCCAGGAGGAGGTGCATCCATCCGGCTCCTCCTGCAGCTCCGGCGCCCCCTACCTCAGCATCCCGCACCACCACCACCATTACCATCACCACCATCAGCACACAGCCGGCGCCGGCTACAGCAGTGACGCCACCTACGCCAACTATTCCTCTCATGCAGGCAGGGACACAGAGATGAGTGACACGGGCAGCTGCGTCGACGCTCCGCCCGCAGCGCGCTCGCATGTGGACTTCAAAAGCTACGTGGAGCGAATCATCTGGGAGGCGGACAACGACAGCGGCGCGTTTCCAGCCGACGCCTACCACGTCTGGTGCGTGGAGGGCTCCGGGTCCTCAGCAGGAAGCCTCAGCTCTCTGGGGTCCGCCGTTTCCTGCAGAAGAATGGCTGCTGGGGACAAGAAGGAAGAGGTAGAGGAGGAGGAGGATGAAGGAGGTTTTGTGTGTGACAGGCTGTCACGGTGGGGGCCGAAGTTTCAGGCTCTGAGTGAGATGTACGACCGGCCACAGCTGGGCCTCACGTACAGGGACGCAATAGCCTACATACAGAGGAGCCACAGCCATGACCCGCTGCCTCAGCACCACTAGGGGGAGCCACTTAACTGACCACACAGTCCTACTTTGCTTATGGGTCAGGAAATGATGCATTCACACAACATTCAGGTTCTATTCACTATTATGGTCCTGTCAGGGATATTTACTCAGGGCAATATGGCTTCAAAATAAAATCATTTCATTCATACCAGATCAGATTTTCAATTTTAATTTTTTCTCACTTTGTTTCCAAGAAAAAATAATAATAATTCAAAAAAGTGACTTTTATTTCAATCATCTCTTCTATGAGTTGTAATACAGAGTATTAGGACTATCATTTATTGTTGAATTATGAGAATATTGTTGCAATATTGACACAAAAAAAACATTTTTAGTAGACATAACATCTTAAAGTTGCAAGAAAAGAAGTAATTATAGTGAGAAAAAAAGTCTTGATAAGGATGGAGATCTGATGTGACGTCAGTCAGTGCAGTTCTCTCTTGGAAATACTCGGTTCTTTGAACAATCGTTTCAAAGTCCTGTTACTGATAATAATTTGATGATGATATGTAAAAGATGAATTGTTTTTATTAAGTGAATCCAATACAAAAAATATGATTTCACTAGATTCATTTTAATTTTTGTTATTTTTTGTGTTGGAGTTCTGATACGATTACTACAATATTCTCCTTATGTTATGGCTGTAATCTTTGGAATGTTATGACTTTATTCATATAATGAAGTCATTAAAAAATTGTGGCCTGGCCCTAATATTGTCATAGAGTTGACCAGAGTTCAAAGTTCAGATGAATAGACGCTGTAAAAGACGCTTGTCAGGTAAAATGGCTGCTGTGGGCGCTCTGACATCACTATGAACTATGACAACTCAAGAAGTGGTAAAGAAAAAACATTACGATTTTCCAAAAATAAAATCTTCACAAAACAAAAATTTGATTAATAATCCAGCTGTAAATGATGATATTTGAAGTCCCAAAATCTTTCCAATTTAAGTCCAGACATAAACAAGAAAGCTTTGCTTATTTCTGCTTCTTCAGTGGTTATTTTATGAAAAGGAGGAATAAAACCAAAGAAACTCCAGTTTATGAGTAGCCAAACAACAGGGTTCATTTTAAAAGGGACAAAACATTATAATTACCAAATATTAATTCTGTTACAACTAAAATATAAATAACAGTCTTTGCTTTAATTTGGTCATATTGGAGTTTTTTTTTTTTAGTATTATTTGTGTATTTTAGTTGAGTTTGAATTATGTTCTGCAACATTTTATCAGGGCTCATCTAATAATAGCTAATAATTTAGTTTCATTCCCACAGTTCTTAGGTTTTTGCTGCTGGATGTTTACTTCTGTCTTTTTCTTGTCAGAAACTTTTCTATGTCCCGCTAACTCGCTCGGCTAGCTTAATGAGCAAAACAACTTGACTCGGTGGCCCCACTTCGAAAAACACTGATAAGGAGATGAAGGTCTAAACGGCTCTGTGCAGCAGGCTTTGACAGCAGGTTTAGTTACAGAACATCTAATCCAACAAAAAGGGTTTAAATGGGATGTTGTGTGAATGCAGCAGCTCCTCTCCCATGTGTTCACCAGTGTTGGGAGAAATTCAGACACATTCAAGGTTGGAGGTTCATTGTGTTGTGCTCCTTTTTTCAAAGAAGTTGTGCTTCAGAAGTTTGAGGAAGATAAAAAGCACAGTATGTGTGATGTAGTTATTCAATTTGTAAGAGGCTTCTGGGTCGCTGTGCTTTGCTGTTTGCGAAATGCAACTTTGAGGGTCAAAGAGTGTTTTCTCTGAAGCAACACCACCATCAAATGATGTGAGAAACTTTCAGTGGCTGGCGGCCAGAGTGGAAGAATTACAACTGCTACACTTGAAATCTCAGAAAACATTAAGGCCTTGAACATGACTTAAGTTGTTCTTTCACAGCATTTTATTTGAGATTTTTTGGGTCGGAAAGTTTTTCCTTTGAAATTTATATTCAAAATGTCCAACATACTAAAAGTCTTTCCAAGGATCTTTGCAGTTTTTTGTAAATAAACATGGACAAACTTAGATTTTTAAATTTCCAGGTATTGAAGTATCTATAAAAACTCAAAAATAAGCTTTTAATTTCTCTTTTCTACCTTCTTGTTGCACTAAAAGAGGATTCAGTCTTCATATAGGACAAAACAATCAATTTGAAACAGAACTTTTGTAATATTGGAGGGTAAAACACTTTTTCCACCTTGTAAAATTACTGGTACATTTTTAAATAAGATTATTTTTCTACTCACTTAAAGAAGTTCATTGAGGTGATTTGATGGTTGTTGGTTGTGCTGTTGACATGCTGGTTACTCCACTTTTCTGTCCTAGAACTCACCTTTTTACGTACAAATTTCATCTTCAAGCTGCTTTGAAATTTCTATTCATTGAAACAAAATGGTAGCGAGCCTAGTTTAATATTTATTTGCAGTTGAAGATGAACTTATTAGTCTGCTAAATGCTTAATGACGCAAACCTCCGTTTTAGTTTTAGCACATTTATCATCCAGCCTCAAGGTGGTGCCAAGAGAGAAGAGAAAGAACATGCTGAGATAAACGTGTTTAAATGTGAAAAATTAGAAAAACGTGAGGCTGAACCAGATACAATTCTGAAAATAAATAAATACATTTAGAACCTTTCACACAAACTTTTAACAGTTTTAGATTCTATATCCAGTCTAAAGATAAATTAATTCTGTACAACATGAAGCCAATCATGTGACCTTCAGAAATATTCAAATTTTTGGATCAAATTTACCTTTTAAATTGTGCTTTTCAGTCCTGGTGAGAGTTGTTGGCTCTTCTGGTAAATATATGTGAAAAGACTTAAAATTATTTTGCTTTATAGCAGATTTTCAGAAAAAGTCATATAACCTGAGATCAACTGATTTAAGAAAATCAGTTGAGATAATTATTTATACTTCTAAAAATGTTACTAAAATAACCACAATTACGCTTTATTGTTTGTATGTGGAACCCTTGAAATTAGAATTTATGACTTCCTGTTTCCAGGAGGTATAAATACAATGTGACACCAGAGCTCTTTTTTTTTAGCTTTAGCGTTTTAAAATGGGAAAGACAAGAAAACATGTCATTCAAAGCAAACCTATGTTGATGTTAAGTCAAACAATTTTTTTCATTTTATGCAACTTCCAGTATTTGATAAATTCATTTACAATCCCTTTATTTATGGTTCCAATGAACATAATGACCACATATAGGTAAAGTTTTTATTATTTTTATCATCTTTATCTTGTATATTGAAGTGTAGAAGTTGGTCCAGTTCTAAAGAACGCTTGAGTATTCTCACACTATAATCTTACACTTTAAAAATCCACATTTGTTACGTTTTCTTTTTGTTTTGCTCTCATCAAAGTTTGCAGATACAATCAAGATAAAAGAACTGAAAGAAGCGAGGCTGCTTTCTGCCGCCCTAATCTCCAATCAACCCTTCAGAGTTTATTTATTGATCACTCAAAGGTCTTTTCACAGCTGTAAATTCAACTGTTATCTGGTCTGTGGTCGTTTGTTTCACCTGCATTAAAGCAGACGGTAAATCTGTCGTCCTGAAGGTGAGATAAAGACAAACAAATAGGAGACATTTATCAGAACAATTGTTTTCTGCACATGACTTTTTAAAGTTTCTTTGCTATCAAAACAAAAGTGGGTGATTAGTTTAACCCGCATCCATTATTTACCACCTGGTTTCATTGTGCTGCCTGATGAATGTAGATCTACGTGGAGATGAGGACAATCAGAGTAAAAAGGTTTATTTTAAACTCAATCAACTCAAACGTCTGCTGCCAGTTCAAGGTTTCATGACGCAGCTCTCCATTATTGTTCCTTGAAATCTTATTTTGGATTCAGATGTCAGATTTTCTTTGTTGTTTTTTTGTGCAGCTGCCAGTATGAATTAGTTAAAGTTCTTTCCTTCAGATGGTGAAACAGGTTTTGTGTTTCTCTTCTGGTGCCTAAAGTGAAATAAAATAAAAGCAAAATAAGCCCTGAAGGAACTGTGCACAAAACTATGCATCCAAATGGAGTAACACAGGCGTGTGTGTGTGCGGGCGCATGTGTGTGTGTGTGTGTTTTTATAAACTGTCGATGTGAAGCAGATGTTGAGTGAGTTTTGGCCTCTTCGGTGTTCAGCATCTGTTGTAAATCCAGAGCTTTCGGAGGCGGAGGTCTGAACGTGTTGCAGCATTCCTGTAGGTTTAAACTGAGCAGAGATGAACAGTGTAATATGATGTACAAGTAAACATTTTTATAGCTGCCTCTCATGGATTATTCCTTTTGTATGTGACTTTTCATAAAAAATAAATAAAAAAACCTTTTCCCCATAAAGTTTGTCCTGTGTGTAGTTGATTGTATCTGTCTGCTTTTATGATTATGGCTTTTGTAATGATAATTTCTTTTAAAATTGGAATCATTTTCTTCACAATCTTCTTAAGGCTTCACCCATTTCTATCACACTTTTTCCTTTCACTTAATTTTCCATTGAGATATTACATAGAAAATCTTCCCAAGGAAGTTTTGGTAAGGTACTTTGTTTTGGTGCATCAAAGCCTCCCATCAAAACACAATGAAGTTTTTTGGTTGTAATGCGATAAAAGGGATTTTGGCCAAAAGGTTTGCAGCCCTTGCTCAATGTGAGCAGATATCTGAAACCTACTGAGCTGAACCCGAGACATTCTCACGCAGATTTGAGTCACAGGAAGCCGTTTTTTCGCTCATGGAACATCAACGTGTCACATCTGCAGTTTTACTGAAGTACTCCTTTAGTGGAGTACTTCAGTATGGAAATTCGGACTGATAGCATGAATCTGACATAAAAGTGGAACAGAAACTAATCTCTACCTTAGTTTGTAAAAGTCTGACCTCCACAACTCTTCTGTAATTTGAGCTGCAGCAACATTGTTATGCAGGATTTATTCTAAAACTACTCGTTTAAAAGTCTAACTGGGTCACGTCGAGCTGCGGCGTGAACGTAGCGTAAAATTCATGTTTCTTCTGCCAGTGATTTATTTCTATTTGCCACTTTTTCACTCACTCAATTTTTACAATTGTTCATTTATCATTTTCCATTTTGACACCCTTGGCTTAGAAGATTCCAAAAAGACCAAAAAGACTTTCAACATTTTATTTAAAACAATACAAAAAGGAAATTACAATTTTCTCTTTAAATTGCTGTATGTACAAAAACATTCTTTAACATCTATACACAGTTCACATGGTTTATATGTTCACTGCAGAGGTTTACAGTCACAGGTTTGATGGATTTTCACTTTTTGGCTCACTCCATTTAAATTTTAAATTAAGTTCATGTACAGATTTTTCTCCCCGTTCCCATTATATAAAAAAGGCACTGAAGACATCCTTATGTACAACATTTAATGCTGAACCTAAAATGAACAGATGTAATGGATCAAACCTCATAAATACCTTTTTGCCTTTGGCACTGAGTTACCAGACTGAGTTCAATCAATAAAAGACTTTGCATATGAACATTTTTCCTTGACTTACAAAGGCTTATTAATAAATACAAGCACTTAAAATGAAAAAGCAAAAAAAAAAAAAAAAAAATTTCCACTAAAGGTCAAGTTTTCCAGGAACGTAACAAAATGTTGCAACCAGATTGCAACACAAAAAAAAAAAAAAAAAAAAAAAAAAAAAAAAAATTTGCCACAAGCAGGCCTGGTGCATTAAACACCTAAATAGGAAAAAAAAATAATTCCTATAATTCTGGTCTCTATGAAATACTTCTGACACCAAAAATCAAGCTGTTTGTTCTAAAGGTGACAATCCTCCATAAGGACAGATTTACTTTCAGACATGGAAAGAAAAAAAAAACGTGTCACATGTCTAATTGTACCTATTTAAATTGGAATGACTGTCGTAAGTAAGAACAAAAGCAGGTTTTTCTCATTTCCTGAGAATCAACTGAAGCACCCTCAGAAAGCATCAAAGCTTCAAGTTTAAGATCAGCACCAGTGAAACTCCCAGGTGACGGCTCACATGTTAACCAGCTGGGTGAAAACTGTTATCACCCAACTGGAGATTAAATCATCAATCTCCAGACTGAAGACCGATCAGTCTGCTGATTGGTTAATCACCAGACTGATTAAATCATCAGTCTGAAACTGATCAAGAAACGGATCAGTTTCCTGTCTGATCCGTTTTGGCTGCCAGAAGTCAGAGCTTAGTGTTAAAACAACCAAACATAAAAACTTTTGTTCTCCACATTATGTGTCGCTGTGACGACTCAACTGTGGCGTCAAGTTGTCCTGAAGAGAGGTAGTGGGTCCTGCTGATGGGTCCAACTCAGGGATTGGTCGACTTTTCTGTGCTGCTGGGCGGGGTCAGAAACTTGTCCATGGCAACAGGTGACAGTTGACAGTCAGGGTTGTCGATTTGACACTCCTGTGCTTTTCTCTGCACAAAGAAAATAAAAACATGTTAACAATCGGCCAAGAAAAACTATTTAAGCAAACAGTGCCTATATTTTTAAAAAATCCCACATTTCATTGTTTGATTTACTTACCAAGTAATCAAAATTATAATTCTGCTTTGACAACTAAAATAAGTCAAAGTGAGAACTGATTTCTACAAGATATTTAATGTAAATTAGACGAAATCAATATAATACATGAACACAAAGCACTGTTTAACATGAAACTTGTATATACAAGTTTTTAGAAAATTTTTTTTCTTTTGACAATAATTTTGCCAAAAGAAGTTTTAAAGGCTTGATTGATATATTCTTTAACTTATTGTAATAAACTGCATTCTAGTGGTCAAAAAGCATGAAAATGGCCCTTACTGAATGGAATCACAGCCTGCATCACAATGTCAGCTGTGATATTTATTAGAGAAATTAATTTACAATACATGTAGAGACTTTGTTTTTAAAAACAGGATGAAGTTTTACATTTTATAAAGAACTTGAGAGAAGTAAGTTTTATACTTCTGGATTTTGTTCAATACTAATGAACCTAAATTATTGCCAGTTTTCTCCAGTTTCTCATTCTGAATATCAAGCAGGTCAGAATATTGTTACAGATTGATTAACAGATGTGTTTCCTCACCAGCAGGTCCAGATAAGCCACATGCGTCTGGATGTTGTGTCTGTCGTCGGTTTTGACTTTGGGGAAGGTTTTCAGCTCCGGTTTGGCTTCAGAGCGCAGCGTGACCATGAAGGGACTCATCCACTGATAACAGGGAAACACGCTCTCCCAGGTCAGGCCTGCCAAACAGAGGCAGAACCTCACTGGTTATGACCTGGAATATTCATACACTGCCTGTAAAATGTGCAGAGGCAGAGTGGAAACCCACCTGAGACTTTATGAACAACGTCAAACGTAGAGAAGTGACAGAAGGCGGCGGCAGCAAGAACGCTGTAGCTGTAGTCCAACGAATTGATGTCCATCATGCACAAATCTAACAGCTGAAGGAGATGAAGGTAGAGGTCACACTTTGAACATTTAAAACATTTAAAAGGTTTGTGAGGAAGCGACGATACCTGTGTGATCTGAATGTACGTCTCCTGAGAAAACTGCGACTCCAGGAAGTTCTCTCCATCCTTCTGGGCTTCCACCTGCACATACAGCTTGAGCCACGAGATGGGAGTTTCTGGACACAAGTTCCAGTCCAACGCCTGCAGGAAGACCATCATGTTGAAGCAAGGGGGGAAAAAAAACTCTGTATTCAGAACCAGGACAGAAACTGCTGCTGTACCTTTAATATACGAAGCTCTGTGCGCTGGATGTCCCACATGTTACACGCTCCATCTGTGACGTATGCAAACTCGTAGATTTTAGGAGGATAAATTTCCTAAAGAGAGAAAAACATTTTTATGAAAACTATTCTGCTAGGATATAAATACTAGAAACAGCAGGAAATGAAAACTAACTTCTGTCTTGGAGGCGATGAAGAGGGCTGTAATGCCAATGAGCTGCAGGTAATCTTTATCGACGTCCTCCTGAGTCAGCATGAAGCGGTCAAAGTAGTCCTGGGCCAGGTATGCTGTCTGTCTGTGGAGGTTGTACACCTCACTCACCTGCACAAAGGCAACAACATAAAAATCCTACAGATTCACCAAGAATGTGACGACATAAACCACTGCTCTGCTAGATACTCGCCTCCAGCAGCCAGTCCAACAGGATCGCCCTCATCTTGGGCTGCAGATTAGGATGCCGCTGCAAGTAGCTCTTATCATGAACGTACTTCAGCTCCTTGTTGAGCATTTTAATCCAAACGTCGTCTGAACTCGCCCAGCTGGGATGAAAAGGAAAGAAAAAGGAACCAAAACTTGTCAGTCATTTGCAAATCAAAGATATTCAACTGGTTCATACCATGTGACGAAACTAAGTGCTAAACCACTCACACACCCATCATGTGACCCTGTTTATTTCAGATCTTACAATGGCATTTTAAATTGTAGAGTAACAACCATTTCAGTGAGAAGTGTTGAACTACAATGGCCTCATTGATGTGCAAAACCCAGGCTTACCTGAGGCAGGGGATGGGGGAGGCCTTGATGAAAAGGTTCTTGAACTGGTATTGCTTGAAGCTGGATGGGTCTGACGGTTCCAGCTCCTTGTGGGGAGTTTCAATGAGGATGCACGGACTGGCACCATCCTCCGACCAACACGTCTGGAAAAGCAGGATTTTATTAAATATATTTTGTTTAAATAAAGGTTTATGGATTTTGATTTTCAAAAACAGTCAAGCCTCATGTGAATTCTGGAGATGATACCTGTAAGATTAAAGCTATTACAAACCCCAGACTGGATATAATTTGATTTTTAGTTAACTGCAATAGTGACCTCTTCTGGTAAAGAGAAGGTAGTGCATCATCACAGCCTCTCCCAAATTCAAAACTTATTTCTTTCAACTAGTTCTATTATAACAAAAATCAATCTAAACAAAAAATAAAAAAACAACAAAGAACAAAATAAAGTTCTTTATTATAATCTACACCTTTATAAAAATGGACATGGAGGGAAAATAAATGCAGTTTACTGGGAGGGTTCTACTAAATGAAGATAAAGTAGTAAAACACATCATGGGCAGAGCTCTTATCAGCTATAAACACACAATCATCTGGAGTTGACGTGCAGCAAACTGACCTGAATTTCATAGTTCTGTTTCTTGGCTGCAGGTTGAAGCTTCTTTTTTGGCTGAGGCGGAAAGCAAAGAAATGAATCCATGTTCAAGTAAGCCAACTATTTACTAACTAGATACAAACAAAACAAGACAAACCTCAGACTTTCTTTTCTTTAGTGGTTCTCGGACTGCGGGTTCAGCTGCATTTGAGTCCCTGGCTTGAAGTGTGAGGCGACCACTGAGAGGAAAATTGCCTTTTTAGGTCCTTCTTATTGATATACTATTCAAAATTTAAATCTGAAGACAATCTATTTCTATTCAGATTTTCTTTTTTTAAGCTTAAAAGTTTGAAATGAAGAAATTGTGAACTTGTAAATGCTTACCTGCGTCTAGACATGGTGCTGATTTATTCTTATGGCTCTCCTGGAAATTAAAACAAAAACAAGTTAAGAGTTGTGAAGAATTGTAAAAATATTTACAGAAACTCCAGGACAATTGGACACTGTACATACAATTTGGATCATATTAGGAAGAAATCTTAACAAAATAAGCATTGAAACATCTTACTAATAAACACTGAAACTTTGCAATCTTTCCCAGATAATTGGTCAAAAATTTAAGAGGGCAATTTGCTCTTCATACTAGTCGAATTCAATTAATCAAATTCCTCAAAAATAAGAATTTAAAGTATTTCTGGTCTCCAAACACATCCTGTAGATGTTATGACACAAATGATTAGATTTTATCATTTGTCTAATCAGGATTATAGTTATGCTTTCATGAATAAATGAGGATCATATCATTCTCTCCAATGCTTTTCATAGTTCTTAGAAAAACAGGAGTGAGTCAAAACTAAAAGATCAGACTTAAAAGAAAAACAGGAAATCTGCTTCAGCAGATAAAAACCTGATTGCTGCATCTCTACATGAATGATAAGGCTGCTAAAGGCTCAAATTGTCCAAAAATAAAAAAGGTAAAAGTTATTAAAATTATGTTAAATAAAGCTTGGAAACTATTGGTTGAGCAGGAGGTTTCTTTAGAAGATGCAGGATGTAAAACTCCTAATTTGAATAGTTGAGTCTGAACTTGGTGTATAATCTGTAGCTAACTTAGGAACAGCAGGGCTAGCTTGTGATTAACAATACACCAAGTAACCAACGTAACAATCCATCGTTAGTCTACTAACACAGGCTGAAGAAGCACATGGAGCTACGATGCAGATCTCCAGCTCATTGAAAACACGCAAAAGTAAATAAGAAGTGATGAAAAGAGAGAAACTAGACGGCCAGGTTCTGTGAGCTATCATGGTAATGCCTGGAAGAAGGGGGGCTGACAACTCCCTCCGTTTCAGACAAAAAAGCTCAAAAATACAACATTTCAATTCCAGTTTCTCGGCTTTGATGACGACGCACATGTCTCTAAACATGTTCACTAAAGTTTTAGTCGACAAAACATCCAAATTATTGGGTTTTAGAGAAGTTTGAAACTCAAAGACGCGCCAATTTCTACAACGGAGAAGCGGGAGGATTTGAGCCCTGCCTCTTCGAAACTACCCCCAAATCTGCGAGGGAAAACTGCGAAAGAAGACCGCTAAAAATGGCTGTTATTAAACTTAGACAATTACCAACTGACTGAGAAGGGGTACGAGAACCACATATCTGAATACGAAGAGTTTTATAACCAATGCAGTGCCAATGAAGTCGGATAAATTGACTTCATTGCGAGGCTAATCTGAGGAGGGCAGCTACTGTACTTAGCAAACTAACAGCTAACTAGGTCAACAATAACCGACTAACCCTCCAAAATACAGATAAACTATAAATCACCAGCTTCAAGCTGAAACACTGGGAAACTATTTCTTTACTTAAGATAAACGTTGAAAAGTCAGATGACACTGAAATCCTGCTTTTAAACACACCATCCAAACTACTGTTCAACGCTCTGAACTGAATAGTTCTGAACCTGCTGTACTTTCAGGACAGAAATGTTATAGAGCAGATATAACACGATTTATAAAGTTGGTGTAATGCAGCAAAGCTGGAGTTAAAACTACATGCTCAGAAGTTCCTCTCTTGGCCTATTGGAAAGTCACTTAATCCAGAACTTTGCCATATTAATGCAATTTTCCAGCTAATCTGCCAACTAAAAGTCCCAAAAGTGACTTAGCATTATAGAGCTTGTTCTAAAACCATGCAGATATATCAGTAGACCAGCTCAGAAGTTCCGAGATCTTACCTCCTCAGCGAAGAATGAATGAATGCATCAGCTGTGGCGCCGGCGCCAATCCTTATATCCGCGTCTGCCTGTCGGCGCCAGTGCGCATGCCCGTTCCCGGTTAATACAAACGCGCTAAATGTTCAAATCTGAACTGTGATTTTTTGCAAACGGGCAGCACCGAGCGGGTAAAATCGGTTGCTCTTGCTTAATTTTGCTGTATAACGACTAAAAACGATCCCAGAATGAAGCTTAGCGACCGTTTCGTCGTGTTTTTTCCGTGCCTTCGTTGGTTTCTAACGGTCACCGAAACGAAGCAACGTTTTTAAGAGGTAAACCGCACTTTCCGTTTGTCGCGGTTGAATTTTAACGACGCAGAAATCCTTTATGAAGGGATACACGTAGGAATGAGTCAGCAGTTCTTGAATTTGACGGAGTTATATTAGATTTTTTAGGTGATGTAGAAATTGCTTCCGCTCGCAGGTCCCGCCTGTGGGAGGAAGCAATGTGACGTCAAGCCAATGAGAGGGCGAGTAGTGACAACCGCGTGCACTCTGTGCAGAATGTAAACAAAGCGAGCACGTGGGGCGGCTGTCAAACAGAAGCTGTGCATCTACTACTTCAACATATTTTATCTCAAGTAAAAGTATCCAAGGAATTACTCCACTAAGAGTCAAAAAGTATTGTTGTAAATTTATTTTAAAAAGTACTGTGTAACTGATCACAAATATAAATCACTTAATCATCAGACGGACCATAATATATAGTTATGTGTAAATTTTGGTATTTTAAATACCTTAATGAAAATGATTCATATAAATAACATAATTACAAAATACCAAAATTTGACAAAATAATTTTCCTAAATCAATTTAATTTAATTAAAAAACCTTATGAAACAAAACTACAGTTGTGTATCTGTGTCAGGTGATTTTTTTGTTTAGAGCAAACTTTTTTTCATTTAGTGAAGTTAGTTACAGCGAGTAGATCCATCCATTAATTTTCTTCTAATTATCCGGGGTCTGGTCATGTAGAGTATCCAGAAATGTTATCCAAGTATGAGTAGCAATACCATAATAAAATTACTCAATCAAAAGTAAAAGGCACATTGTAGAAATAATACTCCTAAAAGTATGTCCTCCAAAAGGTTTCTCACGTAAAAGTTACTAGTTATTACCCAACTCTGTGTTTGCATATATGCAAATATATGTATATGTTTGCATATATGCAAACATAGTTTGCATATCTGTTTATGCAAACTGATAAACAGTCCTCTTTCTCCTGATGTTGACATTATAAGGCCTAGACAACACCTGACAACAGTACACCAAACATTTCAAATTCAATTCTGTTAAAAAAAATACTTTGAAAAAAATGTTTTCCCTCATCTCAGCCAAGTATCTTCAGTTATTGTTTCTCATGATAGTCAACATTCACATAACTTATTCCTCTTATTCAACTCAATTCAGAAATACTTTATTGTGAAGAAAACCTTTGTTGTAACTCATATCATCCAAGGATCTTCAAAGTGTCGTGAGTGGTGATTGTTTGCAGGAAGGATCTCTGGCAGAACTCTTGCAATGAAGCTAGTATGTCTCATACATGCTACTGGAGTAAAAAAGGATCACACACAGACAAACATTTGTTTATGAAAACATTTATTGTCGGCTACTGAGAGATCACAAGTATTAACTATTACAGTTCAAAAACAGATGACCCCACTTTTTATCAGCTTTTTCTTTTGTTTTTGACATCAGAACAGAGTGAATTGATCTGTTATACATCCAAAATACAAGGAAGGATGACAGTTATATCGATAAATAAAACATTAGCTCCTAAAATTCCTACAATTTTTTTTTTTTATTTTTGGCAAAGTGCTGTATTATTCCAGTAAACTACATAAAAACAAACAAATCTAACACTAGGTGAAAAATGAAAATGCCACAAGATATTTTTCACAATTAAAATAAAAGGAGAGAGAAAAAATGATTTGCTACATAGTCATTCTGTCAAAGTTGTACTCAGGCTGGGCGGATGGTGGCAGCGAGAGCTGGAGCCTCTTCAAAGCAATGCATAGTTTGTTTCTGATGTCTGTGTTTTTATCCATCATGTCCAATCAGAACATTAACAAAAAAAAAAAGAGTTCAAGTTCTTCATCGATGCATTGTCATTACAACATTTCAACCTGGAAGGCACGTGATCCACAAATTTCAAGGCATTGAACAAAAATACTAGAAATCCCTGTTAGTTGGTAATAAAAGATGAGTTGAGCTCAAAGATTTAAAGACAGATAAAACATTTCAGGCTTCTGCCAGCAGGTGGAGCCTTAAACGTTGACTCCAATCCCTTCTTTCTTTCAACGTTGTCTTCTTCAAAAATATCGCAGTAACACAAAATAACACCAAAAGTGAACGCAAAGGTTGAAAAGTTAAGAGTTAGATAGCATAGATCTAAAAGACAAGCTTACATAGGCTAAAGGCAAAGTCCACCATTGTAATATGTACAGCAAACATTAGAGACACTCAACAAACATAGTTACAGTCCTATCAAAAACAACCAGAAATCCTTCACCACACTGCAAAAAGTGTTCCAGGTTTGTTCAGATTAAAGTCTTTAAAAAAGAAAACATACTCTATCTGAACAAGTTGATGGCAAACATAGTACATTTTTAAAATTGTTACATAAAAGGCATTGATCTGCATCACGATTGTTCTAGAAAATGCAAAAAACAATGGTGTGTAAAACTTATAAGATGCAAAGTTCAAATACATTGTCAATTTAGTTGAATAAGAACAGTATACATTTTTATAAAACTTTAAACATGGAGATTCTGACATGTTAAGAGAAAAAAAGAACAACATTAACTTACAGTTTTTGGCCATAACAGCCTTCCATGTTTTATTTGTATAACTTTCTTTCTGCAGTGTGGGAGCTCATTCTGGTTTCAGCTTTGCCTACAGCGACACATTATAACATAAAACTGTCTGCTATTTCATCCAAAAGCATTTAACAAACATTTCAGTAATGCAAAAACAGAACATAAGTATTAAACAGTAGTGAAAGATTACAGATTGCCGCTACTTTCTTTTGGTATAAATATCAGCTGAAAAAAATGTAACTATTATAGCATAGAAATTAGAACAGTTGAGCAAACTTTAAGTACATTTCTAAAACCAAGTCAGGTACACTTGAGCCAAAAACAAATATTAACAGCTCTGAAAAGACAGTTTGTCTGCGTCTTGATAGTTTCCCAAAAGCGGGTGATGGTTTGTTTCCACAAACCTGGGACTGAAAGAAGCTATAGAGATACTAATCTATCAGGTAATTATTTCTCACACACATTTCAGAGGCGGGAAAAAGTCTGAGCGCATTGAAAGAATCATCATCCATCAAGTAAATCTGCATTTTCCTAAAGTGTAAAAGGTGATTGGTTGTGACCCTGAGAAGTGGACTGCAGATTTATATCAGAACAAACAAGAAGAAAAACAAGTCCTTTTCCATTATCTTTTCTATTTTTTGCCAACATTGTGATACTAACAACATTACAACCATGCAACAAACAGCACACTCATTACCAAACATACCAAAGCAAGAATCCATTGATGCGTACAACTTCATACTGATATGTAATTTGCTTTTTTTTTTTCTAATTTGGAAGTATATATATATATTTTTTACATACTTTTTTTTTTTTTTTACATTTCTATTCCTCTCAAAGCTACCATTAAAACAAGGCATTTAGTGATATTGAACCCAGTCATTTTAACTACTTGTATTTATTTTTTCTTCCAAAAAAATATGGTGAAAAGCACTGAACTGAAAGTCAGAAGCAGGTTCGGTTGACACAGCAGGAAGTCCTGAACTGAGCGAAAACAGTGGTGCGAAAGATTTCAAAAAGGCAGTAAATATAAGAGACAAATTTCCCTAAAAAGGCTCTTTAAGTCAATTAAATTACCTACACTGAAACTAGAGTGTGTTTGTAACACACACTAATGTGCTGCAAACACACTGGAAAACACAAAGAAATCCTGAGATCAAGTATAAATGTTGATCATGTCTAAGAAAAAAAAAGAATGAGGCGATAGTTCAGGGGTGTGCTTGAGGATAATTTTGTTAAAACTCTCTGTTCTGTTTCTCTATTTTCAGTTACAACAGTCTACAGTTTCACAGGATGATCTGTAATGTAACATCCTAAAGTCTGGATTTACTTTAGGTTTGTTTAGTGAAAATAATCAGTAAAAGTCCTGTAGAATGTTTTTTTTTTTTTTAAGCCAACAAATCCAACTTTAAAGCCTCCTTAAAGATGCACCGAGAAATCAGCTGTGGACCAAAATCCACAAATTTTTAGCTTGACTAACCCTAGATTGACAAGAAACTGGCCAGAAACTCAAAAATCCAATCATTTTCCAATCAGTGAGCTGCCTGATGATAACACTCTTCAGATTGGATGTTGTTACTGAGTAAAAAAACTGAGTGAGTTACTGATGTAAGAAACCATTTAAAAAGAAATGCGATTTTCTGCGACATGCTTGAGTCATGTTGAAAAGCATCAATGCATATTGACAAATACATGTGGTGCATTCAGGGTGTAAAAGAAGCAATTCTTGAAGAAGATACCATATAAGCCATATTTAACCTGCTAACTGATAATTACTGCATGTCGGCTTTGAAAATGATTGAAATCTCTGAGTTACGTTCTTCAGGGAATACAAACGGATATAACGGTTTTAGCTAACAATGCTAATCATTATTACAACATGTCAAAAACGGTTTTAAATGTAAACATCAGTGGAGGGCACACTTCCCCTGATCCGCTAATAGCATAGCTAGTATTTTGTTTACATACTTTGGAAAACATTTAGATAAATCTAAAGTGTTAATTTACTTTTAGTTTTCTAAACTTTCAGTTGAATGAAGCTTACCAAAATAAAAGAATTGAGTCAAAGACGATATGTGATAAGCTGACGCAACGAAACAAAGGTGGTCAGCTGAAGGGATTCAATTAAAGCTCTACAGATCACCTAATATTAACTAAGATAAATTATTGTTATTTTTGAAGAGTAATTGGTATTGGCAGTTTGACATTTTACAAAATCCAGAAATTGACCACAAATTTCAAATTAATGCATCTCTACAAACAAAAAGCTAATTTTAAAGTAAATGTTTAAATACTCAGTAATTTATTATTGCACTTCACAAAAGTATCAAATGTGAGCTCAAATTGTTTTAACATTTCAAAAATTAAATGCCTCCTTGTAAAAGAATAGCTAAAGTAACCAAGGACGTTGCTGATAATAATAGTGTGACTGAAAAGAGTGGAAATGCCCCTTTAAGGATTTGCACCCAAACTGAAGCCTCATCCCAACAGTACTGCAATGATTAAACTGAAGCACAGTCCTGCTGGGCTGTACATATTCAAGTGATTTAGGATCTGCAATGTCTCCTGCTGCCTTGACAAAGTTACCTGTAAGTTTGCAGGCAACCAAACCATCACTGTGTGAGTCCCTGAAATTACACCACTGGACCATCCTGCCACGCTGTGAACCTGCCTCTGAATAAAGTGACCTACAGCATTGTTTCTACACATTACGTTGCCCATACAGAACAAAATAAAAAAAAGTGAGAAGGAAAGGGAGTCATTTTGACACCTCTTTCTCTCTGATTGGATATAAAGTAGTCAGAAATGGTAAAGGGGTACATGATGAGCTTTTTCTCCATCCCTTTCTCTTCTTTTCAGAAATAAAGAGAAGGGTGAGAATGAAAGGAGGGAACGTTTTTAGAGTAAAAAAAGCCAGCTACTTTCCCCATTTCCCTGTCCAGTAAAGTTTTCAAAAGGATCTACCGGGACTGATGATGTAACTGGCTGCTTGCTGGTGTTTGTTTCTGAATTATAACAATGAAAAAGAAGTGTGAGTTTGTGAGAAATTGGGCGGTGTTGACATTTCCATCCTGACTAATTGTGATGCTGCTGGACTCCATCAGAAGTTGAGGTGCCTCTGGGTGGGCTGGTGCAGATGGAAGTGGAGGGTGCCGGGCTTCGTGGGGCGCAGCAGGTTGAGGCGTCGCAGGGCCTTGCGGGACAGCAGCTGGGTGCGTTGGGTGACGTTACCCGGCCGTTGCTGCAGGAGTCCGGGTTTGGTGGTGAGCGCTGCAGCGTAGCAGGTAGAGTGCAGGCTGGAGCGGCGCTGCACCACCTCTGGTCTGTAGGAGGCAGAAATGACATAGAACAGTTCATCACTTTCTTAATCTTAGCTAAAATATTAATTATTACCCGAATGACAATATTATGTTTTATATTTCTAAACATAATTTGACAAAATGATGAAAATCTCAGTTACATTCTCGAGGGAAGACTCATGGTTGAAGCCGTTTTAGCTAATTCTAATCAAAATGCCAGACAGTTCAAATATAAACACTAGTGGTCAGCACATTTCTACTATTAGCAAAGCTAGCTTTTTACTTAGCGTCATAGAGCTTTTGCTGACTCTGAAAATCATTTAGCTTCCCCCGTAAATTAGTTTTTCTTAATAAATTCTGAAGCTCTAATTTACTTGGCTGACAAAGAGCAGTGGAGGACAGGTTAGTGCTTTCTGAACACCATGTCACCATCATGTTTTACCTCTCAAAACACTGTCACAGAAATCTCCTTTTTCACTAAAAACCAAGGAATTCAACCATCAATTTTCTTTCAGTTTTAGCTAAAATTATGCAATTTGAGGAGTTTTGAGTAAAACATGTTTATCTCAAATGCTAAATTTACATATTTAATTACAGCTCTGATTATATTGTTCTTTCAGTAAATTGTCTTTTTCAGCAACCAGTTAATAATTAATCATTACTAAATTAGTTATATTCGATTAATCCAATTCATCGCCTCAGCCCTACTTTAGATGCCTCCTCAACACGTCATCAGATTCAGATTCATACCTATGTCGAGGTCCTTCAAGCGTGGGTCTTGCCTTCTCTTTTCCACCTGCAGGTGTTTGGTTTGCAGACGTATTTCCAGACAGCAAGTCCATTTCCCGGTCGAGCGTGTGGTGTGATATTGGGTCTCGGGCGAGTCGCGGTGGGCTGTGGTGGGCGTAGACGGACATACTGGGGTGTTCGATCAGCAGGTTCTCCATTGGGCTGGTCTCCAGGAGAACCGGCTGACCGCCATGGCCGGTGAAGCAGGGGGGAGGAGTCACGAACCAGCTCTCCTCCAGAGAGCAGGCGTCCAGACGCAGGAACCCGCCTTCCTCCTCCTCCTCATCCCCGTCTTCCTCGTCCTCTGCGCCACCGTCGGCCGTGGAGTCGAGGGAGGTGCAGGAGGGGAAGCGGACAGCTGGGCTGGCCATCGGAGAAGGGATCATCACCATGTCTTCCTCTTCCTCCTCTTCTTCTTCATGAGGAATGATGGTGGAGTCAGAGAGGCCGTCACCACAATGACTAGAGCAAGCTTCAGCTGCAGAGGAGATTTAATTATTTCACACATAAGTTCAGTAATATCAGAAGAAAAAAAATAATTTCAGCTCCTGTGTTTTTAATTATTTCTAATAAAAATATCTGCTTTAATAATAAAAATAATGATATTAACTCCTAAAAGTGATTTTGTAATGGCATTTGAAGCATAATTTCAATAAAAACATGTTCTGTCATATTTGTCCAAAGAGCTCTTTGGCATGTTCTAAATCACGGGTGTCCAAAGTGCGGCTCAGGGACCATTTGTGACCCTTGGATTGATTTTGTGTGGCAAAATACAAATTTGGCCCATCCACCCCCTGTGGTTGATGCTGATGGAAACCTTTTATTTGCAATCAGGGTAAAATTATAATTTCTATTTTTTCTTTGTTTTTTGCAATGAAAAATGTTAAGTACAGCACAAACTATTTATCTTTTAAAAACCAAGCTTTTATAATAGGTAACACCTGGTTTATCGGGAGACTTTTTATAAAAAGTAGACTTTTCAGGACTAAATCAGCTTTCATTTAATTTATTATACTTGGCTGAATTTAAGCATTTTGAAAGAAAGTGACCAAAAATCCTGTTCTTGTACTGAGAATAAATTTGTCCAAGTGAGCCCAAAAAAGAAGAAAAAACCAGATGGTTTTCTTTTAATTCAGCAAAAGTGAAAAACCATTTTTAAGTTTTAGATCTACATCCCATTCCAACCAAAAGTAAAATAAAATTGGACTATTTTATTTTCGTTTAATTATTATTTCTTGGCCCAGAAGTACTTTTGACTCTGTGATTTAACACTACCTCAGCCCTCCAGCGGGTGGCGCTGCACACCATCTATGCAGCAGCTGAATCATCTCCACATGTAAACAATCATTTTGAGAGTCACAGTCAGGCCAGCAGACCAACATCTCCTCCCTGCAACCGAAACCACAACCTGCACATGTTTCTGTTTGAGAGCAAACACAACAAAGACCTGCTGAACCCGTCTGAGAGTCTGGGAGACGGCTTCATATCTACGCCAAACCGCCTGGTCCACATTTCCTCCACAAAGTGCTGCCAAAATTACACACTGAGCATTCTTGTGCTTTTAAATCACCCAAAAATACACCGACATCCTGCGCCGCAAGGTGTCTAGCTGTGCAAAGTGGAAGCTTGCTGAAAGCTATAGATCAAGGGGGGGATCGGCCTTGTTTTTACCCCACTTTAGCTTTTAATGATTGACTGAGAATCAGGAAGTTCTGAGGTGGAAACATGACCTAATGCAAGCAGGCTGTATGCTAAAAATAACAGTGTTGACGAAGCAGTTGTCCCGATTTGGGTCTGGTTCTGTTTATGAAGAGACTATTTTCACCAGCGCTCAGTAAAGATTGTAAATTACGAAACATATTTGATCTTCATCAGACACCTCGGGATGCACACCAAACATGCATACACCACTATAGGAATGGCTCAACTTTGAGACATCTCCATTGTGTCCCCGACTGACCTCTGAGCTGTTATTGTGCATGAATCTCAATGCAAAATGCTTGTGAGTGTCTGCAGCTCATTTCCACACGTGACACCAACGCCACTCCTAAGTGTTCACAGAGGCATTCTTGTTTACCCACAACAGAACAGAGAAGTTGCAGCGTGCTGACTCAAAATCCGAGAGCTGATGCACAATATCACAACAGCTCAGCGTTTTAACTTTCTCCTTCTGAATCCGTCTCGCAGAGGCTTTCTGTGTGCTGGGTTAACAAGGCTCACCTGGGAGGACAAATTAACTTGTTGACCCGTCCAATCCTTCTCCTCCACAAACAAAAAGATGCTCAGAGTCTGCAGGTTTTTATGGGGCAAAGCACTAACTTCACTGGAACACATTGTGAGACTGAGTCTCTGAATTGTGCTCTGTTGGCATGACTAGAAATAAAAGCTTTAATACTGCATTTTCAGACATCTACAGTTAGCACTTTCATGCTTAGCTAGTCCTGTGCTTTTTTTTTTTAAACAACTCGAGTCATACACTGTGCTGCCCAAAATTCTTCTTTGTCATTTAGTGTGCTTTAGTGGTGGCGTATGGGATATAGCTGACAGGCCTGGACTTTGACTAGATATTTCTAGCACACTCTTTGTAGCTCTGGCTGTTTGGAGGGTCCAGTTTTATGCAGCCTTAAACAGCCACACCATCTACAATAAGTCTTTATTTAAAAACGTTACAGCAACATTTAAATTCCCTTTCAGATCAATAAAGTATTTTTGAATTGAATTGAACTGAATGTAGGGCAGGACGATGTTCAGTAATAGTTTCAGTTCTGTTTATAATTAGGTGGTTTCTGAAGGTAACTGGTCACACTGGATTTTCTTAGAGGTATCACTTTGAAAGTGGCTAAATGCAAATGCATGCCACACCTTGCAGACTTTATGTGTTAAAAATGTTGAAAATCAATTAATTTCATCTTTATAATTATTCACTGCTTTATGTTGGTTTAGCAAAAAGGTCTGAAACCTGCAGCTCTGGAGCCACAAATGGATCTTTGACTGAAAATTATAAAGAATCAATGAATGTTTTTCAAATATAGCAGCTTATTTATGAAAAAATAGCATTGACATTCCACAACAGGACAACATATTTTTTTTAGATCATAGCTTTGCATCCACACTCTTTATGCTCTTTATAAAAGTAACTTTTCAGCAAGATATGGGAGTTCATTTTAAGTGAATGGCTTTTTAGTATAAAAAAGCTATATCTTGCTGTTCTAAAACATAAAATTAAAACAAAAGAACACAACCTGAAGTTTGTAACTTTAACTTTGTAACTTTTTTAATGTTACAAAATCCAAAAAATGTTTAATTCATTTGGGTCACAAAAAGTCCTGAAAAACTTTGTCCTTAAACCTACAAAACTGTGGAAGGGAGCCAGAAACCAAACGTGTTCATCTTCACTGGCTTGAAAATTAGACAACCAGGATCTATTTTTACTTCCTTTAGTTCCTTGGATGCTTTTGTTTGGCCCGTTTACAGGTTGACTTCTCCATTAACCACCTGATGCCAGATATCCTCCATCTCCCACCCGCCCCGGCCTGCCTCAAATATTCACACGGCTGCAGAATCGGAGCCCGGTCGACCCGTGGGTGGACGGAGAGCTGATGTGGACCCACTCAGATCCATTTGGGAGTCACGGCAGCACATCGCGTTGCCGTATAAAGCATGGGTGACTTTGTGATCTTCTCTCTGCCTGACTTGCCTGTTTTGACTGGGATCTGTTTTGGTCTCAGACGGCTCTGGAAACTTGGCTGGACTTCTCCTTGCCATTACAAAATGCTGAAGTTAAACAGTATCTTTATCTCCAGCCTGCAGCTCTGTGTCAGATCGTCTTTCTGCACATTAAAAAGAACTGTTCCACACATCCCCTCGGTTTTTATTTTGCTGATTTTGACATATGTTTTCTAAAATTTTAAGCCATTTTCTGACCACACATATTGACATATTTAAAGAATCACTTTAAAAAGTTTGCAATCTTAGTTATATCAAATATATGTGACATCTGGAGTGCTGGTCAGAAGTTTACATACACCCATCAAGGGCATAAATTTAGCTGATTGGGGCTTTTTGCTGATGCATGTTTTTCATGATGGGTGAAGAACATTTTTTTTGATAAATACAAAATAAACCAATTCAGACGAATGACTATAAATTTACTGCTGTTTTCTATTTTCTGCACATAACATAGAGGCTCAAATATATACATACACCTCATGGAAGATAGTCTCTGCTTAACCATTGGTTTTTCAAATGCTTTCAGGAGAAAACATTTTGTCAGATGAGGGAAAAATGTACTCATTTGGCCACAATAACAGGAAGTATGTACTATCAACCATAATGGTGATGGTAGCATGCCATGGCTTTATTTTACTTCCAGTAGATAAGGTAGGCAAGCATTCAACTTCTAATTGAACTCAACTATACCCTATTAAAATGGGTATAAAACTAAAATCTGACCCCACTCCATTTTGTTGTAATTTTTTGTGAAGAGGGAAGTTGTGCTCATTATCTTCTTCAGAGGTTTTTGAGTTGTTTCCTTCAATGGCATCTCCACAGGTAAGGGAGTGAACAGGTTGTCAAAGTATTTGGACCGTTTTACACAGTGCAGTGTGAAAACGAACCATGTCAATTAAAAATGTAACAAATATTACAATTTTGTTTCCTCATTTTGAGCTCAAATCCATCATTAAAAGATGAGAATTGGTTATATTCATGTCAGTTACGAGTAAATGCAAACCTCTGATCTGTGTCCTAACAAATGTGTTTAACTGTGCATCGGGTTTACCCAGGTAGTTCACTAAGATCCAGTCTTCTTCATCCTCCTCTGCCTGTTTGCCGTCTCCCGGCTGGCTGCCTCGACTCGGCTCGTTCCCGTCATCTCCAAACAGACTGCTGGCGAACCTCTGGAACATGCCGGGACGTCCTGAAGGCCGAAGAAGGAGCACAGGGAGGAGGCGCGCGGCTCTGGGCGACAGTGGGGGGTTGGGGTGGTTCTTTTGGTCATCAGCTGCAGGCGGCACAGCGAGTCGAAGGCTCCAGAAAGGTGCTAAAGTGCATCAATAGGGTGTGGTCAGGGATCACCTGAGGGCCAGCAGGGACATGCTGGACATCGCTCAACGTTGAGTGCAAAAGTAAAGAAAGAGCCCTGAGAAAAGACAAAATTAGTTGTTTTATTGACTGTTTTTTTTTGTAAATGTGTGTTTTTTATGTCAAAGGTTACAACAGATTAACCTAAATTTCCTGCAGAATCATGAACAGGAACAAATATGGAGGAGGTCATTTGAAAAGAATGAGAGATTTTTATTCCCATGTAAAATATGGGTCAAGTGGGGCTTATGAAAGCAAAGACTCTATGCAGCTTGCCAAGTGATTATTAAGTTACCCGTAACCCTATCAAGCTCAGCACATACTCCATATACTGTAAACACTCAGTACTGCAGGGCCTCTAAAATACACTGAGCCAGTCAGCATTTTCCCTGTCACAAAACGTTCTGCTGATGACTTTTATTCTTCTGCAACTAGGAATAAGACACAGATCTGGAAAAAATGCATATTCCATAACATAAAGTGTGTTTACTTTTTGTCTAATTGCAAACATTAACAAATGCTGGGTTTATCTGTTCAGATTTATGCTTTGATCACGCCTAAATATGCAAAGAGGAAGCTAAAAACAGCCACATGAAGACATTAACTGGCTGGATAATATTTAGCAGTGGATGGACACTTATCAGGCCGTTAAGCGCATCAACTTGTATGTGCTGTCAGGGCAGATGGATGCGAGCAGCAGCTGGGATATATCTGATGGAAGCAAACACAGAGGAGCTCCTCTGTCTGCGTCTTTTATAGTGGCTGGGACATAAAGAGCTGCAGTGTCCTCAGAGGACACACAGACACAGCTGGCTGGCAGCCTGAGCTCTGGACTTCACATTAGGAAAGTAGACAAAATGAAAAGTGATCAGTGTAGCTGTGTCCCGCTGCAGCTGCTGGGGTAACGACACCCGCTGGCAAAGTGTTGGAGGGTTTAGCAGAACAATGTTACAGCTGCCCTTTTAACCCATGCCTTTGTCTCAGTTTGCAGTTTTAGTTGAAAAAATGTCTTTCAATCTTCTTGATAGGAAATAAGGTGTAAAAATCCAATGAATGCATTTCTCATCTTTTCTGTCTCTAATGTCAATAATAAAAGGGTAACATCATTGCAAATAAATATTTTATTTATTTGTGTGTTTGATGAATCAATAACTTTACATCAACATCAACACTGTAAATAAATAAATTAATTAAATTGCTAACAGAAAAACTTGTGAATGCTGGATTCCTGTGCAAGCACCTTCGCTTAAATCACACACTTCTTCTGAAAAATAATCTAGCTTTATATTACTATTACTTTATATAACTTATTAAAAACATTTAAAAAAATAGTCAAAATAAGCATTTGATTACCCTTGGTTTTGTATTTTATAAAGATTTTTTAAAAATATACAATTCAATACTTGAGGTTTTCGCATGTAAAGTACACGTTCTACAACTCAGTCACTGAACTGTAGAGGAATACTTTTGTTCAGATCTGACCAGATATTTTCACAGTCTAACCAGCAATTATCGTCATTAACATTCTTTTACCTTCACAAAGATTTATAAATTAGTGTCTGTCTCTTCTAATATGTTATCAGCAGAAGTCAGGTCAGCAGTAGTCAGGTATATAATTTATGTCATACATGTACTGCTACCTGTGAAGTCTTACTGTCAGATTTACTTTATTATTAACTGAAAACAATATTTTTAAAAGATCTTGACGTTGACAGGTAGGTACCCTATTAGCTACCAATCAAAACTCTGATGTGATTAACAAAAAATATTTTCTATTTACATTTTAAATATGTATTTGTAAAGAATAGAATGGAGTTTTAGCTAATGACATGAATGTAAGCAATAAACCAAGTGAAAGTAGTTTTGAACATTAATACTCTGATATACGAGGTGTAAATAAATGTATCATCTGGTTGTCTTTACAAGCAGGGCATATCTATTTAGAGAATTGACGGTGAAACGGAGCTATATAATGCGAATAACTTTGAACACCAAATGTCCGATTTTTCTTCCTGCAATTGAAAGCGTGCCGCCGTTATGCAGATCGGCTGTGGTGCGTTCAAATAACCCCCTAAATGCTTGTATTTCCCAGCAATCCCCTCGCATTGATTAAACAATTTTTTTTAACGTGGCCTGCAACAGCAAACAAACAAAGGTTTTTAAAGCTGTCGCCATCCTTAACAGCAGGCTGATAATCCTCTTCTGCACCTGTTTCACCCCTACACTCATCCTCCCTGAAAGCAGCTATTAATGTTAAATTCACGAACATGAACAGCGTTTAACTGACTGGAATCATCATTCAAGGACAGATCCTCCTCCATCTTCTTTTGACTGATTGATTTTTATGAATTGTTCTATTATCCCATATTCTGGTTGACTTTCTTGCATCTGAATTTATGAATTCATAATGTACAGATGGAGGCCATGTAGGGCATTGCAATCTGTCTGTCTGGGATTATGGACAATGGATGCCCCATAATCAGGGATATAGCGAGGAAAACACAGAATAGGCAAGTTTTAGTTACAAACAGGGATTTATAACCTATAGAGCGCTGCAACACAATCAAACTGAAAATAAAATATTACTGTTCGCCAATTTTCCTGATACTAGTGTCACATTCTGTTCGAACATGTTTTATTGTAAAAAAAAAAAAAAGTTATCAATAGGTAGATTATTCTGCCAAAATAAGGGCCGATAGCAATTAAAACGTATTTTTCTGTTAAATAAGCACATAAAAAATAAAGATGACAAACATTTTATATGTGGTATGTTTTTGTGTGCTGCAAAACTAATCGGCTTGCAGCTCCTGCTAATGTCAGCCAGTCTGCAGGGGGAAAACAAACTGGCCCAGAGGTAACGAGGAGCTGCAGCAGCAGGAACTGCAGCAGGAGCTGCAGCAGCAGCCTCTGTTTGACGCTTATTCCTGGTTAAGCAAGAGGAAGAGGAGGAGGAGATTGTAATTCTACACTCACAGGGCTGAACGGCCTGCTAAAAACTTTTCATCTTCTGTATTATGTAATAAAATACTTTCCAGAACAACACAGCACCCGAATTTGAATATATCGGATGAAAAAACATTAAAAACAGCATTTTGTTTGAGCATAAAAGGAGGAAGACCAAGCTTCAGATGCTGATCAGAACTGTGACCGCTTTGCAGTAAAATCTTAAATACGTGCGTTAACAAGTCAGTTATAATTACTTAACTGATGAAACAAGACGTGCATCTACTGAAATGCACATAAAAATATGATCAACATGCGGATAAAAAAGCAAGAGAGGCGTTAATGTTCACGAGGAGGAAAACAAAGAACCCACCTGCGGCAGAGGGAGGAGGAGATGTAAACGACGGTTGAAAAAAACAAATAAAACCAAAATCCTTAAAACGGAGGTAGATTCGTTACTTTTCGAAAAATAGAAAAACTTGAGCTTTCTTCGCGGAAGAAATAAGATATAAAACGTTTAATTTATGGGCTGTACATGGGGAGTCACAGTGAGGTTGATCGTCTTTTCTCTTTTCAGCCCCGTTTCCTCGTCGGGTCCCTGATCTGCGACTTCTTTTGTTGTTGTTGTGGAGCTCTAACAGCTGATCGTCGTGACGTCACCGGGGTGAGGGGGGGCAGCCCTTCATAGGGGCAGGGCCAGGAGCTGCTCATCCAATCAGAGCGCTTGACGAGCACTGTCACTAACCCACGTGACTCTACTCCCTCCTTCTTGGAAAAAGGGAAAAAGGGACATGACTGGGCAAAGCGCTCAGCTGAACGGAGCAGAAATGTTGGTTTCCCTCCCGAAAACAGGCAAATGTTACATGAACAGACCTGCATCCGGGTTAAGCTGCAGAGCTTCCTGTCTTATTAGCATCCACCCAACATATCAAACTCTTATTGCTGCAGTATCATAAGACAGCATAAAAGAAGTGAACACGCTAAAATATCCACATAGTTTTACTTATTTACAGTTTAAAAAATGGATTCAGTCCAGCCAAATAAAGCTGGCTTAGCGCCGAAATGGTGTGAAACATCAATTCAGTTATTCCAAGCACAAAGTGAAAAACTGCTAAAACATGAATATGTATTTTTTGACGATTTATTGCATTTGTTACATCTTCATTTAATTGGACTCTTTATTATTTCTAGCTAAAGTTATTAAGGGCCATTATGTATGAAGGCGTTTTAGGGGCTTTGCAGATGAAAAATAAATACATAAAATTGGAGGAATAAATTATTGCCAAAAAATCTGATGTTTTCTGGAAAAAATGTGGCAATTTTTTTTCTAGAAAATTTTTAATTAATCTGAAAAAAAAAATCTAAAAAATTCAAGCACATTTTTTTAAAGAAAATTTCTAAGATTTTTTGTGGAAACGTACTTATTTTTTCTATCTATAGGAACCTCTGTTTTATTTCATTCCCATATGATTTCCAGGCCAAAGGGGAAGCAATGAGAATGCCTTCCCAAAGGGAAACCTCTAAACTGATAGCTGTGAAAACCTCAAAGATTTATTAGACATTACTGGAAAAAAATAGCTACATGGAGCTACAGCAGACATGCCAGGAAAACGATCCAAATGAGATCTAAGAACCAAAACATGTTCTTGACCTGCGAGTACTTATGACTTGATGATTTTAGGCCATGTGACAAAAAGTTTGGAGACCTCTGCTTTAGATTGAAAAAGATCTGGGACTGAAGCGTTCACCTTCCAGCAGGATGACGACCCTGAACATGCAACTAGAGCTACAACCTAATGGCCTAGATTGAAGAATGTAGATGTATTAGAATAACCCAGTCAAAGCCCAGACCTAAATCCAAAATGAGAATCTGTGAGAAAACTTGACAATTATATTTTCACAGATGTTCTTTGTCCAATCTGACAAAAAGAATAGGCAGAATTTTTAGTCTCTAGATGTGAAAAGCTGCTAAAGACAGATTTAAAAAACATTTTTGAGCTGATATATCACTTTATCTAATGGAAAGTTTACAGCTTCTTTTGCTTTGTAATGCCTGTATTTCACATTTCTTAGGGTTAGGATTGCACAACTCTACGGTTGTTTTGCATCTCTCCATTCAACTTTATGGGTCATAATGTTACAGATTGGGATGCAGGTGTTCTGTTGTACAGCAGCGATGTGAATTTTTCCAGCTAACAAAACAAAAACTTCTGCAAAAACTTCCATGTGGAAAAATTATCCCATGCTGTTGAGGCAAGATGGAGGAAAAGCTATTTATCCCGAATCTTTCCACTGCTAAATAAGGAACACCTGTCCTCTCATAGCACCAAAACACTGATAAGATGTGCCCTGCTGCTCATTTCCTTTGCTGTTTTTTTGTTTTCCAGTGTTGTTGCATCATCACTGTAAAGATACTTCATCATGCTGTATGAAACACCTGTAAGTAATAAGCTGAACATTAGACTTTTGAATGCCCCATAAGGACATGAAGAAGCATAAGTCCAGCTCTCAATCCACATACCTACACACTCCTGTCCTACACTGCACCTTGCGCTGACATATGGCATTGAGCGTGAAAAAAGCTGCTAAAGACATACAAAAAAAACAAAACATTTTTGAGCTCATATATCACTTTATCGAATGGAAAGTCAAACAGCTTCTCCTAAGTCTGTCATCCTTAGATGATAATAAGGCTTGAAATTCTGCTTTATCAATGTTTGTTGAGCTCTCTGAAATCCTATACACCCCTCCAGCAGGTTCTAGTACATTTTGTCCCTGTGAGTCATAAAAGTTATTGTTAAGACAGTATTAAACACCCAACCCACCCAACCCTTTGACTCATCTGTACACACTGTCCAGCTACCTGAACATAACCAACTAATCTGACTGTAAAAATAGTTCCCATGGATTGAAATTGTACATCACTTTTCATTAAAGTCCAAGGAACTTCCTCAGGTTTCAGAGATAACAAAGATAAGAGGTTCCCTTCAACAGAAGATACAACATTAAAGGCAGAAATGTCAAAGACTGGGAAATGATTCATGCACTTTTATGATGTTTGTTCCCAGGTGAGTGTTTCTTTTCTATTTTGATCTAATGAAACAAGCAACGTTTGAACATGTGTGGAGACCTTTGCTCCTCAATGAGACAAACTTCCCATGAACCAAAACATAAGATTATTGCCTTTGTTTGCCACCTTTCCAGCGAACTGAGAAGAAAGTTAGCTGGGTTTTTTTCTAAACTCCAGCTAACTTCCTTAGAGTTTAATGGATAAAGTAGAGAGATATTCTTAAGCAGAAGATACAACCTGAAAAATGAAAATGTCAGCAATCGGGCAATGATTCATGTACTTTTACGATCTGTTTGTTCTCTACTAAGTATTTCTTTTCAATTATTATCTAATGAAATAAGTAACATCTGACCATGTGTGAAAACCCTTGTTCCTCATTGACACAAAAAATATCCCATGAAGAAAAACATAAAATTCTTGGTTTCCTATAAGATTTGGATCATTGCAGTTCCAGGAAATGTAAGTAAATCAATGTTCTGAGAAGAAACAACTATCTGTGTCATGAGAAATAAAACCTACATGAAAAGAACTTACATTCATCCGTCACAACAACGCAGAGTTGCGTACATTCTGCTTCGCCTTATGTAACATAGCTAATGTTTAAAATCTTGGTTGCACAACTCTGTTCTGTTCACCATGGGCAGATAAAGAGATCAACAACTCTTCACTGATGAGTCACGGGGGTATGCCGGGGAAATGTTTGTCTAATTGTGGTCATCTCAAAGTAACATTTGTTTGTTATTGATAAAAAAAGGTGCCGGAAAATATCTATTTGGCTGTCAATGGCTGGTGAAGAGCTTAAAAATGATTTACAGGCACCTCCTGAAATCCTCAAGATGAATCAAGAAGGGTCTTTTTTGGAGCTTCCCCATGTCAAGTTAGTAAATGAATTACAGATCAATTTATTTCAAAACAAAATGTAAGCCTAAGTAATTAAATAAAATGTATAATGGTAACTTATTTCCTGAGACTATAATTATTTTCCTCATCGTAGCGTTCTGGTTGGCAGCTAGAATCTAGTTTTCAACAGCTTTTATTTTTAGCTACTGTAAGTTATTTTAGATTATTTGGTATAATGTTCCTTATTGGAGCTAAAATATCTATGACACAACATCAGCCTCCAAAAGCTGACTGTTGCTACAGAGACAACAAGTCATCTGAGGTTCAAGTGTAGGTTTGCACTGCAGTTCAGGTCAGCGTGCTGAGAGGAATGTGGACCAGGTTGGGAGAAATGCACTGACCTGTGGCAGTTCAGCTACAGATATTAGAGCAGTGGGTTGAAGCTTTTTGCAAGCGGAATTCATGAAAGTATACAAGGACAGACTTTTACATAATGTTTCTGCTTTTCACAGCTGTAAATGAATAAAAACCTTTAAAGCAGATGACCTTTTATAGATTCAAGGTTGCATGTGAAAACCTGCAGCCAGTGTTTTTGAGTGAAAAAGGCTCAAACTTTACTGGCATGTCAAAGTAAATTGATACCAACACTTCTCAGACAAAGGTTTTCTAACTAATTTTGTATTTAAGGAGGTCCATGGTCATAGTGAAAGGAAAATGTGCTTTTCCTGAAGAAAAAGCACATTTTTCTTCAACCCACTACACATTCAAAGAAAAATGTGTAGTGGGTTGGAGTTGCTTTGCTCCAGCCCACTACAATACCACCATATTTGAAAATCAGCCTAATGTTGTTCTGAATGTAATGTAATGCAGAATGTTGAAAAATGTCCACATATGTTTCATCAGTTAGCAGAACCTTTTCCTAAATGTTTTGGGTTTATTAAACTGTTTTTTGCAAATGTGAGATGGCGCTTTGTGTTGTTTTGACCTTGGATTTCTCTCATGGATTCTCTTTTTGCCTAATCTTATTGTTGTTTAATGACCTCTGACCTTGACTGATGAACAATAATTCTGCTGTGCTTCTGAAAACTCAGTTTTGCATGCATACTTGCCCAGTTTCACTACAGCTCTGATGTGGACAATAAAGATTATTAAACTTGAACAAGTGAAGTGTTGAACTGTTTTTGATAATGAAGGTAGTTAGAAAGAATTTTGTTTGCTGAGGTGGTTCTTGTTATAAACATTTTAGGGTTAATTTCTTTAAAAGTTAAAACGGTAATTGCTTTTTAATCGGTGTGCAGCCCTCAATTGCTGCCAGCTGTGACTTACTGGATAATAAAATGTACATTTTGCTTGAATTTGTTCACTTCTTTGAAGCATAAAAATAGGTAACTACTTCTACCCCGAATTTGTACTGATTTTCAGAAAACTGCATTGTTTTTAACAGTAGCTGGATAAACACAAAGTTCCCAATTGTTTTGGAAAAGAAGACAACTCCAGGAGTCGAGTGTTTTGAGTGTTTGATAGCAGACGGATTTTGGGTGGAGTGTCACTTGAAGTCAAGTTTTGACACACAGGCCCAGAAGTGCCAGAGCACACCCAGAAAAAATGTGCAGTGAGAGAAGCAGAGGGCTTGATGAGCTGATATCTGAACAGACGGTGCAAAAGTTGGACCTTTGGGAAAATAAAACACTTACAGCTTTTCATCAGA